ACAAACTATCCCCTGAGATCATTGCACTCTCTTCCTGTTTTTATGTTCATTTTATTCCCCGTTGATAAAAACAGGCAACCGTGTGAGGTGAAATTTTTTCCTTTTTTGAAAATGCAAAACTTTCACGTTGCCATAGTGAACACATTCTGTGGTTTCAGGAGTCCGATTAATTTTTTAGACCAAATACTCAATTTTTTGCGCATCAAAGCCATTTGAAAATGTGAAGGACATTGGATGCGACTATGATAGACAAACGAATTTTTCTGATTTTTCCAAATTTTTGACTTGACACGTTTGTCAATTGTCATGCTAATTTTCCCTCAGTCTATATTTCTACCAGTGTTTAGGCCTCAAAAACGTCCATGAGGGTCACAATAACCAAAACTGTCCATTTTAGGCTCATGCTTTTCTTACGGCTACTCCCATAAAATATATTATGGGCATTGGGCATATGCAAAATTATGCATAACTCAGTCATTTTCTGTTCAATTTTGGATCTGAAAATATGAAAACATCACATCTTTTTGTCTAAGACGGTCTCAGCTTAGAATAAATCTTTAGATTTTTAGAAAAGTTTCAAAAAAATGTAAAAATGTAACGGACGTGGCAAGTTCGGACCGTCCTTCCAAAATGTTTATCGTGAAAGATAAGATCCTGACAAATTCTATGGTACTCCCTTGCCTTTGACAGAAGAGAAAGGTTACTGTGGTTTTTTAGCATAACGCGACACCACTATGGTACTCCTTTGCCTTTGACAGAAAAGAAAGGTTACAGTGGTTTTTTAGCATAACGCGACACCACTATGGTACTCCTTTGCCTTTGACAGAAGAGAAAGGTTACAGTGGTTTTTTAGCATAACGCGACACCACTATGGTACTCCTTTGCCTTTGACAGAAGAGAAATTATAACGCGACACCGAAATTATAACGCGACACCGTCCTTACGGAGATTTTTGAGAAAAATTGTTTGATCTGAACAGTTTTGACACTTTGCAGAGGTCTAATTTTTGGAACCGTACTTCAGTAAATGGAATTTCATGGATATTAATATAGCAAGTCCCCATTCATCGCGGTCTGATAGTTTTACTGCCTTTCAATATCAAACAAAAAACATTGGTTACCTAGCTTAATAAAGTTGAAAGTCTAGAGAACTTATTTTCACTAAAATTATGTGCCTGTCTAAAAATTTCGCATTTTCACCAAACGCGACCTTAACAGCTTAACGTGGAATTGTCCAACACTAGCATTAAACATTTCAGATTGTCAAACACTTCCAAATTCTAACGAAGACGCCTCTTGGCAGTTAACCGAAGTGAACGGGTTTCTGCGAAACGTGAAATGTGCAAACCAAGAACTTATCTACAAATGCACGCATTCTGATGAAGTGTATGGACTGGGTCTAGTGCAGCTTACCGAACTCGTACTTGTCAATGAGTATACCAGGACTTGCTCAAACGACCCATACTTCTACCAGGCCTGCAAATTGGATGCAATCACCGCCGCGGTTATGAAGGGAGACGGGAAGACGCTTTGCGGAGTCTTCATTTGCTCTGAGATTGTACCCTCGTTTATTGGTTCACTCGTGACTCACAAGGACAGCATATATCAATCCGGCTATTTGTGTGAGGATATCCAGGATTGTTTCAACAATAATCTTGCTGAAGAAATTGGGTGTCAAAAAGAAGGTAGTGAAATGGCGGAACTTCCAAGCGGGAAACAGACCTATGCCAGTGACTTGTGCAATGATAGATGTGACATGCAAACATGTGAGGATGAGGCTAATTGTAACGGATATAAATACGGAAGCTACTGTGACATCAAATACTCAAATGTGAAGAAGGATTACTTGAGCCCCATGAGAAGCTGCAACACCATCAGGAATTGTCCAGAAACGTATGAGAGCACATGTTTAGTCTCGAATGATACGCAATCTTCCTGCACACTGTCAACATTTTTTTCGGTCTACAATATAATGCAGGTCAAGGTACCACTTCCAGACCACTTCAGATGTGCAACTATGATGCACTTCGAGCCTTACTGTGACAAATTTTTAGATCAGACAAACTGCTCCGATCCCTTAAAAGTCGGAATTTTCTGTGAGATTGAAGGGTATAATTCGAGCATATCCTCACAGAAAATATGCATAGGGAACCCTTTGTGTGATGACCATTTTGATACGCATTGCGTTCAAACTTCGTCAGCATGTTTCGTGCATAAACACAGCCTGTGTGACTTCAAGGACGATTGCACAGACAAAAGCGACGAAAAAACTTTTCGTTGCAGAAATTCTAGTCTCACTGTGGAAACGTGCACACGTAGACTTCTAACAACAGCGGGAAATCTTCCGATCCGGTTAGCTTGGTTAAAAGACGGTGAAAGAGATTGCACAGATGGAAAGGACGAAGAAAAAGATTGGCCAAGTTGTGGACAAGGAAAAACATTTCGATATGTTAGAGATGCTGCATCCTGTGGAAATGTATACCTCTGTTCATCCGGACGTGCGGACTACATTGAATTCGAACAGCTGTGCGATGGTATAGAGACATGTGGTAATGAACTCCAAGTCTGCAAACTTGCTCGTTTATCAATCGAGATACCCTCCTCAATTTCACTAAGTTCATCAGATGGTCTGAGTAGACATCTTTCATACTGTGTTCGAGGACTTGGCAACATTGAACACCTCAAAGATGAATGCGTGAACCAGTACTTTCTTGGTAATGAAACTCTTGATGTTTTCGGACAGACTGACATTCAAATCCACATTCCATCCAAAGCCATAGAGTGTGACAGCCTGTTTGGGGAGAATTACGTTCTGACAAGTTGTAGTAAAAAATGTATCAACTCTTCATGCCCCATCCAAAGCCTTGGAAGTCCAGAACAGTGCTCTCAACAATTATATTCCAAAGTCTTTACCATTGCCGACAACAAACATCTAACCTTCCTAAGAAAACGTCAAGCTGCTTATATAATGGATTACTTTGCTTGTAAGAACAATTACAAATGTTTAGAATTTAAACAAGTATGCGACCTAGTGGACGACTGTGGTGACGGTTCTGACGAAAACATGTGTACAAACCATTTCCAGTGCACTGACACAGGCTTCTACATTCCGATTACAAACAAATGTGATGGCACTATCAACTGTTCTAATCTATCAGATGAGTGTAATGAAGATTGCTCAGTCAGAATCCTCAAGAACTGGTTCTTGGTTTTGATGTCTTGGACTATGGGGGTGACGGCCGTTTCTGCAAACTTCTGGGTCATCATAAAGAGCATTGTGTTTCTCAAAACTTGTGACAAATCAATGGTATTTGTAAACAAATGCCTCATCGTAATGATATCATATGCGGACCTACTAATAGGTGTATATCTACTCTTCATCGCTACTCTTGACACTATAATATACGGAGACGATTACTGCTCCCAACAGAACATGTGGCTCACAAGTACTTTTTGCCAGGTACTAGGGGTGATAAGCTCGATGGGATCACAGATCTCCTTATTTGCCATGACGGGGCTGAGCATGACTCGAATTAAAGGAGTTTACTCTGTCATGAAGCCCCAAGGTGATGTTACCTCCAAACTGAAACTTAAGATGTTATTGACAGGTTTCCTTCTTTGCTCAGTAGCTACCTTCATATCGGTATTTCCACTGATTAATAGATTTGAGGACTACTTCGTCAATGGGCTGACGTACGACGCTGCGATGAGAATATTCATAGGACGAGTCAACAAGGAGACTCACTTTGCGGGCTTACAAGGCTTCTATGGGAGAATGAAAAACCGGACACTGTCTTGGCATATGATCAATAAAATGGTGGATGGTATGTTTTCACATGACTATGACTACACAAACATCACTGAAACCAGAAGGAAAGTCACTTTTTATGGAAACGATGGAGTGTGTCTCTTCAAATACTTCGTCAAAGACACGGACCCTCAGAGACATTTTGTCTGGACAATTCTAGGAATAGACCTGCTGTGCTTCTTAATAATAGCAGTCTGCTATATCTCCATAGGAGTCATAACAACACGTTCATCCCATGCTGTTAACGTCCAAAAAAATGATGCAGCATCCAAAAGGAGGAGGAGAACTAATAGAAAGATCGCATTTATCATCTGTACAGACTTTATCTGCTGGGTACCATTCATTGTGATCTGTGTCCTACATTCGTGTGAGGTGCTGGATGCAACATTTTTGTACTCAATCTTCTCTATTGGTATTTTACCTATAAATTCAATGATTAACCCTATCCTTTATGATGACAGCATCTCTAAACACCTCAACCTACGAGCAGTGAGATCCTTGTTTGTTTATGCAACATCAATGATCACCATGGTAACGAGTTACACAGTGTTGTCAGCGAGGAACCTCTGGAGGAATGAGACTGAGAGAGACATTGTAATTGAAATGTCTACAGTGATAGTTGCAAAGCATGCAGCAGGAGAAATAATTGAAATGAGAAACATTGGCCCCACAAATGATCCAGTAACTACTGAGATCACGGATTCTATACAATAGGCAATAGCTATTTGTAAATTGGCTTTCCGGGTCGAGGGGAAGGGTCTAAAATGACTGAAATTTGATTCAGGTAATTAGGTAAATTGTAAACGATTTTATATCATTAATTTTCAGCTCCAGGAATTAGGTTATACTTATTTAATTCCTAAACTTTCTAGAGCCTAAACTGTGTATGATTTGCCTCTCCAAACAAATCTAAAGTTATTTCATTCCTGTTTTTTTAAATATCTTGAGGTTATATCAAATTTGTGTTTAAATATCTATTTTTGTTCAATGAATTGCTTTTTAATTATAACCGTATTTTTCTTGATATTTTAAGTTGGGAGTAAAATTGGGGAAACAAAATAATTGCAGTAAATTTTCATTTTAGAAACTTTCTTCACTCACTGAATATCAATATGCCGAAAAATAAATAAATCACAAATCAAAACAACTCACTTAACAACATGAAACAGACATGTAATATGTATGTAACTCACTTAACAACATCCTCAAAGCTAGTTAGCCCGTCTGCAATGAGAACACTACCGTACCCAAACACAGCAGCGAAGGTGAAATAAGTAGCCGCTTCACTCAGACCCATGCATAGACCCACCACGTGAGCTTTCCGGGTCGTTTCTCTGGAATTTTAATATTTTAGACCTTAATTTTGGTGGGGTAACAGTAATTTCAAGTGATATCAAACACTTACACTGAAACGTAGATTCATCGCGGACTATGAGAAAACTATGAGAAAACGAAAAGGGTGTGGCAAATAACCGGGATTAAATAAAATTGTACCTCCTGGGTGCTCTGAGCGCTTGACAGTAGTGTTTGTAGAACAGGTTCTCTATTCCAAGTGAGGCTACTGTCCTTATGTTCTCTATTGACTCTGCTGCTGTTTTACCTGATAAAACGCAGTTTCAGTAACTCAATACTAACATGTGCATTGTGCATGCATACTGTATAGAAACGTAACTAACCGTCAAATAACCATTCAGAAATTCCAATAACTGTATAAATTGAAAATGAAAAGAAATATTACAGAACGTGCTGTAAACTTCTAGCGGCAGATTTAGTCACTTAGAGATATATCTCTATTTAGACAGTTAGTACCTGAAGCTTCGTAAAGTTTAGCTACTCCCTTGGTAGTTCCAGTTACCTGCCACATCTGAATTATACCTGAAAAGTTGGAGTTTATTCGATAGTTTTAAACTAGACCTACAAAGATGCCTCAATTATCCATATTCTTCGGATCATAAACCACCGAACAAGTCCAAAAATTAAGATTATATTATAACTTTTCCTGTGGTTAACTTTAATCATTAAACTCAAATAATCAGCCTTTAAACCATCCCTTTTTCAGTAAACACTAAACAGGAATGAACTTGGCTACACAACTCCACAAACCTCCAATTACGATGAAGGGAATACAACCCAGGCATACCAGAGCCAATCTCCACTCTGTCATAAAAGCTATAACAAGCGCGGCAGACATTCCTACCACAACCTGGATCACGGTAGCAACACGTGAACCTGCAGGTTACCATGGTTATATTGTGGTCACGTGGTGTGACACGTGAACCTGCAGGTTACCATGGTTATATTGTGGTCACATGGTGTGACACGTGTACCTGCAGGTTACCATGGTAATATTGTGGTCATGTGGTGTGACAAGTGTACTAGTAGCAGGTTCTGATCTAGTTTAATAATCTTAATCATTTTCACCTGTGGCATCCTTGACAGCGTTTGCTTCAGTGGATAGTCTGGTGGTAAGGGCTCCGATTGAGTTGGCGGGGTCGTCGAAAAACGCTAAATTCTGAAATTTAAGTGGATCTAAAGTTAAGAAACTTTGAAAATATTTCGCTGTCAGTGCTTAGTTTATTTCTGGGGTATAAAACATGAGCACCATATAATAAAAAATGTCGGATGGCAATTGAAAAACTGTCATTTATGAAGTTACCTGTCGTAGAATAGCTTTAAAAGATCTGACTCTTAATCTTCGAGTGAAACTCTCGCTCATAAGTCCAATACAGTATGTCTGAAGTAGAGTCATGTAGAATTTAAAGTGAAAGTGAAAGTGAAAGTGAAAGTGAAAGTGAAAGTGAAAGTGAAAGTGAAAGTGAAAGTGAAACTCTCGCTCATAAGTCCAATACAGTATACATACTTCAGACATGTCTGAAGTAGAGTCATGTAGAAATAGTCAGTAATGTTATAATCTATCATTTTGACACGTGAATTTTGACACGTGGTAAAATTTTGAAATCGCGTAAAATTTTTGGAGGGAGAAATACTTGATGAGTGTATTAAAAGCAAATAAAGCAAACAAAATGAAATGTTATACGAATTTTCAGTAGATAAAGACTAATTGTGACGCAGTGCTTTATCAATCTTATCAACATAAATACATTCCGAAATATAATAACAGCAGAGGAGACGATGATGACAACTGAATTTAGCATCTGTTTTTAAATTATTTTAGTTATTGTACTAGCTATTTGATTTAGTAACTTTAAAACCACAGTACCTGGGTGAAGAAAGCAAGTGCAGTCCCAATTCCCAGGAAAGCAAAGTACATGGCCCATTTGTCAGTTTTACTGAAATCCGGATCCTCTCCTGCTTGATGAGCAACGGCTAGTCCTACTAGATCCTGCAGGTTACATAGTGTTTGTACATCTTTTGAAAGTTAAGTTTGGATATAAAATGTTCATCATAAGATCATCTACGTCTACATTAACATGGTTCACGAAGTGGAGTCATCTTTTCTGCACAATAAAAGAAATCATCAAATCATGCTGGCTACTCAAAATACTAAAGACTTAAAGAGAGGAAAAGTAGACTCACATTAATAACTACTAAAAAGAGAAAGAGAAAGAGAAAGAGAAAGATAAAAAGTAGACTCACATTAATAACTACTAAAAAGAGAAAGAGAAAGAGAAAGAGAAAGAGAAAGAGAAAGAAAAAGAAAAAGAAAAAGAAAAAGAAAAAGAAAAAGAGAAAGAGAAAGAGAAAGAGAGAGAAAGAGAAACAGTAGACTCACATTAATAACACCAGCAAAGAGGACCGCGAAGACAGGCATAGTAACACCATTAGCTGCCGCACCCAGACTTCCCAATCCTGAGGGAGAGAGTGTTATCCTGGTGGTGAAAATATGGAACGTTATAAAACTTATAGTGTGACGTCACACCACGTGAAAATAGGGCACGTTATAAAGCTTATAGTGTGACGTCACACCACGTGAAAATAGGAACGTTATAAAACTTATAGTGTGACGTCACACCACGTGAAAGTAGGGAACGTTATAAAACTTATAGTGTGACTTCACACCACGTGACATGACGTCACACCACGTGAAAATAGGGGACGTTATAATTTATAATACTTAAAGGAGCACGTTATAGAAGCTCAGCAAGTAAACAGTTTCAGAGATAAGTAAGACTTTTCACGAATTTTTGTTACCTTAAATAATTGATGAGGAACAATTATAGCTAGAATAATATTTAAGTCTAAAGATATAAAGATATTATAGTTAACTTCTGCTTTCTTTCTACCATTAATGGTAATATTATATAATGAGTTGTAGTATTTACCCATGAGAGTATACTCAGCATGATTACATTCGTTTAATATCTCCAAAAACGTAGCTGGTTTGATTTCTTCCTCAGGGATCTCTTCCACTTTCTCGTCAGTCACTACTTTTACCTGCTGTTACAATCTGTTTAATCTCATTAGATGACGATTTGATCCCTGGGATGTGTTTTGAACAGATCTTTTTTTTCTTCTTTTTTTTTAAACTGTAAAATCCGACATTTGAGAGGATCTATGAGTCTGAAAGGTTCTATGATAGGTTCTACATGAAATAATTGAATGAAAATATAAAATGTTAAGATTTTAACCTCTTCTTCAGCGTCAGAAAGCATGTCCAAAACATACCGGGACTCTTTTACAGGACTTCCAACTTTTCCATTAAATGTATCCTGAGCATGCAATAATTAAGTAATCAAGCGAGTTAATTTAAAACAACAACTTTTCAGTTCGTTGATAAATTGATAATTAACAAATGATTGGACTCTCAAATCTCACACATAGACACAATGAGTAATGAGCATGTAAACACTTTACATTGACAATTTCCATTTAAAAAGTATATTGTAATGAGTTACTGTTCACAAAGACTGAAAGGAGTGTTCACATTTAACGGTAGCTCGGTAGTGATCTGTGTAAGATCTGTGAAAGATGTGTGTAAGATGTGTGTAAGATGTGTGTAAGATATTTGTAAGATTTTTGTAAGATTTTTGTAAGATAAGCGATTGGCTCAACATCAAAACAACACACTAAACCTACATCCAAGATTTGTTCAAGTTCGACCTGTTGAATCGTATGCTGTTCATCATTTCGATGAAAATAAATGAAAACATATCGACAATTCACATCATATTAATAGTTTTGATGTAATGATAAATCAATCAAAGTGCAACCTTTATAGAATTTATTCTTGAGAAAACATATAAATCGACATTGAATTTACGCAATTTTAATATAAAATTTCACAAAATGTACCTAACAATATAGGTAAAAACACGTTTAAGGTATATAGCAAATAATAAGGATATTTTGACGAGAAACTTTCGGAAATGTTTAAAATTGTGAACGTTATATTAAATTATTATTTAAGAAATGTAAATTTCTTTAATCATATAATAAAAGATTACGTCTGAAAGAAGTATAAAAACCTTAATTTCCTGTAGAGTTGAGGGGAGTTCTACTCCATCCGCCGTCATTATACTTACAACCTTGTCTGAAACTGTCATAGCCTTCTCATCTTCATCCTGATGATTATAATATATTAACTAATAGCTAATTATTTTTTTGATTAATAAGTCAATTAGTTGCACTAATTTTTCCTATCAGAAACATTATTACAAAGTTACACACTACAACCCGCTATGTAGGTACTCCATAACGGAATCAACTGTTCAATGCTAATTAATTATGACTAATTAATGAGTTAATTGATCCTACACTAGTAATTACCTGAACAGCTTGTTGGTAGTTAACCAGACCCCGGTAAAGTCCGCCAGTAACCTACACTAGTAATTACCTGAACAGCTTGTTGGTAGTTAACCAGACCCCGGTATAGTCCGCCAGTAACCTACACTAGTAATTACCTGAACAGCTTGTTGGTAGTTAACCAGGCCCCGGTAAAGTCCGTCAGTAACCTACACTAGTAATTACCTGAACAGCTTGTTGGTAGTTAACCAGACCCCGGTATAGTCCGTCAGTAACCTACACTAGTAATTACCTGAACAGCTTGTTGGTAGTTAACCAGGCCCCGGTAAAGTCCGTCAGTAACCTACACTAGTAATTACCTGAACAGCTTGTTGGTAGTTAACCAGACCCCGGTATAGTCCGTCAGTAACCTACACTAGTAATTACCTGAACAGCTTGTTGGTAGTTAACCAGGCCCCGGTATAGTCCTTCAGTAACCTACACTAGTAATTACCTGAACAGCTTGTTGGTAGTTAACCAGACCCCGGTAAAGTCCGTCAGTAACCTACACTAGTAATTACCTGAACAGCTTGTTGGTAGTTAACCAGACCCCGGTAAAGTCCGTCAGTAACCTACACTAGTAATTACCTGAACAGCTTGTTGGTAGTTAACCAGACCCCGGTAAAGTCCGTCAGTAACCTACACTAGTTATTACCTGAACAGCTTGTTGGTAGTTAACCAGACCCCGGTAAAGTCCGTCAGTAACCTACACTAGTTATTACCTGAACAGCTTGTTGGTAGTTAACCAGACCCCGGTAAAGTCCGTCAGTAACCTACACTAGTAATTACCTGAACAGCTTGTTGGTAGTTAACCAGACCCCGGTAAAGTCCGTCAGTAACCTACACTAGTAATTACCTGAACAGCTTGTTGGTAGTTAACCAGACCCCGGTAAAGTCCGTCAGTAACCTACACTAGTAATTACCTGAACAGCTTGTTGGTAGTTAACCAGACCCCGGTATAGTCCGTCAGTAACCTACACTAGTAATTACCTGAACAGCTTGTTGGTAGTTAACCAGACCCCGGTATATTCCGTCAGTAACCTACACTAGTTATTACCTGAACAGCTTGTTGGTAGTTAACCAGACCCCGGTAAAGTCCGTCAGTGACCTACACTAGTTATTACCTGAACAGCTTGTTGGTAGTTAACCAGACCCCGGTATAGTCCGTCAGTAACCTACACTAGTTATTACCTGAACAGCTTGTTGGTAGTTAACCAGACCCCGGTAAAGTCCGTCAGTAACCTACACTAGTAATTACCTGAACAGCTTGTTGGTAGTTAACCAGACCCCGGTAAAGTCCGTCAGTAACCTACACTAGTAATTACCTGAACAGCTTGTTGGTAGTTAACCAGACCCCGGTAAAGTCCGTCAGTAACCTACACTAGTAATTACCTGAACAGCTTGTTGGTAGTTAACCAGGCCCCGGTAAAGTCCGTCAGTAACCTACACTAGTAATTACCTGAACAGCTTGTTGGTAGTTAACCAGACCCCGGTATAGTCCGTCAGTAACCTACACTAGTAATTACCTGAACAGCTTGTTGGTAGTTAACCAGGCCCCGGTATAGTCCTTCAGTAACCTACACTAGTAATTACCTGAACAGCTTGTTGGTAGTTAACCAGACCCCGGTAAAGTCCGTCAGTAACCTACACTAGTAATTACCTGAACAGCTTGTTGGTAGTTAACCAGACCCCGGTAAAGTCCGTCAGTAACCTACACTAGTAATTACCTGAACAGCTTGTTGGTAGTTAACCAGACCCCGGTAAAGTCCGTCAGTAACCTACACTAGTTATTACCTGAACAGCTTGTTGGTAGTTAACCAGACCCCGGTAAAGTCCGTCAGTAACCTACACTAGTTATTACCTGAACAGCTTGTTGGTAGTTAACCAGACCCCGGTAAAGTCCGTCAGTAACCTACACTAGTAATTACCTGAACAGCTTGTTGGTAGTTAACCAGACCCCGGTAAAGTCCGTCAGTAACCTACACTAGTAATTACCTGAACAGCTTGTTGGTAGTTAACCAGACCCCGGTAAAGTCCGTCAGTAACCTACACTAGTAATTACCTGAACAGCTTGTTGGTAGTTAACCAGACCCCGGTATAGTCCGTCAGTAACCTACACTAGTAATTACCTGAACAGCTTGTTGGTAGTTAACCAGACCCCGGTATAGTCCGTCAGTAACCTACACTAGTTATTACCTGAACAGCTTGTTGGTAGTTAACCAGACCCCGGTAAAGTCCGTCAGTGACCTACACTAGTAATTACCTGAACAGCTTGTTGGTAGTTAACCAGACCCCGGTATAGTCCGTCAGTAACCTACACTAGTTATTACCTGAACAGCTTGTTGGTAGTTAACCAGACCCCGGTATAGTCCGTCAGTAACCTACACTAGTTATTACCTGAACAGCTTGTTGGTAGTTAACCAGACCCCGGTAAAGTCCGTCAGTAACCTACACTAGTAATTACCTGAACAGCTTGTTGGTAGTTAACCAGACCCCGGTAAAGTCCGTCAGTAACCTACACTAGTAATTACCTGAACAGCTTGTTGGTAGTTAACCAGACCCCGGTAAAGTCCGTCAGTAACCTACACTAGTAATTACCTGAACAGCTTGTTGGTAGTTAACCAGACCCCGGTATAGTCCGTCAGTAACCTACACTAGTAATTACCTGAACAGCTTGTTGGTAGTTAACCAGACCCCGGTATAGTCCGTCAGTAACCTACACTAGTTATTACCTGAACAGCTTGTTGGTAGTTAACCAGACCCCGGTAAAGTCCGTCAGTGACCTACACTAGTTATTACCTGAACAGCTTGTTGGTAGTTAACCAGACCCCGGTATAGTCCGTCAGTAACCTACACTAGTAATTACCTGAACAGCTTGTTGGTAGTTAACCAGACCCCGGTATAGTCCGTCAGTAACCTACACTAGTAATTACCTGAACAGCTTGTTGGCAGTTAACCAGACCCCGGTAAAGTCCGTCAGTAACCTACACTAGTAATTACCTGAACAGCTTGTTGGTAGTTAACCAGACCCCGGTATAGTCCGTCAGTAACCTACACTAGTAATTAACTGAACAGCTTGTTGGTAGTTAACCAGACCCCGGTAAAGTCCGTCAGTGACCTACACTAGTTATTACCTGAACAGCTTGTTGGTAGTTAACCAGACCCCGGTATAGTCCGTCAGTAACCTACACTAGTAATTACCTGAACAGCTTGTTGGTAGTTAACCAGACCCCGGTATAGTCCGTCAGTGACCTACACTAGTTATTACCTGAACAGCTTGTTGGTAGTTAACCAGACCCCGGTAAAGTCCGTCAGTAACCTTCATCAGCTCCTCGTGTGTCCCCTCCTCCAATACCGCTCCGTCTGATAAAGCGTATATCTTATCTACATCCCGTATTGTTGAGAGACGATGTGCTATTATCAGAGTCGTACGTCCTTCTCTAGCCTGGAGTGTTCAACTTTTACAATACTAAATACTCCTTTATAATAGTCTTACAGTTACATACTTTCATGGAGATTTAAGTACGATTTCTGTTGCATTAAATCTTGAATCCAAATTAATTTCACGACAATATATAAGTTAAATCTTAACCCATTTTTTTTGCAGTGTTATAAACTTTCCCCACCTTATCTAGTGCCTGTTGCACTATTTTCTCCGATTTGTTATCGAGAGCACTGGTCGCCTCATCAAGAAGGAGAATCTTAGGGTCGCGCACTAGTGCACGTGCAATGGCTATGCGCTGCTTTTGCCCTCCTGACATCTGACTCCCTCTCTCGCCACATAACGTATCGTAGCCCTGTTAAGAATTAGTTACAGGTATATTTTAGTGTTGTCAGGTAAAATGGGCACTACAAATTACCGCTAATTACACCAATTCTTTAATATTTTGATTCACTATTCTGTTATTAACAACTCTCATTTCAGTACAGGGGCCTATATAAAGTTAAAACACGTTTACACTATACATGATATTATAGGGAAGTAAGACAATAATCATTACTCTCTCTCTCTCTCTCTCTCTCTCTCTCTCTCTCTCTCTCTTTGTCACCTACATCCTCCCTGATTCCTGGTAAGCTGGTACAACTCTGTTACTCAGTTGTAACCTAAATTAACTTACGAACAATAAAACTGCCTCATTTCTATACCGGTGCAATTTCACATTACACAAGCATAATTATGGTATAAATACTTGAAGTTAATGTACATTATGGAACTTACCCAGACTGGATATAACTATAAGTGGTCCACTGTGATAATATAAGTGGTCCACAATTATGGTCACGTACACAATTACGGTCACGCACAGTAATTTAAATTGTTCAAGAGCATCTGTCTCCCTGTAAAACACTGGATGGAGTCTGTAGACCTTTGGCATGGTTCTGACTTTTCATGACAACTTTTGTCTGCACTTCAATGGACGCAAATTTTTATAAAGATTTTGCCACATTTCCGAATAAAATGGTTGACGGACGATTATTCCTCCAAATATCATGGCAAAACAAGGATATGGATCTCTCAGTAAAGCGCGGCTCTCTCCTGGAAGCAATCTTAGTGTGTGTACACTGTACATTGTACATTGTGCACTATACAATGAGCAGTGTAAATAGTGCATATATCCGGATCTTAACTTACTTGAGCTAATTTTCAAATAGTTTTGACAAGAGAGAGAGAGAGTAGAGACCACACGAGCTGAATACAGTCGTTAAAGTGGTTTGTACGGATTGAAATAATCATGGTAACAAGCTCACAGCTACACAGTACACAGTTATACACATAGTGCAGTGTGTAAACGGTACGTGCCGTACATGTCTTGTACGTACCGTGAACGTGTCTTGTACGTGGCGTGTACGTGCCGTGTACGTGCCGTACGTGCCGTGTACGTGCCGCACGCGTACACACTAGACAGTAGTTATTACACTGCATTTTATACTGAAGATCAGAGAGTTATGCGGTGTGCAGCTCGTCATTAATCTCTGGTTTAGAACTGTCAATTATACTCCGTATATAATAAGTGAGTATAATCTGCGAGTCAGTGCCATGTGAAGCTTATTTAAATAATAATATAATGATTATTAACCTGTAATTTACTAGCAATTTATTCATGAATTATAGACGTTCCCAGAGTGCAGGGTTTCCACACAACAAAGTTATAAAGTAAATTATACGCTCAACTTACCCTACTAAGTTATACGCTCAACTTACCCTACTAAATTATACGCTCAACTTACCCTACTAAATTATACGCTCAACTTACCCTACTAAATTATACGCTCAACTTACCCTACTAAATTATACGCTCAACTTACCCTACTAAATTATACGCTCAACTTACCCTACCAAATTATACGCTCAACTTGCCCTACTAAGTTATACGCTCAACTTACCCTACTAAGTTATACGCTCAACTTACCCTACTAAATTATACGCTCAACTTACCCTACTAAATTATACGCTCAACTTACCCTACTAAATTATACGCTCAACTTACCCTATTAAATTATACGCTCAACTTACCCTACTAAATTATACGCTCAACTTACCCTACTAAATTATACGCTCAACTTACCCTACCAAATTATACGCTCAACTTACCCTACTAAGTTATACGCTCAACTTACCCTACTAAATTATACGCTCAACTTACCCTACTAAATTATACGCTCAACTTACCCTACTAAATCATACTGCTGGGATAGGCCAGCTACCATGGGGTAAGACCCATATGATAAGACAGATAGTATGCCTGGTTTTGGTCTTTAGGTTGGGTAGTGGTCGGAGCCTGCAGCGGATCTGCAATAGAGAAGTCAGACGGGGTCATAAAAGTGGCTACCTCAGCCTACATCGGTACCACGCCTCCTGCTTCTCTAAGGCCCCGGGAGTCTTTATTTAGAGACGAGTTGCCCGGGTTAACAATAAAGGCTTTGTAGGCATCCCTCCACTTACCTGTACTCCGGAAAAGGACAAATTTAGGTAGTCGAGAGTCCTCGACGGTTGAAGCAGGAGAGGGACAGAGTTGTATCTGTGTATGTGGACGTCGGTTTGACACAGTCAAAGGCAGGAATATCCATCGGGGTCGAATGAAGTGCATTTGGGAAGGGGAGTCGTCGGCTGGCAGTATGCCTGTAACTTCGACGGAGGTATCTAGCCAGGAAAACAACCACAGTGCTAGAGATATCCGGGCTCTCCTTGACAAGAGAATTTCAGTCGAACCACCTGCTAGCAAAAGAGACAAGGTGAAGTGGCCGGCGTCCAATGATGGTCGATGGAGTAAGTTTGATGAGTGTTTGGTAGAGAAGTTTGCAGTGGTTCTCAAGCGGAAACCATTTCAAGAGAAGATGGTGAGTCATTGTGATGTAGTGTACGACGAGGGTGTCAAGTTGTTTGGTATTGTTGAAGTAGGTGCTGGTAGTGGAAAGAAGTCCATGAGCTTTAAGAACAGGCGAAAGGAGGAGATTGACAGCCTGATTGAAAAGAGGAAGCAGTTGAGGAGGAAGAAAAGGAAGGCAAGGAGTGAGATAGAGAAGGATGGTTATGAGGCATTATTGAGAGTGTTGGCTGGTCGTTTGATGAAGTTGAGGAGGGCTGAGAAAAGGAGACAGAAGCAGAGAGAGATAAGGAGAGTTAGAGGGGATTTTGGACGCGACCCTTTCAAGACAGTCAAGGGAGTGCTAAATCCAAGTCCAGTGGGGGAGCTTAAGTGTTCAAAGGAGGAGCTAGATGATCACTTGGCCAGAACGTACGGAGATCCAGCCCGGCAGCAGCCCCTTGGTATACTTGAGGGTCTGCCTGAGTGTGCTCCTGAACCCTCTGTTGCCTTTGACCTCACAACGGTATCCAAGAAGGAGTTTGAGGAGGTTGTAAAGAAGGCAAGGAGCAAGAGTGCCCCGGGGAACAACGGGATCCCGTACACAGTGTACAAGAGATGTCCTGGTATTGCCAAGAATCTCTGGGACCTGTTAAGAACTGGATATAAGTTAGAAGAATATCCTGACAATTGTAGGTATTTCGAGGGTGTCTACATCCCAAAGGCGGATGGCGACTTTTCACCAAGTTCAGGACGGCCTATTTCCCTGGGTAACATTCAAGGGAAGATTTATTTGGCGATCCTGGCGAAGAGGTTGACCAGCTTTGTTGTCTCGAATGGATATGTAGACCTCTCTATACAGAAGGGTGGTGTGCCAGGCGTCCGTGGGTGCACGGAGCATTTTGGTGCCATGTGGGAGGTACTGAAGGAGGCAAAGGTCAAGAAGAAGGATCTGAGTGTGGTATGGCTTGACCTGGCTAACGCTTACGGAGCGGTACCCCATGTTCTGATTGCCAGGGCCCTCCGTTTCTACAACGTCCCCGAGAAGGTTATCAATATTATCCTACGGTACTTCTCCGGGGTATTCGGAAGGTTCTCCTCAAGAACGGTGACATCAGACTGGCAGCAGTTTGAGATAGGAATCTTCATGGGGTGTGTGATATCAGTCATCTTGTTTGTCTTGTGCATGAACCTTGGGCATGAACACCTAAAGTCTAAGGTTCCGAGAAGCATTGAGTACATCAAGGATGACACACCGATACCAACTCTGAAGCTGTTTATGGACGATAGCTGTCTGACGACCGCACGTGCAGAGGATATGCAAACGTTACTCAATGTGTTTCAGAAGTACGTGGACTGGTCCAGATTTAAGTTAAAGTCCTCCAAGTCCAGAGCACTGGTGTTGAAGAAGGGAGTGGCTGTGAGGTGGGTTGAGGAGGTAGTGGTAGGAGAGGAGGAGGTGGAGAGAGAAGAGGTGTGTTTGCAGTTGGGTGGTGAGGTGATTCCGAATGTGTCAGAGAAGCCGATAAAATTCCTTGGGAGATGGATAAGAGTGGAAGGAAATGACAAATCAGTCATCGACTCAACCAAGGTCGACCTTAACACTTTTCTTCGGAGACTCGATGAAAGTTCCCTTACTGGACTCCAGAAGTGCTGGGGATATCAGTACATGGTCCTTCCAAAACTGAAGTGGCCTCTTGCCATCTATGATATTCCGATCACAACAGTTACCAGATGGGAACAGAATACCAATAGTTTCCTCAGGAAGTGGTTAGGGGTGGGGCACACTCTGAGTGGTCTTTGTCTGTTCAGTCAATCATCCAGTGTGGCCTTACCGGTGAGCAGTTTGACAGATACATGGAAGATAGAGAAGTGTCGACTGTTGCAATCCTATCAGACATCTAAGGATGACCTGATTAAAGCAGTCCAGCCCCAAGTTCGTTCTGGTAGAGTTTGGAGGCCTGAGACAGAACTGGAAGAGGCCAGAAGAGATTTGGTCTGTGAATCGGTGCGAGGGATGGTGCAACCTCAAAAAAGAGTTGGCATCGGTTTTGGTGACTGGAAAAAATCTTGGGAGAGGATGGATGAACGGGAAAGAGAGAGGGAGGTTATGCTGAGAGTGAAGGAGAACGTTGAAAGAGAGAGGGAGGTGCAAGTAGGTTCTCTGGAGATGCAGAGCAGGTGGGGTGAGTGGAGAGAGCTCGTAATGAAGACGGATTTGAGCTGGCATACACTTTTTAAGTATGGTGACTCACTTATTGGGTTCATGCTAAGTGCTGTGTACGGCACCCTCTTAACCCCCTCTATGGTTTCCAAGTGGAGTGAAGATGAGGATGGGAAGTGCAAGTTATGTGAGGAGAGGATGGGCACCATTCAGCACATTTTGGCTGGGTGTAAGGTGGCCCTTAGTCAAGGAAGGTATAGATGGCGGCACGACAAGGTTCTGAAGCAGATCTCTGAACAGGTTGTCTTCCATTGTGATCGCCGAGTGAACACTTATAAGAACAAGGCCGGCGATGGAAGGCAGTTCATTGATTTTGTTCCTGCTGGGAAAAGAAAAGCAGGTACAGACGACCGGAAGGAGAGTCGTGGTTTTGGGATCCTGAGTGGGTATCGGGATTGGATAGTGCTGTCAGACCTTGAGGGGCAGCTTAAGTTTCCCAGTGAGATTGTGGAAACACGGCTGAGGCCGGACCTTGTGATATTCTCAAGGTCGGCAAAGACAGTTATTTGGTGGGAGCTAACAGTACCATCTGAAGAGCGGATCGCTGAATCGCACGAGTACAAGCTCGACCGATACAGCGGTCTGCAGGCTGAGATTCAGGCGGAAGGTTGGTGCTGTTATAATGCCGCAGTCGAAGTTGGAGCTAGGGGAGTGGTTGCGCAGAGTTTAGAGAGAGCTGCGAGGAGGATTGGTTTTAGGGGAAGAGAGCTGAAGAAGCTGGTACGGGACAGTGGGAAAGAGGCAGCCCACTGTTCCAGATGGATCTACTTGTTATCGAGAAAGAGGGAGTGGGAGTTCAGGAAGGTTGGAGCTTGAGAGTTCACTATAACATCTAGAGGTACCATAAAAGTTATCTCGTCGCCAATTGCGAGCTCTAACGGGTCTCCTCAAGTGACTCTCGGATCAGATGGTGGTTCAAGGGTGGACTGCTGGGGCGCCTGACAGGAAACCGTATTGCGATTAAAGCCCCGAAACGGTGTCAGGTTGGTAACTGATGATTCTGATCCATGCTCCTGTGAGTTTGCTGTTGTATCTCAACTCGCTAAACTGAGGCATCTCCGCATCTTGGGTGAATATGCGTACATCTTCATACTAAACCCAGGTGTGGCATGTGTCAGTGAATACGGGCGAGCGGATGCAATAGCGAAGGTGGTGTGACAAGGCCTAAAAGACACAGTCAGATAGTTGTCAGCTCGCTGACTGTAAGGGAGAAGGTATATCCGTATTTCGCTGCTACTGATGCAGTCCTTGATCTGGCAATCAAGGCTTCTCTGTTTTTCGTCTAACTATGTACCGTTGGGCTTGTGGAACCCGTCAGGGGGACATATATAGGTTAGAATGGTTTTGTGCACCAAGAGGAGTGAGGGAATGAGGGTTGAAGAGAGAGAGCTAGAGAGTTGTTAGGGTGGTTAGGATCAGTATGTGGAGTGTTTGGTTGGAGCGTTCTGTTTTTGCTGTATAGCATTTTAGTCACTCCGCAGTTTATTAACTGTGTCTCAACTATACGCGCTCAACTTACCCTACTAAATTATACGCTCAACTTACCCTACTAAGTTATACGCTCAACTTACCCTACTAAATTATACTCTCAACTTACCCTACTAAATTATACGCTCAACTTACCCTACTAAAAATACTAAAATTCTTATCACACTAAAATGAACGTATCATACTATACTAAAATAAAAACCTTGATTGAAATGTACAGGCTATAATAATGCATATTATACTTGAACACTGAGTATGATCCTAACAGAAACACCGCTGCAGTAAGAGGTAGGGACTAGGGAAGGTGCCAAGAATTATACCCGAAATGGCAGTAATCAGTATACTGACAGTGTGTAAACTATGTCATTTTACTGGCACCTGTTTCTATACACTCTAATTAATTGATAAGGTATGATAAAGAACTTCAATAGAAATTATAACGTGTATCAGGAATGTGAACTGCAATCCTCAGCAGCTCTAGACTGGGTAAATTATCGTTATGTTTTCTTTACACAGTAAAACAGTGTGTGTAACCCATAACATAATGCATCACGTACCTGCATCACGTACCTACCGTGCAATTAGGACAGACTACACGACGTAGTGACGTACACACTAAAGGTACACCTCTCTGAGGCAGGGGTTTGGTTAATTAGTTAGAGCAGACACTGTATTACGTAATTGATTACAGCTGATGTTCTAGACAAGAATTATAGGGTATTACGTAATATAGTAGGATTAGGTATAGACTTTAGTATGGGTTAGTAGGGGAACTACTGGTTACCTAACACTCTCTATGCCGTCTAAAGCGAGTGATTTTTTCAAAATATTAAGTCCACACAGCGCAAATTTGATTTTTCTCTCCGACTGATCTTTTTTAGCCTTTTTTTCTTGAACGCCCGATAAAACAGCGGGGACGCAACTTACAATCTAATTCATTCTTTACAGTTTGAATCACAGTGTAATGAAAGTACATTGTACAAAAGATCTGTTGGTGTGGCAGGGAAGATCAGAAAGTCCAAAAGATGCAAAATGTACAAGAATTAAGATGCAAGTTGTAAGTTCATGGCAATTAATCTTGACTAGGTACCTGCTTCCGCTAACCAAGACACCAGTTACCAGTCACCAGATCTCAGTTACTAGATAAGTTACCAGATCTCAGTTACTAGATAAGTTACCAGATCTTTTGTCTGATTTTTTAATAGAGCTGAAATTTAAATATGTACTACAATTAACCACAAGCGAAGACATGTATTCTCCAGTTCTTGTCTCTAACCGAAAATAATCTATTATATTCTGAGCTCTCCCATTCGGAGGTAAGAGTTGACATCTTACAGATTTAACTGATCCTAACTAAGGTTAAACCCTAGTTTAACTCAATTAATTAACTTATTAATTATTATATTATATAACTTTATTCAAATCAAAAATAGAACATAAAGAACATCTTGATGACCTTATGAGTATTGCTGAAAGCACAGTGTAAGGCCTACACGGACCGCCTCTAACTAGCCAATCCCTGTTTACATGACTTATTAATTAACTCATTAATTAACTCATTAATCAACTCATTAATTAACTCATTAATTAACTCATTAAATGACTCATTAATTAGCTCAATAATCCAACAACTCACATCTGGAAGCTGGGATATAAAGTCGTGTGCGAACGCTTTCTTAGCTGCTTCAACTATCTCCTCTTTACTAACACCTTCCCTTCCGTAACGGATATTTTCCTGATTAATGAATATTATACTTTAAATTATTAAAGTTGTCACTGAATTTACTGAATTTAAATTAGTATGTAATGTAAAAGCAATGACTTAATTCAAAACGGTAAATAATAAAATTATACCGAAACAGAATCATCAAATTATATCGATCAATGATATTTAAGTATCGAGATTAATGATTAAATATAGGTTTAAATAGTGAAATTAGTGATTAAATATCCTAACCTCAACAGAGGTGGAGAAAAGTACAGGTTCCTGTCCAACTAGACCGATCTGTTCTCTTAACCAATGTAAATTCAGCTTCTTTATGTCCACTCCATCAAGTAAAACCTAAGATATGTGTGCTGGTAAATTCCATTATAGCCATAATATAGGTATTCGTTAGATTGTTGGAAACAGACAGCACGAGTATTTGCTGTGACAACTAAATTAATGGTTACCATGACAACTACACTGGTTACCATGATAACTACACTGGTTACCATGACAACTACACTGGTTACCATGACAACTACACTGGTTACCATGACAACTACACATGTTACCATGACAACTACACTGGTTACCATGACAACTACACTGGTTACCATGACAACTACACTGGTTACCATGACAACTACACTGGTAACAACTAACCGATCCCTCAGTAACATCGTAGAATCTCTCCAGAATGGCCACAGCAGTACTTTTACCACACCCACTTTGACCAACGAGAGCGTGTGTTTTGCCAGGCTCTAATACCAAGTTGAAATCCTTCATTATCTGAGGTAGAGAAATCAGAGAGTTAGCTGGTTATTGACTATGATTGATTCTTCGGAGATTTACAGGGGTGACAAGAAGATTGGTACATCTGGAATCTGAACATATCATGTAGCACGACCAATCAATAACCCAAACGGGTCAATCGTTGGAAATATTAATCTGATTAAGCTATTAATTAAATAACACTACTAATAAATATTCGTTATGTACAAGTTCTAACTTCTATTCCATTTGATTAAACAAAATAAAGTAAAATGGTATTTACCGTAATATCAGATCGGGAAGGATAGCTAAAATTACAGTTTTTAAACTCTATTCTCCCCTCCAATCCTGGTATCGTCTCCCCTCCCTCCTCCTCGTGGTCTATCTTTGATTCCTGAAGTTTGACAGCGGTACAATACTTGCAAAATCTTGTAAAATCATTCAAAAATAACTTGAGGAGACGATGAATCTATTCTGATTATTGACCTTCTTCATAAAACAAAACACGTAAATCTCACAGACCCTATCAATAGTAGCGAATACTTTACAAGCAGCCCCGCGCCCTACAGTCATTATCTTCCACTGGGGAGCAGCGAAGCCCATTCCCCACGCTCCAATCAGGACGTTGAAGAAAGCAACTAGAACATCAGCTGGTTTAGTGGTCCCCTCCCCTGTTAGCTTAGCTCCGTACCTAGAGGGGTTACACCGTGGTTACTGTGGTTACTGTGGTTACTGTGGTTACTGTGGTTACTGTGGTTATTGTGTTTACTGTGGTTACTGTGGTTATTGTGGTTATTGTGTTTACTGTGGGTACTGTGGTTACTGTGGTAACTGTGGTTACATGCTGTTGTAGGTCACAGTTATCATGCTATACAGATTAGAGCATTATATACTTCGCTGAGTGCCATGCTAGAGTTGGTTCTTTTGTGATACTGAAAACGCTACAACTAGCACTGGATCGCGACAACGAGTGCTGAATAACGCTAGTTGTCGATATCCAGCGCTAGTTGTCACGTTTTCACTATCGCAATTTAAGAACCCTAGAGTTAACATCAAGGTCGGCATAATTAAGTGTAAGATGGTCTTAAAAGTGAAATTAAAAGTAAAATTGTACTCAAATAGTCTAATTGGTTGAAGATTGTAATTTCAAAGTACTTTGAAAATCACCTAAATTTCAATGTAGAGATGATTACTACATCGGATTACTCACCAAAATGCCAGTGCGTACATCAAAAACATCAGTCCATTAACTGAGGCAAGAGATAAGGCATAAACTAGTGTGTTTTTCTTTCCAGTTTCCACTGTTGTGTCTAACTTTCCCTTATACCTGAAATATTACAATATTATGATTAAAAACTTTAAAATATTATGACAGTCATTGAATAATTATACAATTTTCTCAGGTTCAAACTACGATTAGATTTAACAAGTTAGTGATGCCTTAGATGATCGTTTACCACCGAAGACACATATTCTATAGCTATGGTCTCTAATCTACAATTTATATGATGTATTTTTAGCTCTTTACCTCTGATAACATGACAACTACACAGGTTACAGGTTACCATGACAACTACACAGGTTACCATGACAACTACACAGGTTACCATGACAACTAGACTGGTTACCATGACAACTACACTGGTTACCATGACAACTACACTGGTTACCATGACAACTACACTGGTTACCATGACAACTACACAGGTTACCATGACAACTACACAGGTTACCATGACAACTACACTGGTTACCATGACAACTACACAGGTTACCATGACAACTACACAGGTTACCATGACAACTACACAGGTTACCATGACAACTACACTGGTTACCATGACAACTACACAGGTTACCATGACAACTAGAGAGTCACATCTGATGACTTCAGTGAAAGGGCTGATGACTTCAGTGAAAGAGCTGGTGACCTAGTGAAAGTGCTGGTGACGATGAGAAAGACCATAAACCAGGGATTCCTTCGGGAGCATGTAAGATTATATCCAAAGTTTGTTCGCCAATGGGGTGTGTCTGGGTGTCAAAGATCTTCAAGGTGGGTGCTACTTGTGATGAACTCTAGAAGGATGGGATGGTAATACTCGGTCTGGCCGTCTGGAAGCCCATAGAATTCCAGTTCAGAAACCGAGTAAGGAGGTGCGGCTACTGATGAGAAGCCTCCTTAAAGTTTATTTGGGTTAGAAACGACATCTGGGTCCCTACCCTCGCACAAGATTATTCTCAATTTTCTTGTTGTGTCCACAACTATACCGTTGATCAGAGTCACATCTGATGACTTCAGTGAAAGGGCTGATGACTTCAGTGAAAGAGCTGGTGACCTAGTGAAAGTGCTGGTGACGATGAGAAAGACCATAAACCAGGGATTCCTTCGGGAGCATGTAAGATTATATCCAAAGTTTGTTCGCCAATGGGGTGTGTCTGGGTGTCAAAGATCTTCAAGGTGGGTGCTACTTGTGATGAACTCTAGAAGGATGGGATGGTAATACTCGGTCTGGCCGTCTGGAAGCCCATAGAATTCCAGTTCAGAAACCGAGTAAGGAGGTGCGGCTACTGATGAGAAGCCTCCTTAAAGTTTATTTGGGTTAGAAACGACATCTGGGTCCCTACCCTCGCACAAGATTATTCTCAATTTTCTTGTTGTGTCCACAACTATACAACTACACAGGTTACCATGACAACTACACTGGTTACCATGACAACTACACAGGTTACCATGACAACTACACAGGTTACCATGACAACTACACTGGTCACTATGACAACTACACAGGTTACCATGACAACTACACTGGTTACTATGGCAACTACACAGGTTACCATGACAACTACACAGGTTACCATGACAATTACACAGGTTACCATGACAACTACACAGGTTACCATGACAACTACACAGGTCACCATGACAACTACACAGGTTACCATGACAACTACACTAATTACCTCTGAACCTCTGTTTTCTCGCCCCCAAAAGCAACCACAGTCCTAATACCCCCGATAACTTCCTCTGCAACAGCCCCAGCTGCAGCGTAAGCAGTCTGCTCTTTTGCTGTGAAACCCGCCAGGACCTGGTTGTAATAATCCCAATAGTACAGAATATCATGATAAAGAAAATTTAAACGATTATAAGAAATAATTGATTTTACAATTTAGAACATGGCTGGTTATGAAAACAGGTGCGACTAGACGTCGAGGAACAACTTTAATTTAAGACTGCAAGATTTTGAAATTTTAAAACTGAAATCTTTGTCTTTTTTAAAATCCTATTTCACAGAAAGTGCAAACTGTGCATTTTTATATTTGTTAGATTTTTCAACATCTTTTCAGCTTTTGTCGTACATTTAAATATTATTATAAACAGTAGCACAATAATATGGTACCTTAGCAAAAATAGCACTAAGAACACCCATGATAGGTGCGACAGACATTATAACCAGGGATAGTCGCCAGGAGTAGGAGAAAGCAATCGCAATACCACTTAAAAAACAGAAGGTCCAAGTGACAAATAGGCCTGATTTGTCTGACAGACCGTCTCTTATCATCTCTATATCCCTGAATTAACGTTTATTACTGGTTACCATGAAAACTACACTGGTTACATGAAAACTACTGCACTGATTACCATGACAACTAGACTGGTTACCATGACAACTGATTAAAAGATAATAAAAAACATGCCAACCCCTGGAGTCTTGTAGTAAGTTCACCACTTGATACCGTATCATACCATCCCACCTCTTGTCTTAGCATTGCTCTGAAATACGCTTTACGCACTCTGGACGTTTGCCTCTCCGCAGAAATGTTTAAAAATGCTGTGGCGACATATCCAGCCAATACCTGGAACAGGCCCAGGCCAATGTACCATAATGCGAACGTTAACATTTCTTTTTGTATATTAATATTTGGATCATTCTCCATAGCTTCAGAATTTGATCCTAAGTTTTCAATCATTTCACCTGGAGAAACGTAAGTGGGTCAATATACGTTTAGAAAATGAAACTGCGAGATTATGTGAGTGGTAACTCATCAAAAAAACATTTTAAAACTTTGGTAATCTAGCTAGGCACACTTGGGGAACACTCGTGACACACTAGGGGCAAAAAGTTATTTGGGGCACACTTGGGGCCACAGACAGCTGCTTTTTAGGGAAGTCGTTTTTTAGGGAAGTTGTTCACTTAGATAAAAATGAGAGGGATGTTAACAAAAAATCAATTTGGGGTATTTTTGGTACAACCTAATTTATTTAAAGATAATTTAATTAATAATTAATTATAAATTACATTCTTACCAAAAATAATCATGATTCCAGGCCAGGAAAAGCCTTTGAACATCGCAAACAGGAATCCAGTTAAAATCAAAAGCCAGTCAACTGCTGTTGCATATCGATACTGAAAAATACATGATCATGTGAATTTTTAATATTCAGGAAATTGCTGAACAGCAACCTCTACATGATTAAGTTTGAGATAGGCCTTTTGTATTCAATTTTGAAAATCTTGGACCTGGCCTCGTTTTCTTACGATTTTTTGAGGTCCAAGATTTTCAAATTAAATAAAAAATTTAAATAAAAAAAAGGCCTAGATCTCAAAATTTTGTCTGAGCGGTCTCTTTTAAATGGTGCCTATACTAGAACATATCCTGAAAGTTTGAGGGTGATTGCTCAAAAAAAGTAGGATTTCAGAGTGAATTTTGACGAAGACCCTTCTCCCGGCCCCCTTAAATATGAAATCACAGGTAAGGAAGGCCCTAACATTAACGAATAATTAGTTATAGTTACTTACATATTCAAGGATTCCAATAAGAGGTTCTTCTTCCTTTTTTTCCTTCTTTTTCTTGCCAGACTTCTCCTTCTCCCTGAATGAATGTGGTTATTTCGATAGGATTTTCCAGATATGATAGTTGAATGTACATGTTGTGTGCAACTATAATGATTGTGTCTTTTCCTAAAATTTCAGTAGTCAATAAAACGAGTTGATTGTTTTCAATGTAACTGTACAGTGGCCGTATCGTGACCGTATCGTGGCCGTATAGACTATAGAGCCGTATAGTAACCGTATAGTGGCCGTAAAGAGGCCGCATAGTGGCCTTATATAGGCCATATCTACCAATTAATCTCCATATAATAAACAATCAAGTACATACTTTTTTGAAGGTTCATCAACCTTAACACTGACATCCATCGCTTCAGTTTCATTCAAACCGTTTGATAGCACACTTTCCGATGCCATTGTAACACCTAAATGAAAGAGGAAGACAATCAGAAAATAATTAGTAACAAGTGAAGCACCCACAATTAGCTTCGATTTTGAAATATTTTTTATGAATAAAATCTACCACAGCCCTGAAAACATCCACAACCCCCAAAACACCCATCTTGTACCCAAATGACACAGTTTGATTCGGTGTGTTTGAAGTTATTTCAACTCTTCATTCTATGTGTCCAATAGTTCTTCCTGCAGTTTTACCACTTTCTATTGAGCTCCCCTTTTGTTGCCCCCTCCCCCCCCCCCCCCCCCCCCCCCCTAAAATTGAACGAATTAGGTTATTTTAGTATACCTTACTCGGGAATATTATAGCGGGTTAATTTATGACTGGGAAAATTAATAACCGGGAAAAATATGGCGGACTTTCCCAAAACCCGCCAAATTATCCCGGTCATGTATTTACCGGTGGCCGACCTTTCAAGTTTGTTTTCAGAGGTCAACAAATTTTCAACCGAAATTTCTGTTTTTTTTACTTGTTAAAGAAGTTATTTCAATTTACAGTTACTGATATTACTCATAAATAGAAAAAAAGACACGTCTAGTATTTAAAGGAAAATAAATCTATAGCAATAATAAGTCAAATCTTCATTAAAGCGTATTCTCATTCTCATTATCGCTAATGTCCCCTCCATTATCATTATTGATATCCCCCTGCTGCTGACCGTCAAATTCGAAGTTGTATTGTTGTCTTAACAAGACTTTCATTTTGTCCGCTAATGGGGCTACTGCTCTGGAGGTCAGCCGGAGCTTAATTTCCTGCCCACCGCTTGGTATTGGGGAACGTCTTGGCTTTGCATATTCAACTGCTCCAGTCATCAATCCACCGTGGACCATGAAATTGAAATAAATTTTCGTGCACATACAGAATGAATGGTTAATAATTTAATATTATATATGTAGACCAAGCTCTGTGCACGGGATGCTTCCTGGAAGAATCCAGTTCTTTTAGCGGGGCACCCTACCTAAAGCCAAATTGAGATATAATAATCATATTCCTAGAGAAATAATCAGAAATCGAATACCAATCAAATAATATGATATATATGAGTAGTAACCATATTTACTATGCAAAATGCCCCAACCACATAGTGTAAATTTATATAGAATTCAAATTCCATATCATCATTAAACCTCAATACCTAGTCAATATAATAGCCCAAGCAAAATTAAATAACTTCTTATATACCTTACTGTCATACTACAAATTAATTAAACATTTGAAATCTGTTGACCAGAGAATAAATTTCTAAGCCTAATGCAAGTGAAATAATTTAGATGCAATAATGAATGCCTAATGTGAGTATCATTTGTCAATGTCCTTGTAAAAAAGTCTGTACAAGAGATATGAGTAACTAATATAGAAGAAAAAACAGGAAGTTGTCGTCTGTTGTAAAATAAATAAAATATCTAGAATATAAATTAGAATATAAAATAACATTCAGTCAATGTGTCGTCAATAAACTGTACAATTATCAAATGTTAAAACTGGGTGATACAGTCACCAAAAAAAAATACTAAGTATGATAAGTTAATAAATTAAATGTGGTCTATAAAACTACCACTAAGTATAATAGGTCAATAAATTAAAAGTGGTTTATAAAACTACCACTGTGGGAACCCCTTCTCCAGTTAAAACATGTCAGTCATGTGCAAAATCAATCAGAATGGTAAGGTGGTAAAAAAGGGAATATCTTTTCGATACATCAATTATATATGCCTCAGATTTAAAAGAATTAGAAGTTACTTAGTTATCGGCGACTATGATTGCAGTGTAAAATTTGTCATATGAATTGTCGACGGTATAATTAGGGTCTGTTGTTATAGATGATAGTAGCTGTTTGAAATAGTGGCACAGTTTACTCACTTCATGGAAAAGAAAAGTGAGAATCACGGTCCACCCTGAAATCTGATTTCTATAACCAAATTGTGATTTTTATAACGAAATTATGGTAGCAACCGCCAATAAAGTTACAGCCCTCTATCCACTGCTTCAAAAGTCTTCTCTAGCACATATGAGACTTCAGGTAAAATATGATGATCACCACCCCCTTGGAACCCCATAATCTGAGTCGGCGGGTTTTTTTATGACTGGTAAAATTTTTAACCGGGAAAAATATGGCGGAATCTTCCAAAACCCACCACTTTATCCCGGTTATAATAATCCCGAGTAAGGTAGAGGATACGCCGGTAAAATCACTTAAAAAGTGTGTTGCTAGTACCTCAGTTAAGTTTTTCAAGATTGCCCCACATTCAAACGACGATTTTGCCCCCCAAGATGACCCCACTCCCCCACACAGCAGGGTCAACAGGGCCCTTTGTTACGCCACTGCTCCAACTGGTCAACAGCACACAGCAGATCAGCAATAATTAATCAATTAAAAACGATGAACAAAATTGGATGTCAGTAAATATACATCTTTTGTTGACTAATTGCCCACCCATGGTCCACATATTAATCAAGGGGTTCCTTGTAAGGAAACTATAAATAGTTTATGGTTGGTTATCAATAACATCTGCAATCACAAAATCAAACAATTACTCTTGTCCTAATATTTAACAATTAGCAGTATGCATTACAAAATATAATATATAAAATTATTCAAACAATATACACATAATATAGCAATGACCCTATATAAAATCAACCCTTTAAGAATTCAAAAATTTCCCTTAACAACCAAAAATTACCCTTGGCCTTGTGGCTCCAAGTTAAGATCTAGACTGTTTATATCAACAATGTTTTTTCTCGCACCTCTGTCTCCACGGAGAGAAATCACTGTTGTTCTTAGGATTTCAAAGCGAAGACGCTTTCTAATGTATCCTACAGCGTCTGAGTACCTGGCCAGTGTGGTACTCCATCTTACTGGCCAGCTTCTTGACCAGTCTCTCAGCTTCACCACCCATTCCACCAGAAGTCGAGAACACTAAAGGTGTGAAGCTTCCTTTCCCCACTTCAAGAACCCTTGCATTGTAGCATCGCTTTTTCTCATTTTCATGGGACAGGTACATTGCTGGTATCAATTTGTTTGCATTGGAGGGGGCTGGGGCATGAAATACCCTAACATCAAAAAATGCCCTCTCTGAAGCATTCCAAATCGATCTTGCAGAAATGTCCAGCCTGGCTTGGTCTCCTAGGACTGTTCCCTTTGGTAACTCTAGACCATCAATATTTAACAATTACCCAAAAACCACCCACTAGCCTTACAAACATCAATGTCTAATACTGAAACCAAGCAACTCTTATCCCTATGACAACTACTCATCCTCAAACACTCAAAGTTGATAAAGAACAACCCCCACCATGACTACTGCAGCAGGAGATGCAAGTTAATAAATAACCTCTTGGAACCAGTATATTTTTACCAGTGATCAATCAGTGAGGTCGGTGAAAGTGACACGAGTCACCATCATGCAAAGTACTGGAATCAGTATATCCGGAAAAATATTGATGCAATGAAAATTTTGAATTAAATATGTCCCACCGGTAGCTGAAATTCGAATATTGAATATAGAATATGTCCTCGCGTTGTATACAATGCCTCTTATCGTGCGCGCGCTGACAGCAGGCCGGAAAAAGTTTTCCCGTCTATTCTTTTCTGAAATAAAAGGTACACTGGAGTGTCACATCTTTTCGTTATTTCTGATAATGATATCATGATATATAATACAAACAGTGTTTACTGTTAAACCAAAAATTTTCATTAAACCATTGTAGCGCGATGCACTACTGGGCCGCGCCGCGCATCTTCTGGCATGCAGATCGGCGAGATGCGAAGGATTGACATCGTGAATCAAATTAAACCATAACTCCACTTCCAGACCACCGATTTACAAAATAAAAAATAAGTGTTTGCTGCATGTTTAAAGCTAGAAAATGTTAAAATATTCTTTGTTCTTGTACGTTAAAAATAATTGATAGTGGTCATTTGAATTGTGCTGCAAAATTTGAGGGTTTCGACGCGCCGCGCAAACTATCATTTTTACTTTGCAACGATATCATTGCTTTGTTAATTCGCAAAGCAAATTAATTAATTGGTTGAAAAAGTCAACCCGTTAATTTGCGCAAATTAACGGGTTGACTTCTTCAATCAACCTGTTGAAACAATTATCACACTTTCCCAGAAAACCTTACCGCCTGCACACAGGGGAGCTGAAACCAGGTTTTCGATCAAACATTGCCATTTGTAGTCAAACGTCGCCAACAGTTGCTCTCGTCCAATGAAATTTAATCGCTGCATTATGAAAGCCAAGCTTCGCATACGAATGTATGTAATTCAATTGTGCATAATGGCAGGCAAAATGCAGCGATTTAATTGGACGAGAGCAACTGATGGCGACGTTTGACTACAAATGGCAGCGTTTGATCGAAAACCTTGTTCCAGCCCCCCCCCCCTGTGCCTGCTGGGCTCGCTAGAGGTGATAAATTTTCAACAGCACGTTTGTCGTCGCGCGTCAAGTCAAGTTTACTTTTCGCACGCTGCATTTAGCCTAGTAGTCATGACAACGACATTTAATTACTTTGCAAAGTTTAAAATCTGTGATCTTTTATTTAGCCCAAAATCAAACTTTTCGGTTTAATTGATCAGAATCTAACTTGTCCCAAATTTGGCTCCTGGGGAGCTAATTTTAAATTTACGAGACGGAAATTTTGTTGAAAACCGGAAGGTACTTCTATCTATTTTACAATTTTGGAGATATACCCCAGCCGGTAGGGTTTCCTGGGTTGTAACAGCATATGTATCAAGGACAGCTTCACCACAAATAAGAACATCAGTAAATAAAATTGCCACAAGTGTTTCTCTCATTCACTTTCGATAAGACACATTGGAAATTCTTACTTCCATAAGATTCGGAATTTTTTTAAACGCCGAAGAATATAGGAATTTTATAAAATTTAATCGCACTAATCAACCTTTGAACGGTTAATCGAACACAATAATTTTCAAGCATGTCAACGCTGAAAATTACATTTTAACTACATGCAAAGTTGTTTAACCAATTTTGAGTTTTGATCATTATCTACAATGTAAATAAAACACCTTCTATAATTACTCACGTTCAAGGTCATAGTCACGTGACTTCAGGCTCATAATCACGTGACCTCAGACCCAATCGATTGGGTTCTGGCCTGGTCAGCCCCCTGTCATCCGATCTTGAGGTGACGTACGACACCTCGTTAACCCAATCAATGTCTGGAAGGCTGCAAATTTTCACATGCCAAATTCACAAGATTCTTAAAGAGTTGTGCGAGATACATAGAGGCCGCAAAATTATGAGGACTACCAGATCCTGGTATCAGAGCAAATATGAACATAAAACTGACAAAATTTTATCGAATAGGGCTTATCTGAAAATTAACGAATAGCGTGACGTGTACAGGAGATAAAAGATTAAAAGAGATATCAGACAAAAGAAATTAATGGACAGCAGAGAAGTGAAATTTAAACGAAAATATTACTATTTACACGTCACTTAACTAAAAACTGTGTAAGTTTGTTCAACTCTGTTTTGTCGTTGAGGGTAGGTTTCATTTCAACTAAAAATCGGGCTTCTTTAATCTTTCTGTTGATGAGTGATGTTCCTATGTCTACGATTTGAAGTTTTAGCTTTGGGGGGCCAGTGTGCTGAGGGTGACTTTCCTAAGTCGATCTTCTTGTAGACGTTTTCTTGTAAAACTCTGCTGTTTTGTCAGCGACGGAAATTTCAAGGTCTTCAACACCTACAGGATAAACTGGGCAAACAAAAGTACATACACAAGTTAACTAAAACTCTAGAAGACGATGTTAACTCAACATTCAAGAACATTGCCAAGAGTCGTAATCTCCCTCAAGATGTCACTAAACTGTTAATGAGTTATCACACCACCCTCGCTACTGCAAGAGTGATGCTTAAAACCCACAAGTACACAAGTGAGCAGATCAAGACCCTTAACCCTGACACAATGAAAACTAGACCTATTGTTTCAGGCTGCAACTCCCCTTTTCACAAAATCCTTTGCTTTGTCTGTCACATTCTATCTCCTCTGATGAATCTAGTACCTTCACATTTGAAAAACGATTTTCTTCAAAGGATTAAAAACAACACACCAAATGATCTGAAGAGTCTTACTTTCTTCACAGCAGACGTCGAAGCTTTATACACCAACATCAACGTACTAACAGCAATAGAAGATGTCATGGAATTTGCTAAAGAAAATAGACAGTCAATCAGTACATACGGTCTCCATCTCTCTGATTTACAAGAACTACTAGAGACAACCCTACTACCCTAGGAAAGTCATATTTTGTCTACAACAATCAAGTCTATCTACAGCTTCTTGGATTGTTCATGGGAACCAACCCTGCACCTATACTAGCTACTGTCAAAGTAGCTAGGGAAAGTCACCCTCAGCACACAGGCCCCCCAAAGCTAAAACTTCAAATCGTAGACAGAGGAACATCACTCATCAACAGAAAGGTTAAAGAAGGTCGATTTTTAGTTGAAAAGAAACCAACACTCAACGACAAAACAGAGTTGAACAATCTAATACAGTTTTCAGTTGAGTGACGTGTAAATAGTAATATTTTCGTTTCAATTTCACTTCCCTGCTGCCATTAATTTCTTTTATCTCTTTTAGTCTTTTAATTTTATCTCCTGTACACGTCACGCTATTCGTTAATTTTCAGATAAGCCCTATTTGATAAAATTTTGTCAGTTTTATGTTCATATTTGCTCTGATTTCGTAAAAAACTATTTTACAGTGGATAACTATTTTACAGTTATATATTTTGTTTGAAATAAATTCCGTCGTAAAATTTTTGTATGTACATATTGATTGTTATAATTGAATTAAAACTATTTTAGAATATGAGTATGACGTAGAAATGTCGATACGTTATTCAGCTATTTATTTCCATTAGAATCTGTCTTCTCTGAGTCTATTCAGAAACAATCAAAAATTTGAATAAAAGAACTATACAAACTTAATATTAATGTTTTCTTAATATAATTTGTTTTCGTGTTCAATATCAGGGTTCAAAAATATGTGCACTAAATATTCCAAAAATATTTCACAATGTCTATTGTCTACACTCTACAGACTGCTTTTACATTTTACAAACAGAGGCAGATTACCAGGAACCAGTCTAACCCTAAAATGGTGTCAAGACTCAAGAGACTAAAACAATTATTACCTATTTAATTCGCGTTTTTGACACCACTTGGGGTACCAAATTTTGGGCTCTAAAACTCCTATTTCTTGGCCAATTTTTTATTTTTTCATGCTGATTTGGAGGCCATTAAAGCATTTGACCCAGTCAAAAAAGTTTCAGTTGTATATCTTTTACGGTTTTTGCAGAAATTCGCGTTAAAGTTGATGCCGTGGTGTCAGTAAAATGGCACAGATAAATATATATATATCGTCTCGCTTTATATATAGTAAGATTATAAATGCTCATAATAAGTTCTAAGAATCTGCTGTAGATGAAAATTGTCTGATTCACTCACCACACTTAAGGGGACATACACCAAAACCTTTTTTGCCGGGACCCGGGATTTGACTTCATATTATGAAAGTATAGATTACAACTGTAAGATTTGAGGCATTGAAAATTTTTTTGAGAGTACGCACATTCGAAAAAAAAATTATTTTCTTTTTCGAAAGTTTTGGAAATTTTGAGAAGTCTGTCACTGTAGTACCGATATTTCAGTCATTTTAAACTTTTTTTGGCTGATTTTTTAACTGAACATTATTTACAATGCGTACAAGAAGCCCTTCAAAGGATTTCATAATTAAAGAATAGATGACGAAGTTACAGACCAAACAAGGTCGAGAGAAGCAAAATTGAAATTTTTGTAAAAATCAAAGTTGTATATTTTACCATTCACCCAGGTCATAAGATATCGCTTCACAAATTCTTGTGAGTGTAGCTGATGATCATATCCAACTTTTTGGAACAGGATTTCTCTCAATTTTGAGTTTTAAGGTATGAAATGTGGCCTCAAACGACTTAGTAAAATTCATCGTAAAAAAGGGCCAAACATGGCAGATTTAAGGCTTAAAATGCCTATAACTCAAAAAGCATCAATGTTTTTGAAATAATTTTTACAGAATCGTAATCAGCTTGAGAAGACGAATCTTTTAGTACCAAATAGGTTATTTTAGAAGACAAATTGTCTTAAATAATTTTCTAGCTTGAACACAAGGGTCCCCTCTTGTATAAATTTTGTACAAATTGTACACATTTTTTTACAAATTTTGTGTCTTAAACTATTATAAATTTGGTACTAAAAGATTCGTCTTCTCAAGCTGATTACGATTCTGTAAAAATTATTTCAAAAACATTGATGCTTTTTGAGTTATAGGCATTTTAAGCCTTAAATCTGCCATGTTTGGCCCTTTTTTACGATGAATTTTACTAAGTCGTTTGAGGCCACATTTCATACCTTAAAACTCAAAATTGAGAGAAATCCTGTTCCAAAAAGTTGGATATGATCATCAGCTACACTCACAAGAATTTGTGAAGCGATATCTTATGACCTGGGTGAATGGTAAAATATACAACTTTGATTTTTACAAAAATTTCAATTTTGCTTCTCTCGACCTTGTTTGGTCTGTAACTTCGTCATCTATTCTTTAATTATGAAATCCTTTGAAGGGCTTCTTGTACGCATTGTAAATAATGTTCAGTTAAAAAATCAGCCAAAAAAAGTTTAAAATGACTGAAATATCGGTACTACAGTGACAGACTTCTCAAAATTTCCAAAACTTTCGAAAAAGAAAATAATTTTTTTTTCGAATGTGCGTACTCTCAAAAAAATTTTCAATGCCTCAAATCTTACAGTTGTAATCTATACTTTCATAATATGAAGTCAAATCCCGGGTCCCGGCAAAAAAGGTTTTGGTGTATGTCCCCTTAAGCTATGAAGTTTACTGTCCTATCAACAAACCATTTCCTTTTAGGTTATTACTGGTTTCTTAGTCCATAGTTATACTAGATTTGGGGAATTTTTTCCATCATCCTGGTTTTCTTTCTCCTCCGATTCAATCTAGTCAGATCCTTTCTCTATCCTTGCTATCTCACATTCTTCGACATCTTCATATATTATATCTTCCTCTTTTCTTCCATCTTTTTTCTCGGCAACAGCTGCTTCAGCTCCTTGAGAAGAATTTGCATAAGGATTAGAATTGACAACAGAAGCCTGAGTAATGCTGACATTCTGTTTCCCCTCCTCTTTCTTAGACTGTTTTATTCCCAATAAAGCAAGTGTGTTGTCTTTGACATCTTCTTGGAACACGACCAAAGCAGTGAAAAGGAGAGGTCCTTGTAGTCCTGTTAGAAGAATGAAAAAGTACTGCATGTACACAGCTCCAGGACCAACTGCAAGGGCGATCACAATCCAAGGACACCCAATTGAGACTGCAACCATCATCAATGCTTTAGCTGTTCTTTCTAAACTAGAAATTCCACTTCCAGACTTTGCTGCTCGGATAATTACTCTAGCTATCATTCCAAAGCAGACACAGTTGAAGAGAATAATAGTGTACGCAGGCACCATGAACCCAACATACTTCCAAGGATCTTCAACCCAGCAGCTGGTGTCATTCTTTCTTGCTGCTCCAACATACGGCGTAGAGTAGTCATCCTTATTCAGTGTAAGTGACGTCAAGAAGGCTGCAACTGGAAATATCAGTGGTAGTAACCAACTTACAGCTACACACTTGTGGAAGAAAAACTTGTCTTTATTTCCGAAGGTCTTTATAGCATTAACTATCTTTCCGAAGAAGTTCCAAGCACAGCATACCATCCAAGAAAGAGCAGACAGAAAGAAGTATTGGGTAATGATCACACCTGCAACACATCCTTTGTTTAATGACAATAGAGGGTTACCAGATTGGTCCACAGTTATTTTGGTAGAGGCAGAAAGGGAGGTAAAGGACAGGTTAGCCAATATCAGAGCCAGTATAAGATTAAGTTGGATCAGAGTGGCCTGCTTCTGTCGCAGCTTCTTGAACGGAAGAATCAGGCCAAGAGTCAGGAACAGGAAGATAAGGTTTACTGCAGACATAAAGTAGCTGAAGATATCCTGGGCTGGATCTGTCACTTCTGTTGGACTTAGCAACACTGCAAAGCTTGTTGTATGAGTACAGGTGCACATGCAGGTTTTGTCTTCATTTAGGATAGTTGTGCAACCCTCAGTCAGCCATTCATCCGTTACTACGTCAAGATATACACATGTTCTTTTGATGTTATTCCCAGAGATAGTCGAATCCTTCTTTTGCTGGAAGATCAGTGAAAAGTTGTAGCCGTCCATTATTTCACTGTCTAAAAAGTTGATTGAGACTATTGGAGAGCCCAAAGTGCTATTTGGAGTTGTTGGTTTCGGCAGCATTTTTTTATAGGATTCATCCATGACTGCCACATTTATTTTTAGTCCTCGTTGGTTTCCGAAATCTAGCATGATGGGAAGATCGTCTGCTGGGACAGTTTCAGGAGCTGTCAGGTTAATGGCAGGTTTTTCTTTAGACATGGTCGGGGTGACTGATTGCAATACAATCGAGTCCGTTGTTATTATGTTATCTTCTGTATTGGACTTGGACACAGTTTCCAAAATCTTTATTATCTCTGATTTCTCCGATTCCTTCAAAAATTCAGATTCTCCCCTCCTCAGATTTTCCATTGACCTTATCATGACCAAACTTAGCTCTTTCACCTCAGAAGTAGGATGTTTGGTTAATTTCGAAAGAAGATCAACAATTTCATGAGTGTCTCTGGGGGACAGTATAAGTTCTGCTCCCGCGTCAGCAACACAGTTCAGTTCCTTGTTGAGATCGTGTACTTTGTCTGCATTCAAGTCACTTTCAACTTCAAGTACTGATTGCAAGCAAGATGACAGTGGGGAATCACATTCACCGGTGTCAGTGTGATCATCCCAATATCCTTCTACAGTGCACTCTTTGTAAAGTTTCTTGTATGGATCTCCAGGACAGTTAGCTGAGCTTCTGTTTCCTGCCCAGGTTTCTGCAAATTCTATAGGTGATCCCTTATTCAACCACGGTAGTGTGATGGAAGTAGGCCCACACCTGACATTGGCACTTACAGGCAAGCAAGCTGTCTTTTCCCTATTCACAGATCCAGCGCAGGCTAAACATCGGGTTTGTTGAGGATATGGTTGGTATTCAGAGGGATCACATCTCAGGCAGCTAGGTTCTTTTCCTCCATTGCGAGAATACCACCCAGGTGCACAGATATCTGAAATTATTGACTTTTTATTGTAGTTGCATAGTTTATAAGCTTTGCACTTTTTACACATCATAGTTATTCAAAAGCCCATCTGTCAGTTGAATTAACTATTTCAATAAAGTTCAGTTGCCGAATTGCTTTAGTACTGATAACAAAAACTTAGAACATACGTTTAATACTAATCTGAAAATCTAAATCTAAGACGAAACTACTATTTTAACGACTTAAACCGTGATAAACACTTTCTATATTATTCCTTACATACCACATTGAGTTTTATCTGAGTTTGCCAATATGTTATCATCACATTGTCTACAGAAAATAGCTCCCTCTATAGGACTAATCATGTTTCCCGTACAAGAGACACACTTGGTTGAATCCATTTCAGCTTCTCTAAACGTTCCCGGAGGGCACAGTTCACATGTTATCATGCTGCAAGTTTTATACTGCCCAGCTGGGCATGTTTCTGAAAGCGATTGTATTATTACATCTCATAATATTCATTATTTTTTATTTATTTTGAATACGAGTTTAACTAGTTATCAATTTTATGATTTTGACACCACTCGGGGCTCCAAATTGCAGGACCTAAAGTTATTATTCATTGACCAATTTTTTATTTCGTCATACTGGACCAGCTATTCCATTGGTCTTTTCTGAGCATGAATTCTCCTACTCTCAAAAAATTGAAGAACTACAAAAGTCTTGGGATTGACGTTATCTCTAATGAGCAGTTAAAGTACGGGGCAAGTGGTCTGAGCGAACAGAAAGTAACAAATTGTGTCTCACGGATCTGTTCTTCAAAGATCTATGAGTCCGTTTCTGACTAAGTTAATCATCATCCCGTCCATTACAACCAAAGTATTTTATTTTTTTCGAATAAAACCACTTCGGTCGAAATAAATTAAGGCCAATACATGACGCTTGTTATATGTAAAAAAGGAACGATAAGATTGAAACATTTAATTGACTTCAGAGGTCCTTCTCCACACGGCTCTGGAATTAAACGAATTAAGGTACTTCAGTCCATGGTTTATGCTACACTGATTAATATGAGCCTAAAATGTTTTTTCGGTTTCGAAGTCCCCTTCTACCCTGCCTTCAGAGGTACGTATCGAGAATGACTCAACAGAAAATTTTCTCAGTCGAAATCTTTCAGAATTTTTCTGGAAACCACTTTTGTTCATGTTTCATGCTACCCTGATAATTATGAGCCGAAAATAGTCCGTACCTACATTCGAAAAAATGTGTATCAAATGGTCGGCTTCGAAAAAATATTTATGGCTCATAATGATCAAGGTAACCTGAAATGTAAACAAAATTTGTTTCCAAGATAACTTTGTAAATTTTTTGACTTCGAAAATGTTCGGTCCGAGTCATCTCGCCTTTTTGTTAAGTTTATATCCTTTAAGTTATCCTTTAATGGTGATGCTATGGTTATTTAGCATGTTTACTGTTTCAATACCTGGATGTATACACTCGGGTTCATCGGATTCGAAACGAAATTCCGTTCCTGAGATGCAGATCACCTCGCTGCTCCCTTTATTGAGAGCTCTGGATTCAACACAATTCACTTCCACCACGGTTCCTGGGACTACTGGGAACTGTGTCGTTGTCCAGATCGTAGTCCTCCACTCAGCCTTCAGTCCCGTGCAGCTCACTGTCGATATGTCATATTAAATCACGTTAAACTGATTAATAAGGGTTATTTTGACGGTTTCTTATGATCACTTTATTAAGTTATAAATAACAATATGTACTAACTATCCTATATCCCATATCCTATAATATATGTGTTTATGTTAAATAACTAAATGGCATACTTGAAATTTAGACAGAAAACACGTAATCACGAGCTTACGAGAGAATCAGCAAGTTGGCTTATTTGTAAATTAAAGTTATTGTTACTTTGTTAAACCAAAGCTTGTTATTATTAGTCACCTGGTTGTGTTCTGTAGTAATCAGATGCTGTGTCGGAGGAAGAGAACTTTATCTTTGCCACGTCCGTGTTCCAGATCGTGCTCCACCAGCTACCGTCACACGTTGCTAGAGAGATCATTATGTTGAGCACCTCTACCTCGTTACAGTGTATCACTACTCTGACACCTGCAGTTCTGGTTATACGCCACACCTTGTCAGCAGTAGAGGGGAGATTAACAGGGAAGTTAGTGGAGGATGTGCACCAGCTGAGGTTGTATTGTGGAGTAGAGGTGAAGAAGAGCGCGACTGCTCCTGCAAACTCTCCCCCAGCAGAGTAGAAGTCCACATACACCATATTGTCACTCCCCAGCACACTATTAGTTCTAATTTCTAAAGGTGTCGACTCAAGATCCCACTCTATTTTCACCTCACGTTTCACTGGTAACCAATCTGTTAATTGTATGTTTAATTCATGACTACTGAGCAACGATTAATGAATATTATGAATTTAAAGAAGAGGTGTTCTAGCAAAATTGTAAAGGAATTGTATGAATGTCGCCCATAGTTTATTCTCAGAATTTAAGGGCCCGACCATACTATGCCTATCTGATAATCTGTGCCTAACTGCAGGCACAGTCTGTTCAGTAGTCGTGCCAACTGTCATGGATAACGCGACGTCACGATTTATACCTTATAAGGTCAATATTTTACGTGATATGGACATTGGCGGTACAGAGTGCAAAAATAGTACAGACAGATCCGTCTGAAAAAATCGATCTACTGACACAAGAAGCTTCCAAAGAATTTATGACGTTTTTTGGTTACATTTTTAGGTTTCATTAAGCTGACCAATTTTTCCAAAATTTTCCACTTGTCTTAAGGCCACATTTTGCCACTTTTTACCTCCTTTCTTGTTTGTCAAATATCTTCAGCTGTGAACATCGTAGAAGGTTACGAATTAATAAAGGGTGATTATCATATCGACGAGAAACACTTTTGTGAGAAAAATGTTCATGTCAGACAATCAGATAATTCGAAGAGAGTTGACAAGCCCCTTCCTCCACCAAAGCATCAGGGGAATGGTTGTGCTCCTCAGGTCCAGTGGAAAGGGTCTTGTCGCGTGAGAGCAAAGGCACTTCACACTCCAGTTCTGTGAGCATCTCCAGTGATCTTTGGGTGCAACTGTCGTGTTGACAATCTGACATGACGAATCAGAACACGTCACTGATTGGGAGCCTATTAATGGCCTGTTAAGGGGAGATACACCAAAAACGTTTTTGCTCCGAACATCGATTTTATTTTATATTATGGTTAAATAGACAAAAAGAATAAGATTGCACACCTTCAAAATTTTCTAAAAATATTCCCTCATCGAGAAAAAAAATATTTTTCTTTTTCGAAAATTTTTAAAATTTGGAGAAGTCTGTCACTGAAATACCGATAGTTCGGCCATTTTAAAAGTTTTTTGGCTGATTTTTTAACTGAACATTACTTACAATCCGTACAAGAAGCCATTGAAAGTATTATATAATTTAACGATAAATGACGACGTTACAGAGCAAACAAGGTCGAAAAATAAAAATTGAAATTTTTCCCACTTCTAAAGTTGTACATTTCACCAATCACCCGGGTCAGCAGATATCGCTTAAAAAATTCTTGTGAGTGTAGCTGATGATCATATCAAACTTTTTGGAGTAGGATTTCTCTCAGATTTGAGTTTTAAGCTATGCAATGTGGCCTCAAACGACTTAGTAAAATTCATCGTAAAAAAGGGCAAAAAAGGCAGATTTAAGGCTTAAAATGCCTATAACTCAAAAAGTATCAGTTTTTTGAAATAATTTTTACAAAATCGTAATCAGCTTGGGAAGACGAATCTTTTAGTACGACATTTATAATATTTAAAGACACAAAATTTGTAAAAAAATGTGTACAATTTGTACAAAATTTATACAAGGGGGGACCCTTGTGTTCGAGCTAGAAAATTATTTAAGACAATTTGTCTTCTAAAAGCACCTATCACAATGCTGGCAAGCATTACCGTCGCCCTTATATTCACAATACTATTTACCCCCTATACTAGTATATCCCCTTTATTGTTTTCCCGGCATTAAGACTCATCGAAAGTAGTTCAGCAGGTATAATTATGTTAAAACATTCTAATTCAATGTTAAAGATGACAGGAATAAGAAATAGTTATGTGGAGGTTTTTAAGAAATTTGCGCAAAATACGCGCCAGCATGTTATACGAAATTAGGTAAAAAACCCAAAATCGCCATATTCAGGTGCCTTAAAAACCATGTTAAAATTGAGTTAGAGATTTGAAACTTTGCAGGGCGTCTAGACCTTGTCCAAATCGACTGTAAAAAAAATTTCATGTTTCAGGAGTATCGGGAAGTGGGTTTTCTGGAACCCCTGTTTTATAACAGATTGTCGTGAAGTATATATATGTATGTGTAGACGCTTTTTGCAGTCAATTGTAGCCTACATTTAAGTGTCCGTAGATTCAAAAGTATAAAAGATACAGTCATTTCGAACCACAGGTTTTAAAGATAATTGTTTATACTTTAGTTTACATTATTTTAAAAGATAATTTATTTTCATCATCATCACTTGATGACGTCATCAAATTAAGTGTTTTTAAAACTTGATTTTTGACAAAGTAATAACTTTTCAAATCGATTTTAAACCATTAAGAAGTAATTTTATTCAAAATCTGAGGACATTTTCACCTTAGATAATTGTTCAAGCATTCTGAAAATCTACCGGAAAAGTTTCTTACTTTGCTCCTTCATAAAGATATGCGCTATTGAAGTAAGTGCTTTTTTGAAGAATAATTTTATGAAAAAACAAAAGTTGTGAATTAGTATTCTCTGGTGTTGGGCCATCCCTTGGGTTGTGGAGCTCAATTTTGCTTTTTAAAGGTCTAAATTGTGTTATAGGCTAGTTTTAAAGTTGAAAATCGAAAAGGTGCACGCGTGGGGACACGCCCAAATTGATAGAAAATTGCTAAAATTTCTGAAAATTGTTTCACCATTTTTATCAACTTTGGAGTCCCGTTGTGATCCAAGTTCTGTATGAAATCTTCTAAAACTTTGCATGCTTATTAAACTATATAAAAAATACTGCTATGCAAAAATTTACGGTGATTCAATATTTTATGCGCACGCAACGTCCGCTCAAAGTTTGCACGTGCGAAAGGTGAGAATTTTGCTCATTCGTGATTTCGAATAAATTCTGCTTTCCCACGATATTTAAATGGCATTATATATGAATTTAATGCCAACTTGAATGAGTAAAAAGTGCCATGTTCAGTTGGGTAAAATTTCGAAATCGATGAAATTACCTCCTTATTATTATAAATGTTAATGAAAATATGAGTTTACATTTCAGCTTTGTAAATTATCCTGACATTATAATCAAAAAGAGATGATATTTGACCAAAACCCATAATCATGGGTAGAGTGTACCGCTGCCAGTGTCTCTCTTTTCCAAACAAAAGGAAATGATATTAATTTAAATAACCGTCCGCAAATGCAAATTGATACCGAGAATGAAATCGGTCGCTCGCTTTTCCAATCAATAATCTTTATTACAATTCGTAATAGCCGTGATCGAATGGAAAAAGCGAGCGACCGATTTCATTCTCGGTATCAATTTGCATTTGCGGACGGTTATTTAAATTAATATCGTTTCCTTTTGTTTGGAAAAGAGAGACACTGGCAGCGGTACACTCTACCCATGATTATGGGTTTTGGTCAAATTTGGTACTAAAAGATTCGTCTTCCCAAGCTGATTACGATTTTGTAAAAATTATTTCAAAAAACTGATACTTTTTGAGTTATAGGCATTTTAAGCCTTAAATCTGCCTTTTTTGCCCTTTTTTACGATGAATTTTACTAAGTCGTTTGAGGCCACATTGCATAGCTTAAAACTCAAATCTGAGAGAAATCCTACTCCAAAAAGTTTGATATGATCATCAGCTACACTCACAAGAATTTTTTAAGCGATATCTGCTGACCCGGGTGATTGGTGAAATGTACAACTTTAGAAGTGGGAAAAATTTCAATTTTTATTTTTTCGACCTTGTTTGCTCTGTAACGTCGTCATTTATCGTTAAATTACATGATACTTTCAATGGCTTCTTGTACGGATTGTAAGTAATGTTCAGTTAAAAAATCAGCCAAAAAACTTTTAAAATGGCCGAACTATCGGTATTTCAGTGACAGACTTCTCCAAATTTTAAAAATTTTCGAAAAAGAAAAATATTTTTTTTCTCGATGAGGGAATATTTTTAGAAAATTTTGAAGGTGTGCAATCTTATTCTTTTTGTCTATTTAACCATAATATAAAATAAAATCGATGTTCGGAGCAAAAACGTTTTTGGGAAATGGGTGCAACTGTTGGTAGGCATGTATATTGTATAGTTAGTAGTTACCTTGGTCGGACCCCTCAGCAGTTCTCCATAACAGCAAGCGAGCAACGAACGGGATTATCACCTTCATAGTGACATGATCCCAATGTCCTACATATAGCTTTGGTTCAGACAAATTATATTGTATTGCTATCTGGAAAACACACAAATGCAAATGAAAACTCGCAAACATTAACCCTCGTAACAAGAATTGCACAGTTTTTCTCGTAGGATTATGTTGAAATAGATAACACGCGCCAAATATTGTTGAAAATATGAATTTGGAAACGATCTACTGTTATTAGTAGATTTGCTTTCGTAGAAATGTGTGACTTACACAATGTAATAAAGCAAAAATTAAAAGTCTGGGTTATTATCGCCCTCAGTCAATGAAGATGTAGTCAATATCAACATAATGAAAAAGTATGGAGATTGGACAGATAAGGAGAAGATTGAACAAGTATGTAGATTGGGGCCACTATCTAGGCAGAACTCTGGAGAAAACACATGAAACAACTCTGTAAACAACAAAATGTTGTTTGCTTGAACTACCCATAACCTGTACTTCTTCGATCTTAGCAGGGCTTAGGCATTAAAACAAAGATCACTATTCTACTAAAACAAGGATTAGTTGCTCGTATCGAGAAAAAACGGTAGACCCACAAACCGTATGTACAAATGTATAGTATACACCTATAACCATAACGATGGCTTAGTGCCAATACTTGTTGTCTGACCAGTGGCCACATTAACGACCTGTGTCCCTTCTTCCTACACAAAGATAGATCCTACTTCTCCTGTGCACGCGCCTAATTTATTTACCTAATCTCATTAGAGTTTGAGGACCTACACGTGAAAAAATTTCAAAAGGAATTAGTGACCGATTTCATTCTGGGCGTCATTTCAGATACATTACCGTACTCAATAAATATTCATTTCCACACTTACTTGAAACCTCTTCAATGGCTTCAGCAGCTTTATCGGAGTCGATTCTCTCAGTAGTATCTTGTTTCTCTGAAGAAAAAAATTTGGTCCACACCACCTAATTTTTCAGTTTTGGTAGGTTAGTAATTGGGTAGTTATTTAGTTAATTAACATCAGCAGAGACGCAGTAAAACAGTTAGCTCTAAAACGAGTGGAATGGAGGAACATGTTATGCCGTAGAAGAGATGTGTGTGATGCAGGCCACTCCAACGACTAGGAGGAGACCTCTTCATGTAGCATGTATGTATTTAGTTAATTGACAATAATTCATTGATTACTATAAATATAAAGTGAAGTTGGACGCCAAAAACCTGGTAAAACGGAAACTTTTAGTTTTACAGATAAAAGAACATGAGATCTTACCAGCGGAATTTTCGACAGCAAGGCCTAGCCATCCGCTGTATTCCCAAACTTGTGTTTTGACAATAGTGGTAGCTACACGGCAGTTTCCGTCGTTGTAGGTGAAAGCTTGAGTATACAAAACCCTTCCTGCGTTCTTGATGGTTACTCTGTCAGCTGTCTTTTCAACTCTGTTAAAGAGTGATCATTTATTTTTCATTAAAATGAACAAATTTTAGTACTCACAAAACACTTTTACATTAGATGCGCGCTCAAATAAAATATTATATGTTTTAACCATTTTCATTATTATATTATCAAGAAAATGTATTTGAATATCATCGGGGCCGAACTCACAAAATAATTATGTTTTTGTTGTCGGATTCACACTTCATGATACTCCCCATATTGAAATCAGTCTTCTCTCCGTCGTACCTAGCACCAGCACCGTTACAAAAAATGTTTCCTTTTACCTGAAGTTGATATAAAATACACTTTTGTTACTTTTCTAACAAAATTTCAATCTTAACAGTCTTGCAGACTGATCCAATCAATATGAATAAAGTTAAAAATAAAATCCAAAACTATCTGATAAATAGAACCAACTCAGTGACGGAAAAATAAGAGTATGCTGCTTAACCCACCTTACTGAGAAGTTCAACATGGGAGTTGGGACCATGCTCACGTCGGAGGAAAAGCTTGAACCAAACGGATCTATCACAAGGAAGTCTCACGTAGAACCGCTCCACGGCAAGGTTGGAAAAGTCGGTGGAGATGACGGCTTGATGTGAGACAGAGAAAGGAATCCAAGTAAGATTCTGTGCTGGAAGAGTAAAAAATTGATTTTTTTGATTATTGTTAAGTTGAAGACGATTTACACATGTATTTTAAAAGCAGATTCATTCAAATTTGTTGTCTGCTGACACTTGTAGAAATATCAAATATTCACGTTTTTAGCAATATCACCTTCCCTGCTCATTATAAGGCCCACAATGTTATAAAATTAGGATTGATAAAGTACGTTAATTATTTTATGAAATATGATTGTCCTCCTTACCCACCTTCAGAAATATTTGGGCAGAGCAGGAGTATTGCCAATCCTATCATCTTGTTATGTAATATTGTTGTTATCGCAGTTCCATTGACATATATAGCTAAATAACAAATTGATTATGAAACAAAAGAACTCAAAACAAGATGAAAATGACGATATAAAATTAAAAACTCAATAGCTTCCTCGACAATGTTGAATTTCTCCTTGATTATGATTGTGTCTGTATCACGTGAGCCACCTCACTCAGGGACTCAAGAGTTAAAGTAGAGTAAAGTAAAGTAAAAATTATGACATAAAATCATCACACATGTCTACAAAGTATCAAATCACTATATGGAAAAATATAAATATCTTACCACCAAAATTAATAAATTATTAACTACAACTTTATTAAAAAATTTCAAATAAATTCAAAAATAATCCCCAAAAGATAACCCTATTCATACTTCCCAGTGGAATAAAGATTTATAAATCGCTTTTTTGCCACAAAAGGTGCCACAAAAGATCTCAGCTCTGATGGTCGGAGAGATATCACCCTATAACAGAACAAAAGCTCACACGCAAACAAGGAAAGATCTACGACACCGTCGTCCGATGTAGTGTGTAAACCACTAAATAGGCTTAACAAGAGTGTAGCTGCTTGCCAATCAGACTTAGCACTGTGTAAGGTGCAGTAAGGTGCAGTAAGGTGCAGTAAGGTGCAGTAAGGTGCAGTATAGTAACATTTGTAAGGTGCAGTATTATAGTAACCTTATAATGCCTGGTATCCTTAGAATGTTGTTCATGCCTTTGTTCTGCATTATGATATTCTGGCAGAGTCCAGGGAGGACAATTTTTAATATGAATAGCTTATGTATTATTTTACCAAAACCCATAATCATGGGTAGAGTGGACCGCTGTCAGTGTCTCTCTTTCCCAAACAAAAGGAAATGATATTACTTTGATTGACCGTTCTCAAATGCAAAATGATACCGAGAATGAAATCGGTCGCTCGCTTTTCCCATTCATTCACGGCTTACGAATTGTAATAAGTTTCGATTGATTACATCAATCAGATGCTGTAAAAATCTCTTTGGGTTGCGTTCGGGTCGATACCTAGTATTTCGGGGTAAGGGTGGTAGTTATTAGTATTACTTATTGAATTAGCTGAAGTTTATTGAATCTTCATTGCCGAGTACAGCTGCCTTTGGGTAGTTTTTCTTAATCTATTATGTATTACAATTGTAAATGAATGGGAAAAGCGAGCGACCGATTTCATTCTCGGTATCATTTTGCATTTGAGAACGGTCAATCAAAGTAATATCATTTCCTTTTGTTTGGGAAAGAGAGACACTGACAGCGGTCCACTCTACCCATGATTATGGGTTTTGGTAAAATATCATCTCTTTTTTATTATAATGTCAGGGTACTTTATAAAGTCGAAATATAAACTGATATCTTCATATCATTAATATAAAGGAGGAAGTTTCAACGATTTCGAAATCTATCCTTTAAAAACATTTCCTTGTGTTTAGGGAAGCATATCGGTCGATCACTGACTGAATATGCCACTTAATACTCATTCAAGTTGGCATTAAATTCATATATAATGACATTCAACTGTCGTGGCAAAGCAAAATTTGTTGGAAATCACGAATGAGCAAAATTCTCACCTTTCGCACGTGCAAACTTTGAGCAGACGTTGCGTGCGCATCCAATATTGAATCGCCGTAAAATTTTGCATGTAATTGTTTTATATATAGTTTGATAAGCATGCAAAGTTTCAAAGTATTTTAATAAGAACTGTAATCACAACGGCACTCTAAAGTTGACAGAAAATGACGAAAACAGCAATTTTCAGTGATTTTAGCGATTTTCTATCAATTTGGGCGTGTCCCAATGTGTGCAACTTTTCGATTTTCAACTTTAAAACTAGCCTAATACACAATTTATACATATAGGAAGCAGAACTGAGCTCCACAACCCAAGGCATGGCCCAACACCAGAGAATACTAAATCGTAAAATTGACGTTTTTATAAAATAATTCTTCAAAAAAGCACAAACTTCAATGACGAATATCTTTATGAAGGAGCAAGCTAGAAAAACTTTCCGGTAGCTTTTCAGAATGCTTGAACAATTATCTAAGGTAAAAATTTCCTCAGATTTTGAATAAAATTACTCCTTAATGGTTTAAAATTAATTTTAAAAGTTATTACTTTGTCAAAAATCAAGTTTTAAAAACGGTTAACTTGATGACGTCATCAAGGGGTGTTTATGACGTCATATAATTTTTTTATACAATGTAAACTAAAGTATAAACAATTATTTGCAAGACCTGTGGTCGGAAATGGCTGTTTCTTTTATACTTTTGAATCTATGGACAATTAAATACAGGCTACAATTGACTGGCAAAGCGTCTATCCCTGAATATATGTATATATGTATCACGACAATCTATCGTAAAACAGGGGTTCTAGAAAACCCACTTCCCGATGCTCCTGAAACCTGAAACTTTTTTTGCAGTCGATTTGGTCAACGTCTAGACGCCCTGAAAAATTTCAGATCTCTAACTCAATTTTAACATGGTTTTTAAGGCACCTGAATATGGCGATTTTGGGTTTTTTACCGAATTTCGTATAACAGTGCTGGCGAGTATTTTTACTATTTTATGCAAATTTCTTAAAAATCTCAACATAACTATTTTTATTCCTGTCATCTTTGACATCAAATTAGAATGTTTTGAACTAAAAATAAATCTGCTGAACGACTTCCGATGAGTCTTAATGCCTGAAAAACTCCTGCCGGAGGCGGCGGCCTTCGGCCGCCGCCTCCGGCCGGAGTGCACGCTTCGCGTGCACGAAAGAGGCTTCCGACGAGTACCAAAGGGGTTATAATAGTAAAGGGGGTATAATAGTAAAGGGGGTACAATAGTAAAGGGGGTACATAGTATACCCCCAATAAAGACACCGCTCGTGCTTGCCAGCACTGTGATGTAAGTCATATTATAATCACGGTGACCTTTGAGGTACTGCAGTTCATACTTACCACAAGTACTGTGCTCATGATGGAATAAAGTAGATTATTCACTAAAAGTATTGTTAAAACTTTCCCAGAGCTTCAGTTTATGATACAGGCTGATATGCTGAATGTACACACATATTGGAAAAATGAAGTTATTAAGTTAACAACGATCATAATATTCTTATCTAGCCTGGTAAAAATAATATACTTATCCAGCCTGGTAAAAGTAAACACGGGCTTAAAAATGTAAAAGTGGGCCACTAGCTGCGAGGCTGGACTCGAAGCAGGGGTGTGCGACGCCGCCGAACGCCGCCGCCGCCGAGTTTTTAGCCCACGCCGCTGCGTCGAACAATTTATCGGCGGCGCAAACGGCGTGAACGTGGTATTTTTAAAATTTGAATTTTCAAAAAATTACTCAACAAAATTTAATGAAAAAATTTGAAAATTATATCGAACGCGTATTACCGCTTAAGCGCGCTGGTGACGAGTGTATAAAATCCCTCTAGCATGTCTGACGTCAACATCAAGTAGTTCGATGTAATTGTATAGCATATGCAATGTTTCATGAAATTGTGAATTCCTCTCATACGATCAACGATGAATTGAAGTGATTTGATTTGAAACTGTCAAAACCTTATTAATACTATTACTAAGTCAATCCTTTACCTAAGCAATGAATTTCCATTTTGTCGAGTCACAACTGAAACTGCCAATTGTCCACAGGCCACGCCGCCGAACGCCGCCGCCGCCGCTAATTTTGGCCACGCCGCCGCCGATTTTGGTAGAACACGGCGGCGCACACCACTGACTCGAAGGATAAGAAAACGGACAGGTTTTGTTAGACTCGTTTATGTGAACCTAGGCTGTTGAATAATACGAGGGTGAGATGCCGGTAGCAGACGAAAAATGTGGGCCCCATTTGTTTAACAATGGCGCCCACGTCCGAGTAAAGATCGCACCTAGAGGGTGCTCCAAGGTGCTCCAGGGTACTTCACGGTGGTCCGGGTTCCTCTAGGTGCTCCAGGGTGCTTCACGGTGCCCAGTATAACTAAGTAGAATAGTAATGTTGGTTTTCTTGCTCGGGTGGTTATATATAATTCATCTTACTTGTAACCTGTTATTTGTAACATGTTTACTGAATCCTTAGGATGGTAAGTTTAGGCGTGTGAACTGTTGTGTGTGATTATTGTGTGAAGTGAAGGATAATGATTTGTTAGTGTATAACGTACCATAACTGTGGATAATGATTTAGCCTTCGCGTAGTGAGAGAGATGCCGCTCAGGCCGCCTTAGACTAGTGCAAGTGTTTACTGTCTAAATCATGCCCCATACTATTGAGGCAGCTTGAACCCAGGAAGCTTTATTCCACTATGACGTTAACAATGTTCATTGTTCATGCATAGTGCATAGTGCATACGGAGTATTTTAAAGTCGCCGTTTTTTTGTGTGGACGAAATATCAAGGAAGTTATAAACATATTTCATATAAAATAATATAAAACATCCGCATCCATACTATACAAACTGGTGGATTTGTGTAGTGTTATTGAGTCTCATGATTTGATAGTTCTTTTATTCAAATTTTTGATTGTTTCTGAATAGACTCAGTGAAGACAGATTCTAATGGAAATAAATAGCTGAATAACGTATCGACATTTCTACGTCATACTCATATTCTAAAATAGTATTAATTCAATTATAACGATCAACATGTACGACGAAATTTATTTCAAACAAAATATATAACTGTAAAATAGTTATCCACTGTAAAATAGTTTTTAACGAAATCAGAGCAAATATGAACATAAAACTGACAACATTTTATCAAATAGGGCTCATCTGAAAATTAACGAATAGCGTGCGACGTGTACATGAGATAAAAGACTAAAAGAGATAAAAGAAATTAATGGCAGCAGAGAAGTGAAATTTAAACGAAAATATTACTATTTACACGTCACTTAACTAAAAACTGTGTTAGATTGTTCAAACTTCAACTCTGTTTTGTCGTTGAGTGTTGGTTTCTTTTCAACTAAAAATCGGGCTTCTTTAATCTTTCTGTTGATGAGCGATGTTCCTCTGTCTACGATTTGAAGTTTTAGCTTTGGGGGGCCTGTGTACTGAGGGTGACTTTCCTATGTCGATCTTCTTGTAGACGTTTCCATTGTCGAGGTGAGTTGTAGTTGTCCTGATGTGATCTTCCTTGGGCATTACTAATACTACAAACTCTGCTGTTTTGTCAGCGACGAAAATTTGAAGGTCTTCAACACCTACAGAATAAACTGGGCAAACAAAAGTACACAAACAAGTTAACTAAAACTCTAAAAGACTATCAGTGTCTTCGGCGTCGCGCGCTACTTTAAGCGAGTTAGCGAGAGGGCTCTGGTTAGAGTAACTATCCACACAGGGGGGCTGAAACCAGGTTTTCGATCAAACGCTGCCATTTGTTGTCAAACGTCGCCAACACTAACAGTTGCTCTTGTCCAATAATGAATAAAATCGCTGCATTTTGCAAGTCATTATGCATAATTGAATCACATATATTCGTAATTTCGTATGTTGTAGCGCGATGCACTGCTGGCACTGCCACTGGGCCGCGCCGCGCATCTTCTCGCAACCACACGTATGCAAAATGCAAATCGGCGCGAGATGCGAAGGATTGACATCGTGAATCAATGATTACGATTAATTTCGTGGTTAATAGTACTAGTAGTTCGAGGAATTATAATTTCCATGAAAGTTAGCGATTTATATCATTTCAGGCTCCTTACCTAACTGGAATTGCAGAATGTGTGATTTTTAGCCAAATGAGATAAACGTTAGGATATGAAATATCAGTTGTCGTTATTAAACATTGTCGTTTAGATTCGATTCTAGAACAAAATTTTAGGATTAGTTTATAGTTGCTTTGGTATTTTTCATTGTAATTGTATTTGTACTGCATGTGGTACATAAACACTAAATATTGATTAGTATAACTAGAAGTATAACGTAATTAAAATTTGAGATGGAAAACTAAAACATTATATAAAATCGATATCAATCGTAAATTTAACTGTTTCTAAAATTTTGACTCGTCAAAGACTAACTCGTCAATTTTTGAAACTGACAATAATAATTTCAACAATAAACTGGCATAATAATTACGATAATGTGAACACGATAAACAATTAAACATTAAACTTTACCGTTTTAAATAACTATAAGGCCTTGTCCAATCAAGCTACGTTATCGATATTATCTATTTCCCCAAACCCTTTTTAAATCTTTAAACTTAATAGGGGTCGTTCACATATAACGTAATCAGCCGAGGGGGAGGGGGGTTTCCGAACGATTACGCTAGTGTAATTTTGACACAATAGCTATGTGTAAAACATATTACAGAAGGGATACAAGGTTTATACATGGTTTATGGAGTGCTCGAAATGGAATGTTTAAGCTGGGTGGCTTGAATTTGTCTTAAAACGGATTTGTATTTTCAAAGCAGGACTAATTGTACGTAGGACGGGCATATAGCTAGTGACGAATAATTTAGTTTCAAATCCAGTCCAACATTAACGTTACACAATTCTACAGGGGGGGGGGGGGGGTCATGAGTATTTTTGAGAATTTTTGAATCTGAGAATTTGACCATTTTTGTCGGGGCTTTCAAAAATACTCATGACCCACCCCCCTCTACAGCTCCGGATTATTTCTGAAGTCAAATTGTATTCCTAGCAATGATACCAATAACATTTACACGAACATCAGTTTTTTAATCGGTTACTGTAAAGTTCGATAAATTCGTGCTTCAACAACTCTTCTGCAGAAGGCCTTTCTTTAGTGTCCCTGAAAATTAAATTTAATGTCATCAAAAATACGAAATGTAGCATTAGTTAACAAATTTATTTACCATTTATATTTATTGTGATAAGATTAATCAATTAATTAATACAGTAACTTAAATATATAATAAATGAAGCTGTAATTAATAAAAACTTCAGATTTTCGTATTGATGACTTACACAATGAAGCAAGCCTTCATGAAGTCGATGCAGTAATCAGATGCGTTATCAGGATATGCGGGCAAACGGCCGGTTCCTATCTTGTAGATAGCAGCCATTGTTGGCAGAGTGTGCCTGAGGTAAAACTCATCAAAACTTTGCCAGACTACAAAATCTAAGCAATGTTATTTTAGATTAATTGAGTAAACAATAAACTAAAAGTGCAATATAATATAATATATAATAATATAATATGATAAAATAAAGTTGACAAACCAAGGAGGGTGCCCGGACAACATCTCGAATACGGTACAAGCTAAGCTCCAGATATCTGACTTGATGCCGTGACCGTTACCAGTAATCACTTCAGGTGACATCCAGTACGGAGTACCTCGCATTGTTTTCAGTGCGTCCGCGTTGTGCATGCTCCTCCGCAAACGTTTACCGCACCCAAAGTCGATCAGTTTGATCTGATCGTCCCTTGTAACGAGGATGTTCTGTCCCTTGATGTCGCGGTGGACGATGTTTTTAGCGTGGATGTATTTTAAGGAGTCCAATAGTTGGAAAGTGTAGCTCTGTATTGTTCGTTCAGGAAGACTGCCTAGCTTTTTGATACGAGATGCTAGTGAACCACCGTCTGAAACGTTTTGCTTGTAAACATACACTTTAATAAGAACGATTATTTGAAATAGTAAAATTATTTTGTAAATTCGACCTGTGCTTAAATTCGCCGGCCATGGAATCATCATCTTCACAAAAAATAAAACCAAAATTTTAAGTCAAGGAAACATTACTAACATAGTTTTTATATGCGTTGTATCATCTTCTCAGCAGCTAAATTGTTAAGACCTACTGATACTATACATAAGAGATATTCGACAAAACATATTCAGCACTAACCGATGTACTCCATGAAGATGTTCACGCAGTTGTCCTGTAAACACGTGCCGTAGTACCGAATGATATTGTCGTGTTTCAGGCACTTGAGCAGTTTCACTTCCTCTTGGAGCTCAATGTACTCGTCCCTAGCTTCCTCGTGCTCTCCGTACAGTTCTATCTGCTTCACTGCTACCTGGGACACGTGATGTTATGATTGAGTCACGTGGGATATGACCACGTGGTGTTATGATCGAGTCACGTGGGATATGACCATGTGTTATACTGGAGTTTTAACAGTTCCGAGGCAACAAACAAGGAATCCTAACGCGAACGGTTCGTATACTTTCCGTGTAATAACTGTAGCGTATAATTTCGAGATGATAAGAAATAATTACCTCGATCTTCTCCTGAGTCATGCCGTACCAAACTTTACCACCTCCACCTGACCCTAACAAGCGTCCCTTCTTCCACTGGGTAGTGTCACCCATTATACTCTCAATCCTGGTCGTGCCTGGGGAGCAAATTGTAAAACTTGTCCTAGAAATCTTTAAAACTGAAATAATTAATTCTGATGTGAAAGGAAGATAAAGGCACAGACCCAGTCCCAGATTGTAGGTATAAAATAATGTAACCACCTGTGAAGCTAGTCATAACAGATTTCTTGTCACTCCACAAGGACCTATTATCATTGAACCTAACATCACCCGGAGCTTCTCCTATAACCTCCACAATCTGCTTGCTCACAAGCTGAAGAGGATTGGTCGACACCAGGGCGTCTAGATCCTTCATCGTGGACAGTCTCTTCAGCAGATTCTTGTCGTGCCTTGTTATCTGGTCTAGTTCCGCGGTTATCTTGTCTTCAGAAATTTTGTCAGGGTCCTCCGGTTCTTGGGGTGAGGATTTGTCTGATCTGGAGTCGCTGGTTTTGGGGCGTGGTTTGTGTTTGGAGGGGAGGTTTACTCCAAGTACTGGTTTCGAGGGTACAGTACCAGGGCGAGACACGTTCTGATTCTGAAGAAGAAAATTTAATTAGAATCCTGAGAGTTAGATGTCGTTTTTTAAACATGGCTCACTGCATAGTTAAAAATCAAAGTTTCAAGTCACAACCACAATATGAAAATGAACTGATTGAAATGTCAACCACTCACAGGAGTGTTCTCTTTCTCCCCGGAAGACTCAGAAGTACCACTCTTGGCACTGCGCGTCGCCCTCCTTTCCCTCTTCTTGAACCGGGATATTGCCGAGTCACCTCTCTTCAATGTTCTATTCTCTTCCTTGATCTGAGAACATATTGTAGGTTTATAACCTCAAACTTAACAAGACGCGCGCCGAGTTGGACTTGTCGACGGTCTTGAAACAAATATTTTAAGAGTATCACCCGTTAAAGAAGATATCACCATGTTATTTGCTGCAAATCAGCAAACAAATGTTCTTATTTACGGACGGTTTGAAAAGAACAATATCCTTTAAAAATTAAAGGGTCAGAACTCACCTGAGGAAGACGACGACTGTACACTTTTTTCTTGAATGTCAGTTCCTTGAACTTGTTTGGGCGATTGTTGCTGTTAGACAGCTTTGGAACTGATTTAATCCGCTGCCCTTGTAACTGCAGGACTTTGTTATGATTGACACCGACTATAGGACCAGCTTCCTCCATAGCCTCAGGTTCTTCAACCTCAACCGACTTTTCAACTTCAGGTAAGCTGGCCTCTCTCTCCTCCGCCTCTTTTTTCAGCGTGATTTCACCCGACTTCACATTTTCATCTTCCTCAACCTCAGTTTCAGACCCACTGTCAGAGTCCCCGTCCTTCTCCACGTCACCACGTGACTCCTGGCTCACCACTACAGCGGTCACGTGTTTTGGAGCCGTCTCCTCCGGGGTCTCCTGCTCAGTGGGACGGTTGAGGAGGGTTGCTAGGCTGCTGGTTGCTAGGCTGCCGTAACCAGAGTCTTTGGAGGAACGGCTTGAGATTTTAGGGGTTTCTGAGGGCGAGTTGTAGGGGGATGCTATGTTCACAACTGACATTTTTCTGCAGTCGTCGTTCGAGTTTCGTCTGTGAAGATTGTGGTTTTAGACAAGATTCACCTGAGTGTTAACAAGTCACGTCTTATTAGGCTTGAACGATGACTGATGAATTTTAAAACGACGTCTCAATGTAAAAACCAAGCTGTTATTTTTACCCTGAAACTGATATATAATCTGAAACTAAATAGTAAATACCTTATAATTGACCGATATCCAGTAAACACTAACCTGAGTATCAAATCATGTGGACGAGTTATAGAACTCCTCCTCTCTTTAGTAATAGAGCCCCTCCTCTCTTTTGAGACTGAACCGTTAATTCTTTCCACCACAGGTTTAGTAGATGCCCTGAGGGGTTGATCTTGCGAGGCAGCAGGAGCTGGAAATTGTCTCAACTTGGGAAGATTTACTGACGGCATTTCCGGGGTGGTTTCCCCGATTGATATCCGAGAAGCGGTGATGGTTTCTGGGGTTGCGGAGGGTTCTGCGGCGGGTTCTGCTGATGCGCTTGTCATGCTCTGACCCGACATCGAGGAGCTGTCTGTAAAGTTGTGATTATCAGCTGTTAGATTTATATTAGGGTGGCCAAAAGTGTTTTATCGGGTTCTATTTAGCAAATTGTTAAACTCGAGAAAACAATTTTCACGAACAATTTTCACGAGTCCGTAATATCAATTAAGTTTCGTCGCGGAGAAAATTTTGCCTTGATCTTATAATAACTTCGAAATCATTATCAAAATACTCAAATCCACTCAGAGGTTATACGGAGAGTGGACAACATATTCTGAGCTTACCTGAGAAGTTATGAGATCTTATAGAGGAGCTCGCTTCGCTCACCTTGTCAGGGTCATCATCTTGCAGCAAGAAGTCCACAAACCCCATCTCTTTAACTTTTATAGGTCCTGAGGCAGGGGTTCTATGAGCTGACATAAAACAAGACCCCCTAATAATACCCCCTTATAATACCCCATAATAATACCCCATAATAATACCCCCTAATAATACCCCCTAATAATACCCCCTAATAATACCCTCTAATAATACCCCCTAATAATACCCCCTAATAATACCCCCTAATAACACCCCCTTATAATACCCCCTAATAATACCCCCTAATAATACCCCTAATAATACCCCCTAATAATACCCCCTAATAATACCCCTAATAATACCCCCTAACAATACCCCCTAATAATACTTACTCTGTTGCTGTACGTATCTATCCAGCAGATTCTCATGGTGCATTCCTTTGCTAGCTGCTAGAATGTTCCTCAACACGTGTTTCAGGTGTATTTTAGGACCCTTGAAGGACTGGGAGGAGGACCCGGTCACAGCGCTTGTTGGACGGGAACGTGAACCGTCACTTCCGTTCAGTATCATTGGGGCTCCTGTGTAGTGTGGGGGTTTACGTTAAATATACGTCTCTTCAAATATTGACATTAACTTAAAGATGTACTCCGAATTCATAACAATTTTTCAATATCCATCTTTAGTCTTTACATTTCTTTTGCATTTCTCACATTGCACGCTGCGGTCACCACACAGAACTCTGTCTAAACAGATATTAGTCAACAAGCAGTTTCACACGGTAGCTGCTGCCTGCATCAACCACTGCAATTAACCGCTGCCACACTTTAAAATAAACAACTAATACACCCAATTTACATATGATCTAATCTTTAAATGAAGTAATTTAGTTTAAAACTAGCTGTAGTTAAAACTGCTCAAGTTACATAATACAGTGACTTCATTTTGAAAATGCAGTCATCAGATAGCAAGCAAAATGTAAGCTTGTGGCTTTGAAAAGGTAATCAGCAAATTGAAATTATCAGTTGTCTGTGAGTACAAGCTGCAGTTTTTATCATGATTAAAAATTTAGAGTATTAATTCAGATTGTGCTTTATAATATTTTATTATTCACGATATTTCAACTGACAGTAACCGATAGAATAATGACCCAAACATAAAATAGCAAACACAGCACTAAATTCTAAATACATAGTACAAAATAAGCTACAATTTTACAAACTAACCGGGTAACCATTGCTCATTGTCCGGCACTTTGTTGTTATTCCCACCGGAAGCGTTGCTTTCTTTATCTGATTTTCGGGTTTTATCGCTACCATTTCGGTCTGGTTTAACGAATCCACACGTGTGTTTTGGGATGGGGGGCCGGGTCCTGAGGAGAAATTGAAGTTAGTTTACAGGGTGTTCTTCACATCTTGAGATTTATTAATAGTACGCTCATTTCGTGGCGTCGAGTTTGAAAACAAAAGTGTCCCAAACTAAAAATAACCTCAAACATAAGAAGCTAATGAAACTAACTTGGGTATATCAGTGAGTCCGCTCTTCTGACAAGAGTTCTGGGTGATGAACACACCGTTGGGCTTCAGGCGGGACTGTTGTCTCTGCATGATGGGCACCTCTATCGGACTGTTCATGTGACGCTTCAACAGTAAAACTGGATTCTCCGGCTCGATACGTGGGAATCTGGTCAGATAAGAAGATTAGAGAGGGATACACCTCAAGGGTCTTCTATAAATTAATGTGAGACTTATTAATCTTTTGATTTATTCATAAATAATAAGAGGCGACTTTAAATCCAAAGTCTACAGCGATTTCTAAATTTAGTCTACACAGCCGAGCAGCAAGCTGAAATGTAACAGCAGAAAGAGTGGGGCGATAGCACGTACAAACTAACAACGGATTTGTCCGAGGAGCGTCTCCGAGCGTTGTAATCCAGTCTCTTGCCTTCCACCAGCCGGGGTACTCGCTTGTTAACGTCGTAATCGTACTTGTTCCGGTACGCACTAAAACGGTGTTTAGTTACCATGACAACTACACAGGTTACCATGACAAAACGGTGTTTAGTTTTTAGGTTTTGTGTAGGGTGGGCCTATATTCACACAATGCCGCAGATGGAATGAAACAGTAAGTTTCACAAAGATAATTTAAAGATTAGAGTTCAGGTCGGAGCCATTTATACTGACTCGTTGATGAGTGCTCTCTGAAGAGGTTTATAATCGGGTCTCCCAGTGTCCATCTTCTCCTTTGGTTCCGGAGGGGGAGGGGGAGGGGGTTCCAACATCTTCTGTAACTTCCTCTTGCTCATTAGCTCGTCATACTTCAGTTTTATTTCCAGTCCCTTGTCCGCTGCCAAGTCCGCAAATAGAGCTGCAAAGAGGGAATTTGACTGTTACTACAATCGACTTAACAAGAAATTTTCAAAAATGTTCCTTTTCAAAAATATTCCTTTTTAAAAATAGCAGTAAAGTAAATTCCATACTGGGCATTTCTTTAACAAATACAAACAAGCACACTACAAACCAAGTGGTATATCTACATTATTTGCCCATGTACTCACATCTCATGAGTTCCCTTATCTTGTGACTCCTTGCAACACAGAGAGGAGTCATACCGGCACTATCCAGAGCATTTACATCTCCACCCGCTAACACCAGCTTCCTGATGATATCCTCGTTCTCTTGCTGAGCCTGGGGGACACGGGGAATGGGTTAATTTGGGACGTGAAGCCTGGGAGACACGGGGAATGGGTTAATTTGGGACGTGAAGCCTGGGAGACACGGGAAATGGGTTAATTTGGGACGTGAAGCCTGGGAGACACGGGGAATGGGTTAATTTGGGACGTGAAGCCTGGGAGACACGGGAAATGGGTTAATTTGGGACGTGAAGAGTTGTAATGGTGTTTAAAGATAGGGTTAGGAGCTTATTATTTATTAATTGCACTTAAAGGACTGTGATCTGAAAGGGAAGATAAAGATGAAGAAGAATAAGAGAAACCAATACTCACTCCGATATGAAGAGGTGTGGCACCACCTATACCGTGAAGGTTAGGATTAGCGCCGGCGGCTACCAGCGCCGCCACTACCGCCACATTATCATTATTAGTTGCCGTGTGTAGTGGTGCTAGATTCGTTCGGTCCAGGATATCTGAAAAGTGTTGTATTTCAATTGTTCGTTTTGAGGGCAGCATTTAGAGTGTCCGCATTAATCTGGTAAACTCAAAAGTCTCACCGCTTCCTTCTATCGTGGTTTTTTTTTTATTTAAAGAGCATTTCTATTTAAAGAGTATTACACTATTACTATTGTATCGCTTGCATCTAACAAAATTCTTACTTATAACAGGTCTGTGAAGAAGGAGCAGTTCGACAATGTCTCTGCAGAGTTTCTGTGCCGATATCCGGGTAGCAAAGTGCAGTGCAGTGTGCCCCTCCATATCTGTAGCGTTCACGTTTCTGTGTAGTGGGACAGGTTTATTGTTGCATTTTAATGGGGCGGGTATGTAGTTGCATTTAAAAACCATATTAGAAATGGAGCACATTATAATCCTCCTAAATGTGCATCTTTATAACAGTTTCTGCAATGTTAAAAACTAATTTTTGTATCATTCAACGCAATATAAAAATTGACGATGTTAAATTTCCAGAATGGTAAATTTCCAGAATGTTCAATACTTACGCTTTGTGTTTCAGGAGCTCCTGGATGCATTTAGTTGGATCGTAACTCAGTCTGATCGACCGCTGTACTGCAAAATGTTCATGTCAGATAGAGACAAATCATGAGGGTTAAATATTCAAACAAAACAGAGGGCACACAATAAACTTAATAAAAAACAAACGTAAATTTTAATATCTTCAACAACTAGAATGAAATCTCAGTACGTAAATTTAGTAAACTTACATCTGAGGAAGGTGTTAATGTCCCGGGTTACAACTAGAAGTGGCGTTAGTCCCTCCTCCGTCATGTTATCCAGCACATTACCCCCTGAATGGGTAGCCTGTGACAGGAATTACAATTAATTAACGTTAGTGATTGCCAGGTCGAATGATTTCTAGGGATTAGAAGTAGATAATAAATGGTGAGTATGCGTACGTGGCTATGACGTAAATTGAGGGATAACAATTTGGTAAGCATAAAACAAATGTTAAGATGAAAATTCACCAGTATGTTCTTAAGAGACACGATATCTCCTTGCCATGCTGCCTTTATGACGGCTACTGCGGAATGAGCCGGACTCTTTGGGTACTTCGACAGGACGGAGAGTCGGAGATAGTTGGAGGCTAGATCCAGAGCCCCTTTACCATCCTCGTTCAGGAGTGTCACATCAGCTCCTCTCTCTACCAGCGCTTCTACCACCTGGATACACACATTATCTAATTCACACATTATCTAATTCATTGTGAGAAGTAGGAAATGTCTCCTTCTACCACCTGGATACACACATTACTTAATTCATTGTGAGAAGTAGGAAATGTCTCCTTCTACCAACTGGATACACACATTATCTAATTCATTGTGAGAGGTAGGAAATGTCTCCTTCTACCACCTGGATACACACATTATCTAATTCATTGTGAGAAGTAGGAAATGTCTCCTTCTACCACCTGGATACACACATTATCTAATTCATTGTGAGAAGTAGGAAATGTCTCCTTCTACCAACTGGATACACACATTATCTAATTCATTGTGAGAAGTAGGAAATGTCTCCTTCTACCAACTGGATACACACATTATCTAATTCATTGTGAGAAGTAGGAAATGTCTCCTTCTACCACCTGGATACACACATTATCTAATTCATTGTGAGAAGTAGGAAATGTCTCCTTCTACCACCTGGATACACACATTATCTAATTCATTGTGAGAAGTAGGAAATGTCTCCTTCTACCACCTGGATACACACATTATCTAATTCATTGTGAGAAGTAGGAAATGTCTTCTTCTACCACCTGGATACACACATTATCTAATTCATTGTGAGAGGTAGGAAATGTCTCCTTCTACCACCTGGATACACACATTATCTAATTCATTGTGAGAAGTAGGAAATGTCTCCTTCTACCAACTGGATCAGAGGCACATATTAGGTGTGGTAAAAAAATCGAAATTATGCGGTACCGCACCCTACTATAAAGGTAAAATGTGCGGTAAGGTGCGGTAAATTTTTACCAATTATGCGACAAATGTGCGGCGATTTTTTCGAAATTTGTGCGGGAATTGTGCGGGTTTTTTTTGCATTTTCTTAAGGACTTTGGAAATTCTAAACGTATAACCGCCGCTCTTATCAAAAATAGGTCTGTTTATGTGTTACTGAGGGTGTAGTTCTTTACTAAGACCATGATTGAACCTATATTGAGGTCAGTTATCTGAAAACAGTGACTTGATCTGGTAGAGATCAGGAATCAGGATACAGTTATTTGAAGACGCCTCTTGATAGAGTCGATCAGATCCCATGTGTGATCGCAAATATGTGACACGCTTGTTGGCATTGATCGTCAGTATTTGTGAACCATTTGATCCAAGATCCATTAAGCCCACTATAAAGCCAACGCTGCAACGAATAAAGCTTATTACCCTTTACACCTACTTCTTCTATTATCACCTACGAATGATAACTGATACACTATAATCGAAGTACGGTAACGACGAGGGTTCCATAATGGCCTGGGTCACGGTCCCGAAGGGGCCTGGATCACGGTCCCGAAAGGGCCTGGGTAGTGGGTAACGGTCCCGAAAGGGCCTGGGTAACGGTCCCGAAAGGGCCTGGGTCACGGTCCCGAAAGGGCCTGAGTCACGTGGCCTAAGCATGAGTTCCAAAAGGGCCTGGATCACGGTCCCGAAAGGGCCTGGGTTAGGGTCCCAAAAGGGCCTGAGTCAGGGTCCCGAAAGGGCCTGAGTCACGGTCCTAAAAGAGCCTGACTTTTAACATATTTTGGTTTTTACACTCGAAAATCTTAACGCGAAAATTTCAAAATTATGCGAAATTACGCGGAAAATGCTAGATTATGCGGAAATATGCAGATAATTACAAAATGTGCGGAAATGTGCGGAAAACAATAAATTGTGCGGAAGTGTGCGGAAAACGGTAAATTGTGCGATCCCGCACCCATCGCACCTAATATGTGCCCATGAACTGGATACACACATTATCTAATTCATTGTGAGAAGTAGGAAATGTCTCCTTCTACCAACTGGATACACACATTATCTAATTCATTGTGAGAAGTAGGAAATGTCTCCTTCTACCACCTGGATACACACATTATCTAATTCATTGTGAGAGGTAGGAAATGTCTCCTTCTACCAACTGGATACACACATTATCTAATTCATTGTGAGAAGTAGGAAATGTCTCCTTCTACCACCTGGATACACACATTATCTAATTCATTGTGAGAAGTAGGAAATGTCTCCTTCTACCACCTGGATACACACATTATCTAATTCATTGTGAGAAGTAGGAAATGTCTCCTTCTACCACCTGGATACACGCATTATCTAATTCATTGTGAGAAGTAGGAAATGTCTCCTTCTACCACCTGGATACACACATTATCTAATTCATTGTGAGAAGTAGGAAATGTCTCCTTCTACCACCTGGATACACACATTATCTAATTCATTGTGAGAAGTAGGAAATGTCTCCTTCTACCACCTGGATACACACATTATCTAATTCATTGTGAGAAGTAGGAAATGTCTCCTTCTACCACCTGGATACACACATTATCTAATTCATTGTGAGAAGTAGGAAATGTCTCCTTCTACCAACTGGATACACACATTATCTAATTCATTGTGAGAAGTAGGAAATGTCTCCTTCTACCAACTGGATACACACATTATCTAATTCATTGTGAGAAGTAGGAAATGTCTCCTTCTACCACCTGGATACACACATTATCTAATTCATTGTGAGAAGTAGGAAATGTCTCCTTCTACCACCTGGATACACACATTATCTAATTCATTGTGAGAAGTAGGAAATGTCTCCTTCTACCACCTGGATACACACATTATCTAATTCATTGTGAGAAGTAGGAAATGTCTCCTTCTACCACCTGGATACACACATTATCTAATTCATTGTGAGAAGTAGGAAATGTCTTCTTCTACCACCTGGATACACACATTATCTAATTCATTGTGAGAGGTAGGAAATGTCTCCTTCTACCACCTGGATACACACATTATCTAATTCATTGTGAGAAGTAGGAAATGTCTCCTTCTACCAACTGGATACACACATTATCTAATTCATTGTGAGAGGTAGGAAATGTCTCCTTCTACCAACTGGATACACACATTATCTAATTCATTGTGAGAAGTAGGAAATGTCTCCTTCTACCACCTGGATACACACATTATCTAATTCATTGTGAGAAGTAGGAAATGTCTCCCTCTACCACCTGGATACACACATTATCTAATTCATTGTGAGAAGTAGGAAATGTCTCCTTCTACCACCTGGATACACGCATTATCTAATTCATTGTGAGAAGTAGGAAATGTCTCCTTCTACCACCTGGATACACACATTATCTAATTCATTGTGAGAAGTAGGAAATGTCTCCTTCTACCACCTGGATACACACATTATCTAATTCATTGTGAGAAGTAGGAAATGTCTCCTTCTACCACCTGGATACACACATTATCTAATTCATTGTGAGAAGTAGGAAATGTCTCCTTCTACCACCTGGATACACACATTATCTAATTCATTGTGAGAAGTAGGAAATGTCTCCTTCTACCACCTGGATACACACATTATCTAATTCATTGTGAGAGGTAGGAAATGTCTCCTTCTACCACCTGGATACACACATTATCTAATTCATTGTGAGAGGTAGGAAATGTCTCCTTTAACGTCAATAAAATTAACTGGAAACAGAACCCTAATGGTGGCGTCCGATCCAGATTTGTTCTAGCAAACCTTAGAGTTGTTTCCTTTTGCAGCAAGAAGGAGGGCGGTGTCCCCGTTAGTTTCGTCCCGTACGTTTATATTGATACTGTGTCTGTCTAAGGTTCGGAGCAGTATGTCCATGTCCCCATACTGAACATGTTAGAAGTAATTATGTTGGGCACGAGTACCACTGATCAATGATATCTTAATTGAGAAATTAATTCTCAACATAACAAGAACAAATGAATGTCAAAAGAGTGGCATGTGTATAAGGGTTTTCATTCTTGATAGGATGAGAACGAATTGAATAAAAATGTGTGTAAATTACCTTAGCAGCTGCTAGAAATACATTGTCAAGTTCCCTAGTATTTCCACTGAAAATAAACAGAACAGTAAGGAATAATGAATTGTAAAATATTTTAAGAACATTGGCAAATGGGACACCAACCAGCGTCAAATTAATTTAAAAAATAGATTCACGTCCGGCCCGTCACAAATAATTACGAAATCTTTCACTATACTACTAACCTGAAGTTGTTCTTCTCAAGAACAGTAGAAGAAGCAAGGGTGTAGTACAGAGCTTTACTTGAGTCATTACCTCGACCGTTCAGATTGGACAAACGCTCTGAAAATGAAACAATCATAGTTCTACCTACTTGGGTTACAAGGACTGGAGTAAAAAATAACTGAGTGTGATGAGGCGAAGGTATTAAGAATTCTAAGTGTGGCAGGTCGATTGTTTGTTTTCGTGGGATCTTTGATGATGATTAAGAAGAACAGCTCATCACTTGTTGCTGCATCAAAATAGTTTGATGTGTTTTTAGTGTCAGGTGAGATGAGCGATAAAGTTGTGATGAAACTATCCGACCAAATCCATCTGCTTAAGAGATTCATTATGTGAACTGAAATCCCAAAGATTGGGACATATACCGGAGACGTTGAGAGATCTACACTGCTAAAATAAGAACTGAGAAAGATCATGAGACTAAAAAAGATTCCTAAATCCCAGTTTGTATTAAGGTTTCACCACTAAAACACGTTGATTTCAACAAAGATGTCGAGCACTCGAATAAATGAGTTACAATTTCCTGGAAGATACATACTTGGGTTAAGTTCAACACGATTTGGTTCGCCCTTCTGTCGCCTCATAACAACTCCAACAAACAAAGCATTAAAACAGTATCAACTGCGGCCCGTCCTACAATACGGCTTGTTAGACACTCATCACGTGACCCTTTTTTCGCACCACGTGACCTGAGTTTTATATCACATGACCTTATTTGGCAGTCACGTGTTCAAGTGTGTTCTCATGTGCTGATAGCTATACGCTGCAGACGATTCTTTTTCTTGAGCATGCACAGTGAAAAGAATGAGTGAACGTGGGTAACAGTTAAAAGATGAGGGAATATGTTCAGTTTACTGGGAGGCACGTGCTGTGTGGAAATAGCACGTGCTGTGTGGAAATAGCACGTGGTATGAAGACTATCACGTGCTAGCTTTTAGGTCCTTGTGATTGGTCAGATCCCAGAATTTTTAGTTGCGGTGATAGGACAGAAATCTCAAACTGTTGTTTGACACTTATCAGACAGTTTTCGCAAGTATCGTAAGCGAAAATTATAGAAAACGATTGTTTTATTGTTTTTAGTAGTGTAATCGTCTGGACTGTGTTAAAGCGTGATTTAATATCTCTCTTGTGTTTTAAAACTTTTAACGTTAATGACGTTTCACATGAAGTATAAAAAGTATAAAAAGAAGATCAAAACATAAATATAAAACTTCGGACAGCAAATTTACCGTACGAATCAAACAATTTGTATCAATAACAGTAAACAGTATCAATACTTCAATACAAGCCGGGAGATAAATATGACACCTTTATTTTGTTAGAGATATTTTGTTACCATAGTAACCGACGGGAGGAAATTAAAATGTTATCTCAGTGGAAGCATGATCTCACTGAAGCGTGCTGGAAGAATCCCGTCATCCCAAACAAATACCTCAGAGCTTGAAAAACGGTTCTTTTTCCAAATTCCAGCTTAATTCAGAGTTTCAATCTTGTTAAGGTTTGGATGATAACCGGCCGTGTGGCTAATCAGATCATAACGTCTAAGATAAGGATGTGAAGTATTGCCATTTATTGGGTTTATGAGTAGATACGATAATGATAACGTGTACCGTGTACGAAATGGTGCCGGACGTTATTTGTTAAAGTGGGAATTTTAAATGTTTAAAAAGTATTATAGGGTGTGCGGGGAGATCTGAGAAAGTTAGTAAAATCAGTCGGATTGAAGGGAAGGGTGCAAGGATCATCTCACGAGATCAGTACTATGTAGTACAAAAGTTTCCTTTTTTAGATTGAACTGAAGTTGTCAATTCATTTCTGGAAAACTTTTCTTTTACGCCAACTCACCCAAATCCTCTCGAGCACTTCTCCATGGCATCTCTGTAAAAATCCCCATCCTTTCTCAAATCAACCGAAATCTTTTATCACTACAAAAACTTGGCTTTACAAAATATTCGCCACCAGTTGAAAATACAACTCCAAACTAAAATCCAACTCACAACATCAAATCCAACTCACGCCAACAAATCCAACTCACAATAACAAGACCAACTCACATAATCCTGGGAACAGTGACGTCAGCATTTAATCCCGTGTCACTATTCATAGTCCATGTTACAGTCCATTCATTGGCCCATAGCGATCACAACCTGTATGTTGTTAACAACTTACCAAACGTGTTTTGATTGGTCAGTGAGCTGCTGTTCTCATCTGTGATTGGACGGTGTGCGGTTAAACCCTATTCCCATTGGATAATGTACCTGTTCGCCCCCAGATTACAGGTGGCCCAGTAACCAGGTTATAATAGTGATTTGGGTGAGATTTGCTAATCCTGACGTTACTATCATTAGATCTAGTGAGCAGGTATTCAATTGAATATGACTTCATGACTTGTTCCGGCCAAATGCTGCCTATATTTGCAATAAAATTCTAAAACACACGAGTTTAAGTTAACCCAGTATCTCCCCTGGCCCGCTTCTGACAGTACACACTTCTGACAGTAATTTATCATGATATTATCTCGCAGTACCTAGTACAACAGTATACACGCATTACCTACGCCATGACGAACTGTATATGAGTGGGGCGTTGCCTTATCAGTAGTTTATTACTCACTATGTCATCCTGCACTTTCTGCAATAAAGCTGCCACCTGCACCGCTACTTGGCACAGCCTCGCAGATACAGATTTGAAACTTTGCTTCTGGGTGCAGAAGATAGCACCATATTGCTTACCAGATTACGTATTGGCTAAAAGCGATCTAGCCGGGAGAGGTCGGGTAAATGTGTATGAAACAGTGCGGAGGAGCGCCGGGATTTCCTGTTATTATTGCACTGGCAAGCGCCCCGTGTGAAAATTACACTAGCAGAGGAGCGCCGGGAGTTCCTGTTATTATTGCACTGGCAAGCGCCCCGTGTGAAAATCACACTAGCAGAGGAGCGCCGGGAGTTCCTGTTATTATTGCACTGGCAAGCGCCCCGTGTGAAAATCACACTAGCAGAGGAGCGCCGGGAGTTCCTGTTATTATTGCACTGGCAAGCGCCCCGTGTGAAAATCACACTAGCAGAGGAGCGCCGGGAGTTCCTGTTATTATTGCACTGGCAAGCGCCCCGTGTGAAAATCACACTAGCAGAGGAGCGCCGGGAGTTCCTGTTATTATTGCACTGGCAAGCGCCCCGTGTGAAAATCACACTAGCAGAGGAGCGCCGGGAGTTCCTGTTATTATTGCACTGGCAAGCGCCCCGTGTGAAAATCACACTAGCAGAGGAGCGCCGGGAGTTCCTGTTATTATTGCACTGGCAAGCGCCCCGTGTGAAAATCACACTAGCAGAGGAGCGCCGGGAGTTCCTGTTATTATTGCACTGGCAAGCGCCCCGTGTGAAAATCACACTAGCAGAGGAGCGCCGGGAGTTCCTGTTATTATTGCACTGGCAAGCGCCCCGTGTGAAAATCACACTAGCAGAGGAGCGCCGGGAGTTCCTGTTATTATTGCACTGGCAAGCGCCCCGTGTGAAAATCACACTAGCAGAGGAGCGCCGGGAGTTCCTGTTATTATTGCACTGGCAAGCGCCCCGTGTGAAAATTACACTAGCAGAGGAGCGCCGGGAGTTCCTGTTATTATTGCACTGGCAAGCGCCCCGTGTGAAAATTACACTAGCAGAGGAGCGCCGGGAGTTCCTGTTATTATTGCACTGGCAAGCGCCCCGTGTGAAAATCACACTAGCAGAGGAGCGCCGGGAGTTCCTGTTATTATTGCACTGGCAAGCGCCCCGTGTGAAAATCAAAACAAGTGACCGATTTTTACTCATATCAGTAAACAGGAACAATTTAAAATCCATGAATTTGACGACAAAAGCAATTTTTGACTTTTACAGAATTTATAAAAGCAAAATTGAACCAATAAACATATACGAGCAGAACCTATACAACCACAAAATTAATCATATAGGGAACTGTTTTTTTAAAGCCGAGTGAATCTGTTTGAGACACTTTGTTTGAGTCTCTGCTTATAAATTGGCTAAAAATAATTGAAAAGTCAAAACACGTTGAAAACGATCAAAATAAAAGCTATGCTGCCGCCTTTCTTAAGTTCATTTTGCCTATTCATTTGTTTATGTTCTAAAAAATTGCATAATTGTTATAATTTCTAAAATCATATTTTGATCGTTCCAAAAATAAAATATGTCAAAACACAAAAAAACTACTATTATATACTTCTTTTGTCGCTGTTATTTTTAATCTTTTTTCGCGATAACTTCGCCAGATTATTACAGAAAAGCGGTGCGGGTTTGTATAAAAAGAACTCTTTGTGATAAACTTAAAGCACATAAAAGCTAAAATTCCATGATGATAATTAATGTTTTTTTTTCTCCTTTTCGTAATCTATTGATTTTTTAAATTTTAAATAACGACCATTGCTGTAGTCGAGAGTCAGTCCATTAGTTTATAATTATATCAAGGAGATTAAAGCGAGGAAAGTTCAAACATCAAAATGGATTTTGTTGATCATTTGCAGGGCCATCTCAATACCTTCAATTTTTGAAGAGTTTTCGATTTATTACAAATTTACAACGGATAATATCCATCCTTATACCTATATAGTAATACTAGTACTACTAGTAATATTAGTAATATTACCTATATAGTAATACTCACTCTCTACAGCACAGCTGGGTAGATCCGGGCAGCTCCAGGACATGATCGCCATTAACCAACTTCACTTCCCTTACTCATACTGTTACTGTTACTGTTCCTGTTACTGCACTTACTGTCACTGTTAGTGTTACTGCGACTGCACTTACTGTCACTGTTAGTGTTACTGCGACTGCACTAACTGCACTTACTGTTACTTCAAAACAAAAAGGTGGGCACGGTAAAAGTTCACTGCGTTTGCCGTTTACTATTATTTAAAAACAAAAAGGTTGGCACAGTAAAAAGTAGAAATTGAATGTGAGCACGCAAAATGTGTGCCACATATTGCGTCAGAAGTTACCATAGTAACACTACCAAATAACAAGTGTTAACTTGTTAATGTTATTGATTAGATAGTGTTTTTATCAGAGAAATTGGAGTGATTGGAGCATTTTCATTGAGCAGCAAAGTTTGTGCATGACACAATGGTCCCCCACGTGACCGCCCACGTGACACAATGGTCCCCCACGTGACCGCCCACGTGTACCCCACGTGACAAACCTCTCAAAAATAAGGACCAACTGTTATTGAAAGGAGACGTGAACGCTTAGTCCCAGTAGCAAAAAGCAGTCCGGTGGGCTGTGGAGTGAGGATTGTGGGCTGTTATCGGACAATATCTGAGGAGTGTGGTATTGCAGATGAGGAGAGGAAGGAACTATTGGTAGTGTTTCCCTATTGGTTGAGTGGGACGGCTTGTGAGATAGTACTTTAGTACAGGGTCAGTGAGTATTTTTAGAAGCACAAAACGGTGGTATGATTAGCCCAAAATGGTCACAAGGGTCTTAAAGTTAGACTTTTATTACTATTAGTTAAAATAAAATCTTTTTACTCTAGTGAATGAAGACAACTTCTTAATAAGTTAATACCTCATTCTAGTAGCTAAGATGGCTTTCCTTCAACCAGCGGAAGAATTAATAGCTTCCGATTAATTGCAGGTATGAGCGTCAACCATCATGATATGCACCAATGTAAGGCCATAATGATAAAGCTTAAGAACAGTAATTTGATCTGGCTGATTTCAAATTTCAAAATTATAATTGTTAACTCACGCTATGTAATTAAAGAATAGCGCTAGCAACATTTTTATAATTTTTTCTGATTTTTGTATTTTTAACAAGTGTTGTTGAAAAATTCAATAACCGAATTAGAATCAAGTCAGGGGACAATATCCAGACTTGCACTCTATTTTAACTTCGTCTCACTTTATCCGACTTTATTGGAGAGAACAAATAAGATTGTCATCAAGATGTTGGCACAGGCCATTTGGTCATTCTAATGCAATTTTAAATTTTTGACAATATCGAAAGTTTGAACTTTTGTATTTAAGTCATCTACTTTTAGGTTCAAATTAAAGGAAGACAAAATGTGTCACATGCTGTGGCTAGAAGAGTTCTAGAAGTATTAAAATGGTACGAGATAATTTGACTCTCGAGCACACAAATATCATGTGATAATCGTTTTTAGCTGAGATTACGTAAGGAATTTATGAAATTATCTCGTATTTGATATTCCAATTTGTCTCGATGCTTAAACTGCCTCCAGGTATGACTTGGAAACATACAGGTACCTTTTACTTTGTCCCACAGTGGTATGTAAAGGTATGTCACGTGGTTTGTAAAGGTATGTCACGTGGTATGTAAAGGTATGTCACGTGGTATGTAAGGAGCTTATCTGCCATTACATCATACTGAACATGCGTCAGAGTAGTGAGAGATTCATATATAAAAGCTTTCCGAACAACTGATTTATACTCTGTCTTTAACGATGAACTCAGTGTTCTGACTTAGAGTCAGGACCTCTGACGTCCCTTATCGTTTATAGGGTTCTATTAGGTTGTTGTGCAACCCTTCTTTGGGCTTGTTAACGATACTTAATTTTCTGAGCCTCATGCAACTTTGTTGTAACAATTCTGAACAAATTACTAGACAATTAATGTAGCCAACAGCGTAAAACATCAAACACTATGTTTTATGCAGATATTAATGAACGTGGTTTGCGCAACTGTACATTGGTAGCTTTTAATTCTGTTGAATAAATTATTCTGTTCTAAATTCGATAACTTTAACATACATTTCGATTTCAATCGCCCTTACCGACCAACCCACAGCAGCATAAAGTCCCGATCTACTGAATGGCGCGATACAACATTACCACAGCACTCTTCCTCCTGTTCTCCATATTTTCCCTTCTTGGAGAAACCACCACCAGCCCCACCCCACCCACCTTTAACAGCTCCTCATTCGAGACCTGGAGACAGCTCTACAAGAAGACCTACACAGACAAGTCTGAAGAGAGCCTCCGGAGACACATCTACGAGGATAACAGGAAGTTTGTGACGGGATACCGTGACGAGGGGTCTGTGGTCCTGGAGCTGGGAGCTTTCGCAGATCAGACCCACGAGGAGTTCCTGGGGAACATCAGGATAGTTGGAGCGGCCGGGAGAAATAAGTTTAAGGGGGCTGCATCGTATGAGAAGGATGAAGAGGTAAAGTCATCTAAAGGTATGAAAGAAGGTGAAGAAATTATTTCCTGTGAAAATTGGAACGGTGGCGATGGGGCCTCCCCCTCCTCAATAAACTGGAAGGATAAAGATGCTGTAACGGGGGTATTAAAGCAGACTTCTCTATGTCCAGGGAACAGTTATGCTATAGCAGCTCTAGGAGCGGTGACAGGACAGTGGTATCTGAAATCAGGTCGGAGGATCGCGTTTTCAGAGCAGCAAGTTGTAGATTGTTCTAGAAGTTCTGGAAACTGGGGCTGCAACTTCGGGTCTGCAGAACGAACCTACAGCTACATTAAAAGGAACGGGGGAATCGCCACAAGGATTAACTACCCCACGAGAGGACGAGAAGCACAGTGCCGAACAGCCGTCCCCCTGGGACCCACTATCACGGGGTGCCGCTCAGTGGCAACAGGAGACGAGAAGACTATGAAACAACTAGTAGGAACAGTCGGCCCTGTTACAGCAGTGCTGGATATCAGCCCCCGCTCCATCCAGTTCTACAAATCAGGAGTGTACTACGAGAGGACCTGTCACCCACCCTACGCGGACCATCACGTCCTGGTGACCGGATACGGGACACAGTACGACCACGGGCTGGGCAAGGTCGTGGACTATTGGATCGTTAAGAACTGCTGGGGTACCAAGTGGGGGGATAAGGGTTATATGAAGATTATCAGGAACAAGTATAATCACTGTGGTATCGCTAACAGGGTCACTGTGCCGTATGTTGATAAGTAACGGTTGGATAATGATGGTATTGGAAGCACGAAGATTGACTGTAAATTAATTTCTTTATTTAATATTTAAAATATTTGACATTTATTCGGAGCAGATAAGAACGATCGTGAACTTTGGTTTGAGAAATCAATGAGAATTGTACTCGACAGAGGAATTTTTATGAAAGTTTGAGCGAGAAAGGATATTCGAAATATAATTGTTATTGAAATTAACGTTTATTTGACTGGTTTATTAAATGTTTGCATCATTGATTACGAAATAACAAATTTACTATCATGATTCTATTATAAAAATGTTAGAAATAAAAGAGGAGAAACAGGAGAGAAGAAGTTTCAAATTTCAAATTGCATTTTGAAAGTTGACTAGCTTTCATCAGCGCAACAAAATTCCCAGCATAATTCATATCTCCGTTGCTGTCCTCACCCAAATTAAACCCAAAACAAAAATTACCGCGTAAATAAATAAAAACACAATTAAAACGATTCATGAAACTACCTTGTTGAGGGCTTAGCAGAACTCCGATCCAGCGGGTTTTGTGGTTATTAAACTTTGAGACAGTATCCAAAATAGTAACAGGAGCAGCAGCAAGCGACATACTCAACCAACCTACCCAAGTATATATCACTCCTGCCAACAATTCACAAAGAAAGAATTAGCACTCTCTCCTCCGCAAGCAGTTCAACTAGACATCCGGAGATATCACACAGATACAGTTGGTAGCCGGACAAGTAATGAAAAATTCAAGTACCACCTGCCCTGATTGTGGACAGTAACTATGATATACCGTCCTCAGGAGAAGGGGAGCTGGTTGCAACGTCACAAAACAAGCAGATACGTGATACGCGTTGTGGCGCACCTGTATATAACTGTATATATACTATATATAATATATATAGTATATATAATATATTATATAGAACATAAATCAGATCAATCTGCCGACCTCCCAGCCGGCAACAATCGTGAAATTTAAATTAGAGTGAAATAGGACGGCATCGTCCTTGGAGGTGGTTTTTTAATATGAGCCGTGGGAGATTTGTTGCAGAAATGTATCGGCGTGCTGTGAGATATCGGAGAAGATGTGCTCAGATTTACAGCGTTTTTGATTAGAGATAGTGGTGTTTAGCAACGTGATTAAAAGGAGAATTTGTAATGGATCTTTGCTTAAGTAATTGTAATGATATCGTTTTCCTCACTTTACTTCCAAGTATTTTTTAAGAGAGGCTGAGCCTGAATGGCCCACAAGAGAATAGCATGAGGATGCTCTGCCTGCCTCTGGGGTATGGCAACCCTAGGGGAGGTTGCCAGAGATAAGGGCAATGTGTATAATAGTATGTCCAGGTATCAAATGATAAATCTTACCTGAGTTCGCTGATGTGTATAATAGTATGTCCAGGTATCAAATGATAAATCTTACCTGAGTTCGCTGATGTGATAGACTCAACAACCACCTCATCTCTGAAAACAATGAAACGTTTTAATTTAATGTTCAATGCCTAAACAAGTAATCACAACCCCGTAAGTCCATACCCACATTAACCTCTTTCTATAACTCCATAACACGCGTTACAACCACCCCTACCCCTCCTCCCCTACCCCTAGTCCCTACCCCTCCTCCCCCTATTACAACCACCCCTACCCCTCCTCCCCTACCCCTAGTCCCTACCCCTCCTACCCCTATTACAACCACCCCTACCCCTCCTCCCCTACCCCATTACAATCACCCTACCCCTCCTCCACCCTACCCCATTACAACCACCCCTCCTCCCCCTACCCCTCCTCCCCCCATTACAACCACCCCTACCCCTACTCCCCCTACCCCTCCCCCTACCCCTCCCCCTACCCCTCCTCCACCTTACCCCATTACAACCATCCCTCCTCCCCCTACCCCTCCCCCTACCCATCCCCCTACCCCTCCTCCCCCTCCTCCCCCTACCTCTCCCCCTACCCCTCCCCTACCCCTCCCCCTACCCCTCCCCCTCCCCCTCCCCCTCCCCCTCCCCCTCCCCCTCCCCCTACCCCTCCCCCTACCCCTCCTCCCCCCATGATAGTAACCCTCTAAATCTAACCTCAGATCACTGGAGTCGTCTCTGTCACTGAGGTCTGCAAGACAGGGCTCCAAACTATCCAGATCACTCTCGCTGACCCCGTACTCCATCAGCAGTAGACATGCCGGACACGTTTCATCCTCCACCACCTCCGGCTCCGGCTCTGCTATCTAGATAAACAATGTTGGTTAGGCAGTGAAACACCACAATTCGGATGAAATCTTCGTATTTGAGTATTTGTTCTACCTTAGTCGGTAATATTATGGGGGGGGGGGGGGGGGATTATGGGTGTTCAAAAATATGGACTGTTAAATAAAATATATGGTTCTTTGGCCCAAAAAGAACCAAATTTGACCCCCCACAATCTTAAATGCAACTTTCCTTTCTTGAAAAATCTCTAATCGAAAATGTTGATCAAATTGTTTTGGCAATTATAACCACATTTCCGCGTTCACACCAAATTTAATATTTCATTAGATATCTGATCCCTATCAAGTGCTAAAGTTCTCAATTAAATCAATGTTTATCACAAAATACGATCGAAAATAGAAATAAAATCGTAGAAAGTCTCAGTTAACCCCTTAAATTGAAAGGATAGGGGGAATAGAAGACAAATCGGACTTTTTGAACCAGAACTAGCTTCAATTCAGCAAACAATAGCGTAAGCATACTTCTGGACGTGAATGAAAGAAAAGTAAAGCATATTATGACTGATATACTAAAAGGAAAACCAAAATTTGACTCGGGGGTAAAATTTTGGGGGGGGGGGGGGTAAAAATATGGACTGTTATAAATATGGTTCTTTGGCCCGAAAAGGACCAAATTAGACCCCCCATAATATTACCGACTAAGGTACATCATTAGTCCTATAATAGTATAATGTATAAAACACTTAAGTCTTAAAAACATTGTAGGTTTATAACCTACCAGGACGCGCGCCGAGTTGGACTCGTTACGTCGACGGTCCTAATATTTGGAACAAATATTTTACGAGTATCACCCGTTAATAAAAACACTACAAATTGGAGCCTAACGAGTCATATAAATGATTTTACGACACATGTTCTTATAATCCAAAATTTCCGATGATCGATACACAGAACTCATTTACTGTTATGAATATAATTATCTTAACTTCCGACTTTTTAACAAGCAGATAGGACCTCGTGACATTTGTTTTTAAATCTCTCTCATTTAAATGGAATTGTTTGAAATCTGAATTGACCCAGATCTAAAAATAAAGTATACCGCTTTGCAAGTCGCATATACAAAAGATTTTATCAATAGAATTTATCAATAGAGAATAAAATTGAATTAAATTCTTTGCGGTCTATTTTAAACTCGCGAGCATGCAAATTTGACAAAGAATGTACCGACACTTTAGCGTATGTAGTGGGACACGAAGCTTAGCAAGTGTTGCTCCTTTATAAACAATTCAGTTTGAGAAGAACTATTGAAACATTTCAGAATTAAAAAAGTTCCAGCATTGATAAAAAATGTATCTAAACAAAAAAGATATTTTGAATGAACGGCCAACTTTTGCTGCTTGCAACATTCTGCACTGACCAGGTTGATATGAGTAGTACTAGTAAGTAGACTTGGATAAAGAAATTTTTGCAGATCAAAAACCTGCACCAGATGAAAAGCATAAACGTTTCGAAATCCATCAGTTTTCAATATAAAACAGACTTCATAATAACTTCCAAAATCTCTCAGTTCTTGAAAACGTCCTCTACTATAACCAAATGTCTAAATCTAATAGTAATCAAGATAACACCCCTAACCTAACTGTAACCAACCTGAACTGGGGGAGGAGGTTTAGGTCTTGTCATGGGGCGTCTCTTAGTGAGCTTAGGATAGTTGATGATAGGAGCAGTCCTGGGTTTAGCGATAGGTTTGGGTCCAGGAGTGGAGAGTTGGGTGATGGTCATGGAGAAACACGCCTGGGGTGGGCGAGAGAAACATTCCTTTGGGGGCCCTTTGTCACGTGAGCGTGTAAATCCTGGGGTTATTAATAGGAATCTTTGATTTGTTATTTCGGGGAAACTGAGGTACTTTGAGCTTTTAAGAGAACAATAGGGTTCTTTGAGAGAACAATAAGGATCATCAACCCATTCAAGAACTTGATGTAACGAGTCTTACTTGCCATATTATGATCATCATAAGCTGCTTTAAATAGCAATACAAACATCAGTAAATAATAACTAACCTGGTGTGCTGAATCCTCTGTGAACATCCTGGTTACCAGGGAAACCACCGAAAGAATTCGGGAGCGAGGAAGGTCGGCTGAGAAAGGGGCGTTGTAGGTTTTTAAACGTCATCTAAATATAATCGCCTGAAACAGTGCGAGTTTTAGGAACCTTGAGATGCTTAATCTTAGATGAGTGATACATGAGTTGATGAAATTTGTGATTTAATGGATAATTAAAAACCATCACCGCATTATTAACATGTTATTAACACAGTACTAGACATTAAATAGATCAACCGCTGGCGCCGATCGATAATTAAAATTCTTGCCAGACTGAATTGAAACTGTCTAAAAACTTGTAACAGAGAAGATAGTATTGGCTATTTTTTGTGATGCAGGTAAGCAGAATAAGAATTCGGCATGTACTTTTCAATCTTATGATTAATTGGAGAATAGTCATGGGAGAATATACTGCTGAGCAGTAAGTCGTCTAAGATTGTTTTACAATGGCGACGTTCTGATAATGAAATGATGTCACTTTTACCATTTTTCATGACAGACTTCTAGAGTTGGTGCGAGTTGAACGTAAAGAAAAGGTTTCTCGTGTACCAGTCTCGACGTCTACATCATCAATGGAATCCCTATTCATTTATGTAACAAATGATTTTAGCACAGAGTTCGAAGATATATGATATACAACATCTTACCAAGATGGTTCCTTGGTATCCATTTCAATTCGTAAGTGGCGAATTATGGACAACATTCGCCCCTGAAGTCAATAAATCAAAAAAGTAAAACTGACAGTAAAACTCAAAACTGATATATATAAAGCACGTGGCCTGCGACGAAAACAGAAAATGAGGCTAATACTGTTGTCTATGATTGCGTAGTACTAATACATAATAGTAATAATGGATTCGGCCAACAAAACATCGTGCATTGCATTTTTCAATTTCGCAGTTAGTACTTTAGTAGCTCAAACTCTGGCAAGGAGTTTAATTCAGATCATCGGCAAGTAATTCGATTTTTTTGTTTCGTAAACTGATCTAATCTTGTGCCCTTGTATAACCAAACTCTAAATTCAATTTGTGCCACATATTCGTGAATCGTAACAGTCCCACTCGAAATTGTCCCACTCGAAATGATGCCTAGTTGGTGAATGATGATAGTTGAAATTTTAAAAGTACACCATGACACACGAGTGCCCGATGAAATTGTTTTAAAGATCTGACAGCGTTTTTCGAGCAAGAAAACAAAGTTAAACTGATAACATGCAAACATCTTGAAGTTGAAATCATTGTATCTAAAAAACAGTTGCATCTCAGACTCAATTCTCAATAAACCACAACCTAGTGCTGCTTTACCTGGGGACCCCAGGCTATTATGTTCATAAAGATTCGGCGGAATGACAGGCTGAGCGCCGCCCAGTAAAGTGCTGCTATGATAAGAAGAATGCATGATCAACTTCCAGATGGACAAGCGAATGTATAAGTATAAATATAACCTTTTAGAGTACAACAGATCTGAGCTAAAACTGCAAATTTATTAACAAGACAGAAAACCACTGCAACTAAGATCAAAGATATTTCAACAATCCTGCTTTTTTGTGAAGCAACATTTAGCCCAGACCTCACTCCCTCGCCCACTTTTCCCACCCACAAGCACTTGAGCAGCTGGACAGTCCTACTTAATTTGTAGCCGCGGATGTGGTCAACATCCATTTAGTTTAACAAGTTAAAACTTGAGAACCGATCATACAGTTTGTTTAATAAACTGTCTTAAAAACTGTAGTATAAGTTGTGGGTCGAAAATTAGTTACTTATTAAGTTAAATTGTGCGGTTAATTAGCAACATTGATTAGCAACATTGTCAGACCAACAGCATTTTTGAAAAAACACACACTGCAGATAGTTGAAATTCAAAACAATCAAAACGACAATAGGACAGCTTATCAACTCAGCAAGCATGCTCATCACAAAAAGAAACTTGGAAGACCGCAGTCAATGACTGAGCTCGTGGTGGTTTAACCTACTATACCTTGTAATGTCGTATCGAACAAGTTCGGCCTCGTTGAAGACTATAATGTAGAGTGATAACAAAACGGCGTACCAGCCGAGCAGAATAACTCGGATATTCGGTCAAAAGAGCCGGGCCGAGACGGAGAAGGTTGCTCCTTTATAAACAATCCAGTTTGAGAAGAACTATTGCTGGCGAATATATATGTCGCACTATACAAACATGCTCCGAACAAAGCACAGGCGCGACACGAACAGGCGGTCATTGACCAGTCACAGCTCTCAAGTTTTCAAACGATCCAATCAGACGCCTCTAATTGAGGTCAGGTGATGTCGTATTTAATAGTTCGTCGGCAGATGTTTGTCAGGGGCTGATTGTTTGATAAGCAGCGCGTGTTTTATAAAGTTGCTATTTGAATGACCTATTAGCCAGCAGATCTCAAGTGTTCCTGTCACGTGACACTACCACGTCACTGGTTCGCTGTCACGTGATGCCCTCTGTCTGCTTCTGGCAGGCACGGTAGTGCTATCCAGGCTTTGAGTCAAACGGGCCGAGTAGAAACAGGAGCAAGGTGGTTTAAAATAATCTCTCGGATGAATTTAGGAATGGTTTTGTTTCCGTAGAAATAGAATGATAGAATAATGGTTATAGAGGTCAACCCGTTCAGCATTACAAGCTCAACTTCAAGAAATTCTTATTTTCTTGTTAAACCAGGTTTTACAACTTTGTTAAAGATACTGAACTAATATGTAATAGGCGCGGTGAAGCATAATTATAAACCTTCTCGTATGATTATCATTGAATCAAAATTGTAAATTTGAACAGAAGCGTCTAGAAATTATGCATGTGATGATTGATTAAGAAATTTAAAATGTACTGAAGTCGAAGGATAGCGCCACGTACTGAACTGTCGCAAGCGTTTTGAAAAGGGAGGAACTATCCACATTCAATAGTGACCATCATGGTATCTTCATAATACGTACATGAGTTTATCTGAGGTATACTTCAAGGTGTGCTTACAGGCAACAACAATGAATAAGGAGCTCCCTTCTGCCCCTATCTGCAGTAGCTACCCTCTACAGTGAGTACTAATGACAATGCACAGGTAGTGGGATGCAGATACAAGCAAGTTAAAATTGATCTTTGGCTACATGATAAGTACAGTTTATCAATAGTGGATATGATTGAGCTGAGTAAACTGACCTCAGAAAACAGAAAAGCGAATAATAACTGCCCACTTTCTCTTTAATGAAATTGAATGGCTAAATCCGAATGACCATGATTTGGCTATTTCACGATTCATCATCTACCATGATACATGAGAGATTTTTAAAAATCGATTCATATCTTTTTGAGCTCTATTACTAATTGATATTCTGATTTAAGCAGAATGATTCATAAATTCTTGATATCATGGTTTAAACAGTATCAGTAAGTGTACCATTACAAATGTAGCGTATTTTAAGAATTGTATCAAGCCAGGAAAGTTACTGCATGTCAAACGAAGATCTTAATTTCTTTGAGATGACCGAGGCTATCTGTCTGTATAACAATGTCACACAATGACGTCACACAATGACGTCACACAATGATGTCACGAAAAAGACAAATATGTCACGCAGGAGGAAACGATTCGAGAAATGAAGAAAGTTTACCTTATTTCACTGACATCCGTAAGTTAGAGACAAGTTATACAACAGGCTCATAACTAATACCAAATATATGAAGGAAAAATGTAAAACAACTGAAAGCTTTGTTTACACATGCTTAAAATAGCAAATGGAAAATATAAATCTGTACCGGGGTTTTAATGAAATCCGGGACTCTCTAAGTCTAAATAAAAAATATCATACGGTGGACCAAAATCAAGAATAAGAAAGTTTAAGTTGAATTTCAACAAGAAAATTTAACATAAATGTTTTCATTGTTGATTAGTGATTCCATTTTGGGCCGCCTTCTTCTTAAACTTAATAATGGTAATTAAACCGTCCTCAGGACGAAAATAAAAGCTGCAGTTACCGTTTCAATAGGACAAAATATTAAAATTTAGTCCCAAAAAAATGTAACTTGACGTCCAAAACGTTTGGTCTTTAAAATGACTTGCAGTCAGGGTTTTAGTTTCGGCAAAGTGACGTCACAATCTGAACGTGACGTCACGATGAAATATGATGTCATCACTCCTCCTCGCACTCCGCCCAGACCTCCTCAGCTAGCATGAACCACTTGTTGGCCAGACGGCCGTTCATTGCTGACATGGCGGTCTCTGCAGCCTCAGTGAACAGGTAACCTGACCTTAAATTAAAATATAAGTTAAATTTAACAGCTCATATACTGCAATTAGCAAGGTGGGTTACCAAAAATTGAACAGAGCAGCGAGAAAATAGGGGTTAATTTCTCTCCTTTCTGCTTTAAAAATATTCATTATTACATTAATAATTAATGTTATCCATTGTAAGTGGCAAATACCACACATACTTGAGAGGGTCCTTGTTGAGACCGTGTCCCCCGTGTTGAAACATTTCCGCTATCTTAGCCAGAATCTGGTATGTTGGTTCGTGTGTGTCCATATCTGGGAGGCGGGAGATTCTTGTTCAGTTTTTGTTTGTGCTGCATTGAATCTCGAGACTTATGCTAATTATATGCTAATTGTATGCTAATTATATGCTAATTATATGCTAATTATATGCTAATTATATGCTAATTATATGCTCGACCTCATTAGAAAAATGTATTTTGATTTTTGGCAACTGAAGAGTTTGCTTACCTGAACCAGCGGAAGAACATTCGGTGTATTTTCTGTAGTATTTCTCAGCTTTAACCCAATTCTCCTCGACCCCATACAGTCCTCTGAATATAAGAACGGAAATTAAACATGATTTCAAAAAGGAAATCTGCCAGTTTATTTACCGTCAGCTGTTTTGAGATGAATTCGGAAATTTCACCCTCAAGATGTTGATCAAGAAATAATTCTCACTCTAAAGTGACTCACAGATGGTAAGCCTGAGCGACGTTCAATATTGCTGTGATAGTTCCATGTTTTGCAGCCTTTTCCATGTACATAATACCTTCACTCTCACTCACGAGATTATCCTGAAAATTATTATCTGTGGTAATAACAATTGATTTTAATTCGAAAGTTTCACTTTCAAATATCAATACATTATGGTGTATGGACTCTTATTACATCAATGCTTCTTCATACTGACCCAATCACGAACTTATTCATTAAATATTGAAAGGTGAGTTCAAAAAGGTAACGAAGAACTTTTATGAATAGAAAAATGGCAAAATTTAAAGTTTTGCAGATAATATGAAATATCCACTATGAATCTTGTTCAGTTCGAATGTCCTCTGTGCAGAATTTTGCAGTAAGAATTTATTAGTAGTGGGTGTATGACTAACATGAGGTTAGAGATCGCTATAGACTTTACGCTATGAGCTATGAATGTGATTCTTAGGTACTGACTACCTAAGCGGGAGCAGTAGCAAGCCCAGTCTGTTAGACTGTTCAACGTCAAATCTATAACTGCACGCATTTATACGTACGTGGCAGTCATAGATCAGACATTGCATTTTGGTTGCCCGCGTAGTACATAAAAGACACGAGTTGTTTACTAGAATAAGAAGCTTCGAGAACGTCCCAGTTGTTCCCTTCTTTCACATGCGAGTAAAAATAGCAAGACATCGTTTAAAGTATAATACACGTCATTCTCCATTATTCTAGGAGAATCAGGAACGGACATGTCACATGGAATCCAGGAGGTCTAAAACCGAGAGGAGCTTATATAAGGTAACTAGTTCACACATTATGAGGGTTCCAATTTCACACACTAGTCTTGAAATGCTACCATGATTAGGTTAAAAGAGAAAAGTATAGTTTGTAGTTGGGAGACTACAGCGTAGCTGTATAGGTTTGGGTAAAGGTCGTATCGCAACAAATGCCCTGCTAAAGGAACGGATTTTGATACCTGAAATTTAGGGAAAAGAATCGGCGACACTTCAAAGACGCCAAATTGAAACTCTTTTCGCAATTCGATGCAATTCAATTTAATTAATATCGCCGTTGGTGACATTCGATCAAAAATCAAACGAACAAGTTTGATTATTATCCTAATAGTTAGAGAGTAATATAATATTTGTATTTTACAGTAAACATTTGCCTAAAAACCGAAAGGTTGATTATTGAAAATAACAGCACTGCTATAACACAACTGCATTAATATCCAACAAATAAAACATTGATATAGCAATAGTATTTTAAGAACTTACGTTGAGCTCCAATTCTCTCAGCTCGTCGTGGTAGATGTTCAAATGAAGACAAGCTGAAAATTAGATAAATTAAGATAACTTTGTAAATTAGGAGTTATAACTAATTTATTATTTAAAATTTTTCAGTCGAGCAAGCTTATTCATGAAACGAGCCATTCACGCACTCTAGTTCGACAACTTACGTTTGCCAGAAATCACCCCTGTCGAGTGTCGAACTTCGGTACGTGTCGACTGTCGAACTAGAGTCCAGGTAGCGTACTCTAGTTCGACAAATAGTTTCTGCTTGTGGTCCAACGGCTATTGCCGGGTCCTTATCATAGGATCACAGGGTTCAATAGCAGGTGCACGAGATCAGAAATTTCGAAACGTTTAGGTAATCTTAAAACCTATTTATTGATATCAAGCAACCAGCGGTTGGAAATTTCAGAACCATTCAGTATAATCAATAATATTAATTGCAATTCTTCTACTTTACAAGCGTACTCTACAATCTATATCTATAAAACGGAGTACGAGTTACATGGGGCCACTTAGTCTACAATAATAGTGCTAACTAACAATTAAGACTCCGGTCAGTAAGGCACCAGATTGTTAAGTAGTTATCAAATTAGCAATTGTCTCAATCAGCTACCAATAAGATAAAATAATGACGATGTTTACATTACACACATAGTACATATTAGTTATGTTTCATTTTAAAGCCGTATCGATTTTCTATACACATACTAAAAATCAAATGCGTAACTAAAACAGAAATGAAATTACAGAAGTTTTAAATTTGTTGTCAAAAAACGAACTTTTAGGGGTGTTTCTAATGACCAGGGTCTTATACAGCATGAGATACGTGGCAAGCAAACCGCGGGGGCAGGGGGCACGCCAATCCCGATACTGAATCCACGGCGCTCTTTTCGAATTGAAGCTTCTCGTGAGAGTAGCGAGCAATAGAGTAGCAAGCTAGGTAAATTTATATCCCGCTTATATCAACAACCAATATCATGATAATAAAAATTGCCGATGTGATATTAATCCCATGACAAGCACTGGTGCTACTCATATAACTGCTTAACTGTTGGCGTTGCTGCACGCTATCGAATCACACAGGCATTTGATTCATTGATTCATGATTGGGATAACAACTACAAGCTCGAATGGTATACCATAATTATACATAATTATATAACCCATGAAGGTACAATACTACAATAGTCGTATAGAACATTCCTCTAATATTACCGTTACTTCTGACTCACGGAACGTTATCAAAGTTCATATATGCTACTCAAAATTGTTCGATAAAAAACTAAATTCAAAGATATTGTGAATTACAAAATGTATCTTCATGAATATCTTTCTTGTCCAGTCGAAGTTCTCTTGTCGAACTTTAGTACGTGTCGAACTAAACTCCAGGTAGCGTAACCTAGTTCGACAGAGTCGAACTTTAGGGTTTGTAGAACTACAGTACGTGTCGAACTAAAGTACATGTACCGAAACGAACGAACTTGTAAACAAAACTTAAAAAATAACAAAAAGTTCAAAAATTCCAAACAACAGCTACAGCTCAGTGTTGATTGCAGCAATGTACAGATGCTTTAGATATTTGATGGTTAAAAATATTAAATTGTATGTTATTCCGTGCCGATATCATAGGCAGTCCCTTTCTCTCCCCACCAAAACGCACTCTGCGGACACATCTTGATGATCAAAATTTATGATTTACAATTGTTCAGTCGAGCAAGCTCATTCATGGCTTGTGAAAAATAAATTAAACGAAGGAACTTGTAAACAAAACTTTAAAAATAACAAAAACTTCGAAAATTCCAAACAACAGCTCAGTGTCGATTGCAAGTGCTAAGCTCCTGCATAACCAGCTGCGTCACTTTTCCCAGGAAGTTGCGCTCGTCGCACTCAGCGGACACCTCCTGCACTGCACCGGAGCGCGTCGCACTCTGCGGACACCTCCTGCACTGCACCGGAGCGCGTCGCACCTAGCAACTCCTCCCAACTCACCACAACGTCATGTACCAAGTAACTTGCTAGCCGGCTGCATCTACCGTCGTAGTACATCGCAGCAATATCTTCAATGCGCAGCGCGCGTGAGAACACATTCAGTTGGTATATCTCCCCGCCAAATGCTTGGTTCACATCAAAACCACCGCCCAGTGAATCCTGATCTTGTCCGACAATTAGAGTGCCACAAGAATTGTTGAGCCTGGAAGTGGTAGTCACGTGGGACTTAACGAGGACCCCGTTCACGTGGAACTCCATCAGACTTGAAGCGGAGCTCCATACCAAACAGAAGTGATACCATTCGTTCTTCAACAAAACCAAGTCAGTCCACTCCATAACATCTGTGTTACCGACTACGTTATGGTACCAGTCGGATAACATGAGCTCGTTGAAGCGCCCCGGTACTGCGTAGCTGAACCAGATGTGCTGGGCGCGCGGGTCCAGGAACTTCTTCATCCATGTACACACGGACACAGCGGTGGTAACTTTAGAGAAGTCAGGGTTTAGCTTTATGTAGTTGTTGGTGGATACCTTCTCGGGGAACCTCAGGTAACTTTGGAGAAGTCAGGGTTTAGCTTTATGTAGTTGTTGGTGGATACCTTCGCGGGGAACCTCAGGGTTTAGCTTTATGTAGTTGTTGGTGGATACCTTCTCGGGGAACTTCAGGGCTTTGTTTAGAGAAGTCAGGGTTTAGCTTTATGTAGTTGTTGGTGGATACCTTCTCGGGGAACCTCAGGGTTTAGCTTTATGTAGTTGTTGGTGGAGACCTTCTCGGGGAACCTCAGGGTTTAGTTTTATGTAGTTGTTGGAGGATACCTTCTCGGGGAACCTCAGGTAACTTTGGAGAAGTCAGGGTTTAGCTTTGTGTAGTTGTTGGTGGATACCTTCGCGGGGAACCTCAGGGTTTAGCTTTATGTAGTTGTTGGTGGATACCTTCTCGGGGAACCTCAGGGTTTAGTTTTATGTAGTTGTTGGTGGATACCTTCTCGGGGAACCTCAGGTAACTTTGGAGAAGTCAGGGTTTAGCTTTATGTAGTTGTTGGTGGATACCTTCGCGGGGAACCTCAGGGTTTAGCTTTATGTAGTTGTTGGTGGATACCTTCTCGGGGAACCTCAGGGCTTTGTTCCATTGGTCAGTGTCGGCAAGGGAACCGGCGATAAGACAGAGAAACAGGACAGCAAACATTGTGGGTACGGTGAGAAATAAAATTAATATGGTTGAATCTTTTAATCAAAAGTTGGGAGTTCCGCCGTCCCATATAATGTGCAAATTATCCGTTCATTCGTTTCATTCTCAAACGTAATTAAGTTATTTTTTAATCAAAAGTTGGGAGTTTCGCCGTCCCATATGTGCAAATTATCAGTTCATTTAATGAACATGTGGCGATTTAATAGAATTTGGGGGAACCAACCCGTTATGATATTAACAATCAGGAACACCTCAGACTTTTTGCATCATAAGTAAGACTAGAATGATCTAAATCCAATATTCTAAACATTCAATACCTTCCTTCCCCCCCCCCCCCCCCTCATAGGCAGTCCCTTTCTCTCCCCCACCAAAACGTGTGTAATGGTGTGTAACGAAGTGGCGGTGTATAATAAACGACCTCAATGGAGATTATATTGAAAGTAAATTAATCGCAGGTCGATAATTCACAACAGTTTTATAGCAAATAATCTTGTAATATCCTGCATATCACTATGAATATTCGCATAATTAATCCCAGTGAGTACGTGATTTTAGCTTTCCCTTAGCCCTACTCCAGTTCGCATATATATATACAAGAATTGCGCACTGCAAAAAGTTCGTTATTTTCAACATTTTAAAAACTTGCAACGTTTCAATGCGTGCTAAGACCAATATAGCAAACATAGTGGGTAAGGTGAGAAAGACTCCTTAAACGTAATTAAGTTATCTTTTAATCAAAAGTTGGGAGTTTCGCCGTCCTATCTGTACAAATTATCCGTTCATTTAATGAACATGACGTGGCAATTAAATAGAATTTCGGGGAACCAACCGGTTATGATATTAACAATCAGGAACACTTCAGACTTTCTGCATCATAAGTAAGACTAGAAAGATCTAAATCCAATATTCTAAACATTCAATACCTTTGGTTTTATAGCAAATCTTGTGATATCCTGCATATCACTATGAATATTCGCATAATTAATCCCAGAAATGAGGACATCGCCAGTTTTGTAATAATAAAGGGCACTTTAAAGCGGTAAATGGCTACACAATATTTTGTCTGCAGCCTGTAAGGGGCCTGGCCTGTGTAGTGTGTACGTGATTTTAGCTTTCCCTTAGCCCTACTCCAGTTCGCATGTACAAGAATTGCGCACTGAGAAATGTTCGTTATTTTCAACATTTTAAAAATTTGCAACTTTTTTTTAAAGCGTGCTAAGTATTATGATTTATAAATATTCAAATAAGCAGTCAAAGAAACGAAGTGCTACCCTTAAATGGTCAGGACTAATTCTTCTGACTTTCATTTTGCTTATTAATTCCTTGATAATCTAACTATTATCGAAATCAAGAAATTAGGACCCTAAAATAAGTGAACGTACCAAGCTGTACATTGTCAAAAATTCAAAGAATGTACAGTACAAGGTACCTTTAAATTAGATGTACAATGAGTACACTCTTCTACAGTTAGGAATAGTTTACAAGGCATTTCAACACTGAATTTGATATGATGCTAACTAGTAGTAGAAGCAACAGTAAAAGTATAGTAAAATTAGTAGCGTTTGTAAAAGTAAGAGAGCCAATAAAAGCAACAGGTAAATTAATAGTAACAGAGAAATTAACCAAGTATAAAGAATATTATTAATATTATGAGCATAATATAATCATAGTTATTAGTATTATAATTATATAATTAAGTATAAATATCAAACCTAAAGTGAACTCTGCGATGCTGAGACCACAATCCGCGGCTGTCTTCAAATGGAACAGAGCACTCTTGTTATCAGCCGTTTTATCCTCTTCAAACCGTCCCATGTAGTGGTAGAGAGCCAGATCAAAGTGCACCTGTCAGAGGTTAACAGACTTCAAACACAAGGAAATATTCTTAAAAGGGCTGTTCGTTACGATGCCGAATGAGATGACATTAATTGAAGTTCTTTGAAGAGGACCTCAAGTGATTATCTGACATGAAAACATCCAGTTTTTCTATATTATCCTCTTATTAGCTAATTAAATGCAGTTGCTATAGATATCTGCTGGTTGAAAATATTGAATCAAATGTAATTCTGATATCTTATCGGAGATGAATGCTGCCTTGTTCATTCTAGTGTGTTTCTTACCATATTATAATATGTATTGTGTTATGCATAATCGGGATAATCTTAATATTCACGTGCATATTATAAACATTACAATTCTGTATTCTACAATTATACTAGTTTATACACTGTTTAACGAGATTTATCATAATATATTTATCATAATATGAGCCAAATTTCTGATTTTTGTTTCGAATGTTCAAGTATATCTACTAAAATTACCATATCCTCTCCGCGAATTTTATCTGTAAGTTTGAGATTGGATAAAAGCGCGGCATTATTTTTAGGTCAATGAAGATATCCTGACTTTAATGTGAAAATATAGCTTTCTAAAATGATTCGGTGAAACTATTTTACAAGTAAGAGGGCTAATAGCATGATTATTAATATGTACTTAAAGTACCACATAGTATAGTATGTAATGTGTATGAGCTGTATATCGTATAATCTTCACTATAAATTAAAATAAAGAAAAGAAGTAACCTGTCCCAGTATGGTAGCCCGTTCCTCCTTCTCCTTAATAGGAGCCCTTGTGTCCATTATATCGCTAGTACTGATATCGCACGTGTCGCTAGTACTGATATCGCACGTGTCGCTAGTACTGATATCGCACGTGCGCTTGCGCGAGCTGGTGGCTTTCATCACACAGGAGGGACGCCTGTTGTTTGAGCCGTACAGCTGTGATCTTTTTAGCTCCTCCTGGTTGAGAAATGTAAGGGTGGTTTAACCAGATTTAACAATGAATTTAATAAAGATTTTATAAGCCAACCATGTATTTATTCTGTGAATAACTAAGTTACAAAAGTCACGTTTGAAAAGCACGTGGACCAATAATAATTTCACAAAAGCTTTTATGTAATAGAAATTTCGATATTACTTATTTTAATTATAATTGATTATAATAAATTTAAATTAGAACATACTGTGTCCCAGGCCTGATCGGGGGTATCTTCAGGAGCATCAAAACTGCTAGACGGCAAGCGAATCTTTGGTATTTGCTGCCCCACTCCACCAACATTGTTCAGGTTAAACTGGTTTTCCTGGTAATTGTTATCACATGCTATTAATGTTACAGATAAACTATTGGAAAATATCGTGTCTTATTATATCAGGTAACAACGTTTTTGAATGTGATAGAAATGACCTGTTGGATATTCCGCCGGTTTAAGGCACTAACAAGCTTTGATATTCGACTTAACAGCTCAAATTTCTAAATTTTATAAGTATAATATGAATAGTGAATATACAATTTTCTATTCTTAATAAACAATTTCCACGCCGTTGTCCTATCATTGCAGAATTATGCTAACAAGTCATGAGAGTATGTTGGAACCTCGCCAAAAAGTTGAAACAAATAAAGTACCTTTCTACCGATAGAACCCTCGTCAATACCGCTGTCAATAAAAACATCCCTCTCAACTGTAGACTTCCCCTCACTTTCCATAGAGCTGAGCGAGCTACTCCCTGTCACGTGGGTTGTATGTTAATTGTCACGTGATTTGTATGTTAATTGTCACGTGGGTTGTATATTAATTGTCACGTGATTTGTATGTTAATTGTCACGTGGGTTGTATATTAATTGTCACGTGATTTGTATGTTGATTGTCACGTGGTTTGTATGTTAATTGTCACGTAAATTGTAACATTTGTAATGTTTTTTTTAATAACAACTTTTCTTGAGGTTTAAAAACCTTAATTTGAATCGTTTAACGAACCAACGAATCCTTTAAAATATCCTAATTTAAATTGTAAAACAAACTTACTCAGGCAAGTTTTTCCGTCCCCAGTAGTGGTTGTTCGTTTCCTCTCCTTGGTAGTTAAATCGAACCTGCTTAGTCCTGGGGAAAAGGTCAAAGTAAGGTAAAAGTTATTTTTATTCTATTATTAGTCATCACTACGCTCTAAATTATTGAACAACTATTGAACAATTATAGAACAACCTCCCATTTCACTTACAAAATCCATTGATGACGTTAAAATGTACCCGATAATCTTAAGTTATAAATAAGCATATCATAATTTTATGTATAATACGCCATGAAGCTTAATAAGCTAATATATTACTGCAATATATTACTGTCACATTGCAGCCACAAACCTACTATAACCCAAAGATACAAAAAGCCTCACCTAAAGCCTCACATATAACATTACAGCGGTGTGTGTTGAAAAAGAGAGCAATACCCTTAGTGGCCAGATTACCACTCCCGTACCCCTCCCCACTGTAGGTGTGTATCTGGGGGTCCGTGTACAGGTCTCCTACTCCCTGTACATCTACCACCATGCACTTGTGCCCCGACGCTTCAAACGTAAAGTGGGAAAATGCCTGCGGAGGGAATTGTGTGAGGGAATGCCTGCGGAGGGAGATGTGTGAGGGAATGCCTGCGGAGGGGGATGTGTGAGGGAATGCCTGCGGAGGGAGATGTGTGAGGGAATGCCTGCGGAGGGAGATGTGTGAGGGAATGCCTGCGGAGGGAGATGTGTGAGGGAATGCCTGCGGAGGGAGATGTGTGAGGGAATGCATGCGGAGGGAGATGTGTGAGGGAATGCCTGCGGAGGGAGATGTGTGAGGGAATGCCTGCGGAGGGAGATGTGTGAGGGAATGCCTGCGGAAGGAGATGTGTGAGGGAATGCCTGCGGAGGGAGATGTGTGAGGGAATGCCTGCGGAGGGAGATGTGTGAGGGAATGCCTGCGGAGGGAGATGTGTGAGGGAATGCCTGCGGAGGGAGATGTGTGAGGGAATGCCTGCGGAGGGAGATGTGTGAGGGAATGCCTGCGGAGGGAGATGTGTGAGGGAGTGCCTGCGGAGGGAGATGTGTGAGGGAATGCCTGCGGAGGGAGATGTGTGAGGGAATGCCTGCGGAGGGAGATGTGTGAACTACATGTTGGATGCCAAATTAGTAATGTACAGAGTGATAGTTATAATTAGGGTGCAACTGTAATCGGTTGAATGGGTTTTGTAAAAGAATAGCCATCATGGTCTTTTAACAGCTGTGGAAACGTTAATCTGATTCTAAATTCTAATAAGGTTCAGATACGATAAATCTAGCGGTCGACCTCATGACCAGAAAAGTGGCCGTATTTCTTATTTGAAATCTAATTGTGAGTCTAGCACATGATCAGATAATGCTGGGCTCTTAGAGTGTTATATTACAAACATCGCGTGACTCTGCTACTCTCGACTGTGTGAGGTCATCACTCTGTGTTGTTCCTTTCTCTGTGCTTTGTTGTAGCCTTGGATCTTAAATTTAACTTACTTTTTCATTTTCGAATTCGGTCGCCGAACGTGAGGTGCGATCTGTGTCATTTTTTGATAATTGGGGGTCGTTCACATATTACGTAATCAATATTTTAGCAACTTTTACCCCTCTACCCCCTCCGTAATCAACCGTTATCAACCGTTATCAACCGTAATTAAGACCCCCCCCCCCCTCCTGACAGCAATATTACGTAATTATGGCCTGACCCCCGGCCCCCCCCCCCCCCCTTGATTTTTTCCCCTAGAAAACACTTTTCTCTACGTCTCATGCTACCCTTATCATGCTATCATGATGAGCCGACATCATTGTTATGATATCCGCCAACCACCTTCTAAACTACTTACCATTAGTATTAGTATTATAGTCGGATATTCGATCTATTTCTAAATTTTATCACTATCAGAGTGCAATTGAGTGCAATTTGAATTCAATATTGTCACATTTTTATTATTCTAGAGGGCAAAAAAGAAAATTTTGAGTACGTAATCAACGACCACCCCCCCCCCCCCCTCCCCCGTAATCAACCGTAAGCATTTGGAAACCCCTCCCCCTCGGCTGATTACATAATATGTGAACGACCCCTTGATGTCTAATCATATTGTCTGATTTTCCTAACCAAATACAAATAATTGCTCCCTACTTTCATACTATCAATAAATAATATATATTATATTGATACAATATACAAATTATTGAAAAGTATATTACTCCCACTTCTAGTTATGGAAGAAACAATTCTACTAATGCTGAAGGATGAAGATCCCCTCAATGTTTCCAAGCAGTTACTTGTTGCTGATAGCGCAATGTTTCGCTATCTAATAGAAGAGATGCACCAAGTGGAACTCGAATTTGATGATTTCTTGGCGGAAAATGTAACGCTGTTTATCACTCTGTTGGATGATAGGGAGCTGGGGAATGTACATAACGGAAACTTCAGGGAGTTAAATAAACTTGCGGAAGTATTTGTTATAGATTGGATGAAGGAAGAGTGTAGACAGTGGTTAAAGAAGAAGGCGGAATGTGCAAGGACGGTTTGTGTTTGAAGAATGCATGTACACTATCAGGAAATGGGATAATAAAGCTATGATGAACGTTTTATTGTCGGAATTAACGCATCAAGACAACTCGTCTTTTGTGTTGGAATATATGACGGGTTTAGATGAACAGGACACCGGTCAAATAGACAATATGATAGTTCTCGGAGGGAGCAATACTGAGCCGTTCCTTCGTACTATTCTAGCGAACTTGGAAGGAAAGGTGAAACTGGACGAGAATTTGAAGTATCTCCTCCAGCAGATGAATCTAGCCCTGAGTTTCGAACAAAACAAGGAACTTTATCTTGAGGTTTATAAGACAATTGAAAACCTACCAGAAATATCAGTAGGTGATATAAAATGTGTTCTCCAGTTGTCGACGAAAACAACTTCATTAGTCAGTTCCCGTAGTGAAGCAAGAAGGTTGAGAACTACTGAGGTGGATGATACGAAGAAATATGTAGACTTAGTGATCAGTTGTAAAAAGATAACAGATATCACAGACGCAGTTCTGGGTAACAAGGTGACGTCTGTGTTTGTTGTTGTTGAACTGCTGCTCCGTGTTTACTACATCAAAACACCCAGTACAGAGGAGACACGAGTATTCATGACAACACTAGAGGAATGTTGCAAGGAGAAAAAACTGCAGAAAGTATCGAAAATATTTTTGGGAATAGTAATCAACGCCTGAAACTATTCTCCAAAAGTACAAAAGGTTGAACTTATCGCAATTTTGAATGAGATAACGAACAATGATAATCTCTCAACCCACCATGAGAACATACTCATTAAAAGTGATCAGTATATCGACGTGTCACCAATATCAGCACAAAGATTAGTCAGTACTGTGAAACATGCTATGACAGGAGATAAGAGTATGCCAGTAGGTACTGTGTACAAGCGTCTCTTTACATTCCGACATCCCAGCACAGTGGAGTGTACAGAAGCTGGTAAATGTGGTTTTATATTAAGAGGCAGTAAACAAGACGAGGATAGTTATATAGAAGAACTGTCTACTAACAGTGAAGACTACGAGGGTACAGGACTACATCTACACGATGTCGTGTCTGGTAGTGACATGTACAGGTATAGCTGTATAGGATATGCTCAGGTAACACAGCTCCTGATAACATTATTCAAGTGGCAGGACGGTGGTGGGGGTGGGAGTGGTGGTTACCAGATGTAACTAACTGGGTGTATAAACAGCACTGTGTTGAGTATGACATATCTGATTACGTTGTTACTAAAAGATAACAAGTTCGATTTTAAAACAGAATTAGTATTAACTATTAGCTAGATATACAATTCGGCTCGATTTCGTAATATCAGAGTATCAGTTAGATCAATATTTATTTAGTTTCTTTTATAGTTCATTTAGTAGTTTAGTTCAAATACTTGAAAATTGCACGTAATTTTCTTGTATTTTACTCTTGTACAGAACGTGTTGAATGCAAAATATTGGGTATGCGTGCCAATCGCTATGTTATTTTAGTTGCATGATTCAAAATATTCAATGTTGTTGACAGTATTGTGAACTATTTTCAGTTTCGTAAATGATTTTAGTGAATAACACTAGTAGCAGTATATTGACAAATCAACACAAATTATTTGTAAGAATGACATTTTATTGTTCTACTTTCAAAACGTTACAATTACTAGCAGGAACCCGTATAATATAACCCTAAACGGTGTCAAGACTCAAGAGACTAAAATAATTATTACCTATTTAATTGGCGTTTTTGACACCACTTGGGGGTCCAAATTTTGGGCTCTAAAATCATTATTCCTTGGCCAATTTTTATTTTTTCATGCTGATTTGTAGGCCATTAAAGCATTTGACCCAGTCAAAAAAGTTTCAGTTGTATATCTTTTACGGTTTTTGCAGAAAGTCGCGTTAAAGTTGATGCCGTGGTGTCAGTAAAATGGCACAGATATATATATATATATATATATATTTTGTAGCTGTACTCCTACACATTAAAAGTCGGTGTTGATTAGATCTTCGAAATAAGTCTTTGCATCATTTTATTAAACATCGTTATCTGAGATAAAATTGTTCTAAAAGCAACTGGAATATTCACAAATCTTTAAAATAACTTACAAACTAGGAAAGAAAAACAAGTCTTAGGAAGACGTACAAAACTATGTGACTTAAAACGGTACAAAACTAAAATATACTGAGTAATAATCAAACGAAAAGAATATATATATATATATATGTAGCTATTACCTTGCTAGTTATGAGTAAATTTTTGCCTTCCATCAATTGAGTGCAGCTTTCAGTTTCAAAATTTTCAGTTTATTCAGATTTTTCGTTTTCGATATTGCAAATTTTTAATAAATCATGTTCAGATTATGGTGATAATGGATGTAAAGGTACTTCAACCGAATTAACAATCCAACCGTGTGTATGACGTGTCCCAGTAGCCAATCATAATATATGTATTTCTACCGGTGGCACATACTGGATGGCGGTTAGATGAGTACACTACTCTCACAAGCATCTCGAGTCTCTCGGTGATCCTGCCTCCACACCACACTCAGTCTGGACTCCCTTCCGGCCGACCGAACTATTTTCCTAATATCTCCTAATATAACTTTGATCGAACAAGCCTAAATTCATGATGCACTATAAACTTGATTTGAGACAGAAATTTTAGACAATTTATCTGCTTACGTGTAATTTCAAACTCTTATCAGTTACCATGTCTTTTATCTAATTTTTATCAGCAGATTTATAAATCTGCTGTTCATTTGTAGCTATTACCTTGCTAGTTATGAGTAAATTTTTGCCTTCCATCAATTGAGTGCAGCTTTCAGTTTCAAAATTTTCAGTTTATTCAGATTTTTCGTTTTCGATATTGCAAATTTTTAATAAATCATGTTCAGATTATGGTGATAATGGATGTAAAGGTACTTCAACCGAATTAACAATCCAACCGTGTGTATGACGTGTCCCAGTAGCCAATCATAATATATGTATTTCTACCGGTGGCACATACTGGATGGCGGTTAGATGAGTACACTACTCTCACAAGCATCTCGAGTCTCTCGGTGATCCTGCCTCCACACCACACTCAGTCTGGACTCCCTTCCGGCCGACCGAACTATTTTCCTAATATCTCCTAATATAACTTTGATCGAACAAGCCTAAATTCATGATGCACTATAAACTTGATTTGAGACAGAAATTTTAGACAATTTATCTGCTTACGTGTAATTTCAAACTCTTATCAGTTACCATGTCTTTTATCTAATTTTTATCAGCAGATTTATAAATCTGCTGTTCATTTGTAGCTATTACCTTGCTAGTTATGAGTAAATTTTTGCCTTCCATCAATTGAGTGCAGCTTTCAGTTTCAAAATTTTCAGTTTATTCAGATTTTTCGTTTTCGATATTGCAAATTTTTAATAAATCATGTTCAGATTATGGTGATAATGGATGTAAAGGTACTTCAACCGAATTAACAATCCAACCGTGTGTATGACGTGTCCCAGTAGCCAATCATAATATATATATATATATATCGTCTCGCTTTATATATAGTAAGATTGGCTATCTCAGATCATAAGTAGAATTTTGACATGATTAATAAAAATTAAAAACAATAACGTTCGTATTCTTTCGTATCAATTATGAAATTTTCGAGAATTAGTGGCAGATTTGGTTTTCTGAACTTATTTTTTCGCGATGTTTCTTCAAGTGTTTTATGAGGTTGCTATTTGCTATCTATTTTGTGCCCGATGAAGTCAGCAAGCAGGTTAGCATGTCTTCAATAATATCCCTAGTAACCAGCTGCTTGTAGAATCTGTCTTAAGGTCTTAATACGGGAAATTCCAAACACTTTTAAAATCTTGTTTTTCAACTACTCCTCCCACAGATTCCACAAATATAAATTATAATGATTTATCAGTTGTAGTAGCCTGTAGTAGCCTGTAGCAGCCTGTAGCAGCCTGTAGCAGCCTGTAGCAGTCTGTAGCAGTCTGTAGCAGCCTGTAGCAGCCTGTAGCAGCCTGTAGCAGCCTGTAGCAGCCTGTAGCAGCATGTAGCAGCCTGTAGTAGCCTGTAGCAGTCTGTAGTAGCCTGTAGTAGCCTGTAGCAGCCTGAAGTAGCCTGTAGTAGCCTGTAGCAGCCTGTAGCAGCCTGTAGCAGCCTGTAGTAGCCCCTGTCAACAAGATGTGAACATCTCGCCATCTAACCAGAAACTTCACGGTCAATTAGCTCGCCCAGTAAGATTATAGTGCCCAGGTGTGTACACTGTACCTGTAGTATAAAGCCAATTATATACACATAATATATAATTTATCGGCCGGGTGGTGTAGTGGTAACACGGTCGCCTCCCAAGCAGAAGACCTGGGTTCAAATCCGGTCGGATGCAAGTCGGCTAGTAACCAAGCTGTGATTTGGTACAGCTTCGGCTGGTGATACACACTCTCTGGCTCGTAGGACTAACCCCCGTCCCCCCTACAGCTAGTATAGTGCCTCGGCACAGAGTGGCTTAGGGTTACTGAAAAGGAGATAAGCACCTCAGGCCATCCCAACGTTCGGGAGAGACCTGGCCTTGTATCTTGTTGTTGTAATATATAATGAGGGGCACTCAGAATTAAATTGTGTTCTGTTTGGAATGAGCGAGGTCATATTTTCGCACCGTTTTAACTACGAAAATGTGTTTTCGAATATAATAGGCGGGTTTATACTTTTGCATTTCAACTGCGATAGTGAAGTCCCGGCCGTAGGCACGGGTTACACTAGTATACACATTACACATAATACCAGTCCGACATGTTATGCAAATGAGATGATCACCTGTGAGAGGTACAAATCTCCAGGTGGTCCAAACTTCTTCACTGGTCTAGAAGTCTGAATACTTCTTCACTGTTCTAGAAATCTCACATACCCTCTCATAGTTTGATGAGGGCTAACTCTTAGACGCTCTAAAGTCACGACAATTCGGCTTCATGACAGAGTTGTGTATAATATTATACATATTTATATTCCATTCGGACACGAAGGGAAACACACCATGTTCGGCTTGAATCCTTCGTAAATATATATATATATTATGATTGGCTACTGGGACACGTCATACACACGGTTGGATATATATATATATGTATAAACTACATCTTTACAGCCTAACAAATTATTTGTTACATAGTAGTGATTAGTGTTGAAAGCATTATAATTGTAGTATTAGATTTTTGGTATGATCGAGATTGATTGCTAATATATATATATAATATAATATATAATATGATTGCGCTTGGAGAGAAATGTTACCAGTGCTCTAAAACGCTCTATTATATTAGTATATTAATGAGCTTACACATGGTAAGAGGGTACGGACCTCTATGAAATTGTAATGAGACTTTCGTTTAAATACTCGACTTAATCTGAGCCAGGTTTTGAACCGATCAGGGTTGCTTCACTTCTTATCACATTCACATTATACAGTCAGTTTGGTATGTAGCTGTACTGTTATGTAAGTTGAGTAAATATTTAATCTAATAACAACAAATTATTTCTAACAGCAGACAATATTAGTTACATTTTATTAATGCTTTTCAAACAAAGTTAAAACGAATTCTTCATGTATAGTAGTGCATCCTGGGTTTGGACAGGATATGACCCGTTTAAAATATTTCCATCACGTTACATTACATAATTCTCAATAAATGTAATAGATTTGTAGTGTTGTAATTAGTATTATGATTTTAATACGCTATCAGTTACCTGGGGAGTGTTCCGGCAAATATGCTGAGAGTTGCTTTCCACATAACCACTGTTGGAGTTGTACTTCACATACTCACCCTCTGAAACACGTACAAATTAAACAGTGTTTCCCTCTGAAACACGTACAAATTAAACAGTGTTTCCCTCTGAAACACGTACAAATTAAACAGTGTTTCCCTCTGAAACACGTACAAATTAAACAGTGTTTCCCTCTGAAACACGTACAAATTAAACAGTGTTTTGTAGCTTCAAGCTGAAATTATTGAGAAAACATATATATGGGGGGGGGGGGATAAGCCTGGCCCATTGATACCCATGCCCATTTGACCAAAAGTTGAGGAATAAATGGGCATAATTTTCATAACTTAAAATTAAAATTAAAAATTTCTCACAATAGGTGGAAAAAAGTCCAAAATCGCCGAAAAAGGGGACGTTTTTCTCCCCTTTTCGACTCTCGGAAGCGTGAACCTACCTATAACAGACTCCACGTGATACAAAGGACTGTCGGGCCTATCAACAAGCTCAACTATCATCATCTGCATGATGTCTATCTTCTTGGGAGGATTAGCTTTGTTGTATTCCTCAGACCAGAATTTTGCGTCCATTTGCAGCTGAATGTCGTCAAAATACGCCTGTCTGTAACGATCATTTTCAATATTTTGAAGCATACTGAACGTAAGGTAAAATACTAGACACATAATAATAACAACAAATATAATTTATTAAGGTGCTTTTAATTTAGAATAAGGATTAAGGAATGCTGCCACACATTAATAAGTGTATTTAACAACACTAAACCCTATCTGTTGGAATAACATGTGTTAGTGTGTTTTAGACAAGTTTCCAACAAATGCTGTATAAAACTAGGAAATAAAACAGTCTGGACACTCGAGTTTACTTCCAGACTTCTTTACTCTTTTACATAATACAGTGTAGTGATTAATATTACCCCACATAATTAATTAATTGATTAATTACCCACATAATTAATTAATTGACTAATTACCCACATCGAACAACTAAGTTTGTCACAAATTTCTTCCAATCGAGATCAGCTGATCAGAAAAAACTTCAAATGCACATGCAAGAGTTTCAATAATCGTTATCCTTGATTGGGCTTTGTAATAAAATTCATTCACAGCAGGCAATACGAAATTGCAATTTACATGGTCGTATGTTGATCTGATATCGATACAATATTGTGACTGTGTGATTATATTATAAAGTTACAGCTTCAGCATTAAATTTGCGCACAAATAATTAACATTCAGACATTCAGCTAACACTTTTAATCATTGACACTTTGACAGGTATAACACAATTTTTATTATTTGTTATATATTATTCCTAAATGATAAAATATTCATAATATTGTGATTTGCGAAGTTATCATCGTTAATCTTTATAATATTTGGATATACATTATACATACATTAATTATTTTATGTTTGAAAAGTTCATCGTATATTTATAGATGGTTTTACTTGATTCCCCTATTATATTATCAAGCTATCAAGGGAAGTTTAGAGTGTCAGTTATTTATAAAAGAAACGATTACAATTTTGAATTTATATCACATTATCATTATCCTTTTTTAGATGGAAACATACCAAATAATTTGTTTTATGGAATATTTATTTAGCAAGAGTTAATCCGACACTAAATGGTTTTAAAAAAGTGTTACTGAACTCTTAGGTAAAGTGGTTGAACAAGGATTTAAGTTAGCTGCATTGCCCAAGTTTGCAAAGTTTTATAAATCGAAATTAAATATATGGGGAAAATATGGTAGTGACATTTATGATGAATTTATCGAAATGCTTCAATCACCTAACATTATTTTGTGATTTTTATTGTCATATGTTAACTTTTTATTAAGTTATAAAGATACTTTTATAATATTAATTGTTTGATTATTTGCGATTAATTTGTATTGATTTATTGTTTGTGACTTACAAATTAGTAATCAATGATTGACTAATCATTGTAGTATCGTTTATAAAATTATTGTTAGAATTTAAATTTATATGAAGAATTTAAATGTATTATGAAGAAACACGATTTTGTAGATTCATTTATTGCTTGTTTAATTTGTATTAATTGTGCTTCTTGATTTATTATTATCTGTATCTGAGATTCTGTGATTAAATATATTTTGTTGATTATAATGTAATGATTGCATAATTTATGGTAAATTTGTTATATTTCAGTATAGGTGTAGCCAGTCAACACCCTGGCTCCAAAATATGAAAGACTTGTTTTGATTCTAAATGATAAGCTCGAACATATCTGAAACACATATTAAAAAACATAGTAAGGAAACTAATCAACCAACCTATCAACAGGACTCAAATACTTTTTGACTACTACATTGGAAAAAGGCATATTCCATTCTTCTTTTTTATCTTTGTGAGCAAAATCAGCTATACTGCTAAAATAAATTTCACTATTAATTAGCTGAAACAATAAATCACAATAAATAGCTGACAATGCTGCAAAAAATCAAGTTTCTAAATCTACTAGCTTGGAATAAGAATACAACCTCGTTGAACGAAGAATTTGCACATGAATCAGTAATAAAAGTAAGATTAGCTTCACAAGATCAGTAGTTACTATAAATCATTTACTACTGAGGCGATAATCACAAAAAAAGCGCTGACTCAAGAAAATAGTTTTCAATCTACCTGTCTGATTCTTTGAAGTACTTTTTAGCCACAACATTGGCGAAAGGTAGATTCCAATCTTCTTCAGCACTTCTTGCTGCAAACTTGGACAGCTTTTTAGCTCGAAAACACTCTCTCATTGCACCATTGGCGAAGGGCTGCAATGGTATTTATGATAGAATTTCCTATTTGAATTACTAGCATTAGAACAGGTACATCCTTCTAGAATTGGTAAATTTATTTTTTAACTTCTAAAGAAAGAAGAATTGTCTACCTTTCCATCAATCCTAACTTCTACTTCATCAGAGAAGAATTCCCTCTTAGTCATATCATAGCGCCACCTCTTAGCTCTTTCAATCGGGAACTGCTCAATAATGTATGCCCATTGATCTTCTTGGTGTGTCTAAACAAGTAGCACCGTAAACAGTTTATATATTGTTAATTTCCTTAAACTATTAAACAACAACAGCTCTTGCCTGAAATACCATCATATCTATGTCTCCTAGTCGTTACACTATTCCATAATCCCCATAACCCAAGCCTGAAACTTTCCTAATCCCACAAAAGTATAGTTGCCGTTGTGTTACACAAGGAAGCGAATATTGCCTTTACCCCGTCAACTATCAGTTCATCTGCAGTATGACTAGTATGCAAAAGCCCAAAATTATCCTAAGTTGCTTGAAATTGGTATATCAATTTTATGAAATAATCATGAAATATGTCACTGCGCACTGTGCCCTACATAGACTGAAGGATATCTGGAAATCAAAACTCTCAAAGATTAAGATACGATTGTTCATAGCGGCTTATGAGTCAGTAATGCTCTACAGATCAGAAACCTGGACACTGACAAAGGCTCAAGAGAAAAGTTTGGACATACACAAAGATGCTGCGTATGGTGCTGGGTATCTCATGGAAGAACAAGGTCAGCAATATAACTTTGTATGGTAGCCTAGGCTGGCAAAGGAGTTACGAAGCAGGAGATTAAAAATGACGGGACACTGCATCAGACATCCTGAGCTTCTTGCCCGTGAGTCTTATGGGAACCTATGCATGGTAGAGCACCAATACCATGCATAGGTTCCCATAAGACTTAATCACTGCTCTGAGCACAGCAAGGACGGCCAAGACAAAGCTACTTGTCTATGTTACTGAAGGAAGTTGGGAAAAATTCTAGAGAAACTGCGAACCCTGATGCGGGACAAGGATATAAAGAGGGGGTTATCTGGCGTAGATCGGACTTAGTTTACATAATTGATAGCTTTTCTTGATATTGCTCTATAATTACATTTATATCTCTCCCGGCCATTGGTTCCGAGATTTGGTTGATCTTTGTTTTCTTGGGCGCCCTCCTTGAAGTCTTGTTGTTGTACATACATCTCCTGATTTATCCTGTACTTACCTGTTTATTTCATTTTCTGGCGTGAGCTGTCCGCCATGCTACGGTACGAGAAACAGCGGCAGTGCAAGATCCGGTTCTAAGAGATTTTTATGGTCGCGAAGAATCTCGCCAGGCTACACTGCGTCGGTGGGAGAACTATTTAGGTTCATGACATCTAACGCCCGCCCAATCATGGCAGCCCCATGACAATAGGTTGATGTCCGACCCGTTGTCCTTGGCCTATCTCGAGTCGTTGGGTCTAGGCGGAAACGCCGAAAGGGATGATGTTACCTTCTTGACTTAAACGTAATGGTAAATTTTTCTCAAAATCCTTGAATAAATGGGTAACCCCTAGTAATGTCTTTTCTAGCACTTTTAGATGTTGCAATGGTAGAGGTTGTCTCACTTGCAACAGTTTTAATCCTGTTAATACATTTAGGAGCAGTACTTTTAATAATGATTTTATCTTTGGACATACAAATTTTATATTTAATTGTAAAACTAATAATGTTATTTATGTTATTACCTGTTCTACCTGTAAAAAACAATATGTTGGAGAAACAACTCAACCACTTCATAAAAGAGTCAATGGCCACAGAAATTGTGTCAAAGCCAAATCATCCACATTTTTATATGAACATTTTAATATTCCTGGTCACGTCTTCTCAGATGCTTCCATACAGATTGTAGATTATGTTGATTCTGACATGTCCACTGATGTCAAAAATGATTTACTTCTCCTGGAGGATTACTGGATAGAGAAGCTTGGGACAGCATTCCCTCTTGGTCTTAATGACAAGAAGAAAGGAACGGGCAACATCTCCCAAGATCGGGTTATGAATTATTTTAGTGGACAGATTGCTCGATACAAACGTGGCAGAGGGAATGGAAAGAAGAAAGTTCAGCCTAAGAAGTCTCTGGATACCATAGAGTCTGATATTAACAGGCTGAAAGATAACATCTCTTCAGAACATTCCATATACAAAACATTAAAATGTTATAGCTTATCAGATTTAGACACTCTCTACTCTTTGAGTCAATATAATTCAGGATTGATTTACAACGTATGTTCCTCTTTCTGTTCAACATTTTCCCCCAAATACCATCAGAACAAATCTGAATCCAGTAATAGAGAATTTATAATTGTTCCATTTAATTGCAAATTCATTGATAATCTTAACCTAAAATCTATTTTCTCTGACACTTCAGTCATTGATTTGCTTCCCATTTTGATTCAGTCTTTTACACCATTACAGATTTATTATGAGTATAATGATCCTATAAGTCTTTCTATTTGTAACTATGCTTCATTCTTAAAGAAACTTTCTATTTCTGATATTAAATCTATTTTAGGTAGTCCATGCGATTGTCACTCCTCCCCTTTCAATTATCCTCCTCATGGACATGTAGTTACTGGTAATTTAGATATTGTTGATAATGTTGAACTTAGGGAAGTACTTTCCTACGGTTGTAAATACAGAATTCCCACATTTAAATCTCCAGATGAGATATATATGTCAGTTACCGAAGCTGTCGATAAATTTATAAAATCAAAAAGTAGAAAGTACTGTCAAAAAGAAGTAAAGTTCAGCGATTGGAAGGAAAAAGTGTTATCAATAGTTTCCAATCGTATTGAATATTACAAGAAAAACTTTCCTGAAACATTTGAAATAAAAGAAAACACACTGGAAAAAGATGATGTTAAAAGAAGTCTTAAATTGCTGAAAAGTAAATACATTATTTGTAGTATCGACAAAGCTTCTGGTAATTTTTCATTTATTTGTAAAAAGTTTTATGTAAAAACTCTTGTCAATGAAATGGGTTTTGATCCTAATACTCTAGAATGTATAGGTAATGATACATATAAACCCTGTAGCGAAGACGAGACTCATTATGTCAATAAAATATCGGAGAGTCTAAAGGAGAGATTTAATGTACAAGTTGAAGATAAAAACTTGCGACTAGCACGCATCTTCTGGAACCCTAAGCTTCATAAGAACCCTTACAAGGCGAGGTTCATTGCAGGTGCCCGTATTTGCGTTACGAAACAACTTAACGTCCAAGTTAACTGTTGTCTGAAACTTTTGAGGAAATACTTCAAGAAATACTGCGAGGCAATCTACAACAACAGCGGTATAAACATGTTTTGGAGCATAGATTCCTCAAGTGAATTCCTTGAAGCTATCAAAAATAGCGATGTTTATAATATACAAGTATATGATTTTACTACTCTTTATACCAGATTAGACTTGATTGAAGTAGAGAATATGATTAATGAAGTTGTTGATTTAATATTTTCAGACCGTAATAGATATATTTGTATTTCTAAAAGAGACAGTAATACATGTTTCTTTTCCAATAAAACCTATGATTCTCATGCCTGCTTTAGTCAAGATGACCTAAAAGAGGCTGTTAAATTTATTATTTATAACACTTATGTCGTCTTCGGTGGGATTGTATTCATACAAACCAAGGGTATTCCTATGGGTGGAAATTCAAGTTCCCCTATAGCTGATCTCACTGTTGGCAAAAAGGAATTTAATTATATGAAACGTTTACTTCAGGAAAAGAAAATGGGATTAGCAAAGATATTATCCAATAATAAACGATATGTTGACGATTTATCTATTATTAACTACCTTTACTTTCATAAATTGATTAAAGATATTTATCCTAATTCATTGGAGATGGAGCGAGCTGGTTCCAATAATAAAATCATTAACTACCTTGATTTAAATATTAATATTTCCACAGAAGGACTAGAAATATCAGTGTATAACAAAACTGATGATTATAATTTTCATGTTGTATCCCTTACATTTCCTCACAGTAACATCCCAACCGAGGTTGGCTACAACGTTTTTTCAAGTCAAGTTCTTAGATATGGTAATGTTTGCACTAGATTGGATATCTTTACCTCCCATCTTCACAAAATATTCAAAATTCTAATTGATAGAGGATATAGCCGTGATAGACTGATTAAAGGCATTAAACGTTGTCTGAGGAAATATGATAACGTTTTCAGGAAGTTCGGTATTCTAGATGACCGTAACATTATTAAAGAACTCCCCTGATATCTTTTGATTTATTGAAACACGGGTACTAACTCTGCTAAACTGAACAAATTCTGAAACTTAGGTGAATAAGTGTACAACGTGCTAAACCGAAGTTCAGACTGACCAGTGAAAATGGGCGAGCGTACCAAGTGTCATTTTAATTAGAAGTTTTAGTCAGTGATTATTATTGAAGCTTGTAATTACAATATCTAATGCTCCTATAAATACTTTAATTAATTGTTTGTCCCGTTATTCTTTTTCCTTCCTCTTTTCCTTGTCATCCCCTTTAGTTTTAAGATTCTTGCTATAAATGGCTACGGCTAACACTATTAATGCTAAGTACCAAACAACAAGTGGGAGGTGGATCGTTGGTACCATTAAATCGATTTAACACCGCAATTCCAGTCGCAAGCCTGGGACCACTACTAGCATAGTCACAACATCTACAAAGCTGCCATATAGCCTGACTGACAATTTTCTCGACTGACTGACAATGTTTCTTCTTTTTCCCCATTTAGAATACAAAGATTAGTACATTTTAGCTTATGATTAATATTATATTTTTACCTATAGTTTACTTAGATTTCGACATAGTAATAGTAGTAGTATATGTCACTCCATAATACATAAGCATTGTTCATAACCAAACTTACATAATCTTGGACTACTTTCGAGCAGACTTTCCATTTCTTGGATGCTGAAAAGGTCCTTTTAGCTGGTCTTTTCTCGAAATCCGGCTGACCTGACTTCTCATCCAATTCCGTCACCATTCTCACATCAGTCTGGTCATAGTTAATTTTATGATTCAGTACATTAATTTTGTCAGCTTTAAAAATATAAGATTGTATCAACCCCTAAAGAATAAACAGAAATATAAAGAATTAGATTTGGAGGATAAGTTTTAATTAACTGATGAACAGGGGTGTAGAAAGTGGGGGGGGGCAGGGGGGCCATCGCCCCCCCCCCCCCCCCCCCCCATGAAATCTGGGCAAGGGGCCAAAAAGGGCCAACTTTTTAATTTAGGTTTCTAAAAATATTTGGGAAAAAGATTTTTTCCCGAAAATTTTCTAAGTCAAAAATTTTCTAAGTCAAAAATTTTTAAGTTTTCTTGGAAAATACTTTTGTTCATTTTTTTATTTGAAAATTTAATTAATTATTATATAATTATATATAAATCAAGCGTTACATTTCAGCCATGCAAAATTACAATGACATATTTTGATATACTAATTGATAAATGGAGTTCTGCAATATAAGTTGCTTAATGTTTGGCCGGATGACAACTAACTAAAAGAGAAAAATAAACTTGATTACATAATAATTAATTCGGCTGAACCAACACATAGCAAGAGCCACATTAACGTTGGGGCCGTCTACCAAATTTGAATGACATACAATAACAAAAAATCAAACATATCATAAATAATTATATATGGATTTTGTTCATTACAATTCCGTCACAACTGATAGAAGAAAAAAGAAAAGGTCAAGCGGATAGGAAATTGGACGGCAGAATTGTAACCAACAAAAACACATTTCTGAGAATCATAAGACTGATGAGCTAGTCTGGCCAGACTGTATCGGCAGCCCAGAGGTACTTGATCAGATTGGCCTTAAAAGTAGAAATCCGCTCTGACTGCCGGATACATACTGGTAGACTATTCCATTTCAGCATAGATCTACGAAAGAAGCTATTTCGGAAGGCATCCGAGCAGGGCACAGTGGTACTCATGTAAGTTGAAGTATCCGACCTATCAATTATTTGAGCATTGTGCCTAGTGTATCGGGTGCCCTCTGGACGGCATAGGACTATATAGGTAGGAAGCGAAACTGGGATTATGCTATTCACTATTTTATAGAAGGTCATAAGATCGTTATAAATAAACTTCTGCATGACAGGGAGAATATTTAGCTTCTTTTGCTCTGTAGAAAGTTTATCGTCATTATAACTCGAGTAGGGTTCACCATTGATCCATTTAATAGCCCTCTTTTGGATAGCAACAAACTGTTGAAGATGAGTTGCAGATTGAGGGGACCATATGACAGAACAATGTTCAAATATAGACCTAATTAACGCCAAATAGAACGATCTTTTCTGCCTTTTATCAGTAGTGAAATGACATGTTCTCTTAAGTAGTCCAAGTCTGGAGTTAGCTTTGGAAACAAGCGCTTTACATTGTGCACCCCAATTAAACCTGGAGTTTATTGCGACTCCTAAATCTGACTGAGAGGGCACAAAGTCAATATCACTTCCAGAAAGTTTATAGAAGAAGGTATTGAATGGCAAGTTATCCAGCACGTTTCTTTGCAGGGACACAGAGAGGGCTTTGCACTTTTGTGGATGGAACTTCATTCGATTTCTCACTGACCAATCATACAATCTATTGATGTCATTTTGGATTATGTGATGGTCAGGGTAACCAAGAATCTCCCTCCAAATTTTAGTGTCATCTGCATAAAGGGCGATATTGGTGCCTTCAGAGACACAGGAGAACATGTCATTTATAAATATTACAAACAATAGAGGGCCAAGTATAGAACCTTGAGGGACACCAGACCGAACTGGTAGAGAGGAAGACGTTTGGCCTCCTATCACTACTTGTTGTTGTCGCCCCTCAAGATAGGACTTGATAAATTTAAGCATTAGTCCATCGACTTTAAAAATATTCTTTAATTTACTTAAAATGAGGTCATGCGAAACGCTATCAAAAGCTTTCGCAAAATCAAAATATATTATATCAGTCCTGGACCTGTTGTTCAGTGCAAGTGCAAGATTGTCCGTGAAAGGTATCATTTGGGTTGTGCATGAACGTTCATTAACAAAACCGTGTTGTCGGTCATCCAACAGATCAGAACATGCAGCGTATAATGCAGTCTTTATGCACCTTTCAAAGACTTTCATTACAAGAGATGTTAACGAGATAGGCCTGTAGTTCTCAACCGAAGACTTATCACCCTTTTTGTGCACTGGTACTACAAGTGCCAGCTTCCAATCAGGGCGTATGCATCCGCTTGAGAAAGACAGGTTAAATAAAACACTAAGTGGGTATGCAAGGCTTTGGGCACAGTTTTTGAGGACTTTCCCATGAATCCCATCAGGGCCAGGGGCCTTGTTAGGATTTAACTTTTTAAGAATCAACAGAACATCTTCTCTATTAAACACAAGACTGGAAAAACAATCATCACGAAAATCTATGTCAATGCCATAATCGCTCTCTTGAGAAAACTGCTCATAAAAATATTCGTTAAAAAGGGCAGCTTGATCAGATGGATTGTTTCGAAAGCGATTATGATATTTAACAGTTTCAGGGATCCTGGTTGACTTTGATTTAGACTTAACGTAGGTCCAGAATTTCTTGGAGATAAGAGCATCATCGGAGTCATCCTCAACACTGAGTCTCATTTTTTCGTCCATCATATTTTTAAATTTTGTTCGAAATGCACGAAACTTTTGTTTATGCTTTTATGAGACTCAGAGTTGCTCCCCTTATGCCTTATTCTCCATTTCTCCTTATTTCGTAGGAGACGATCACATTCGGAGTCATACCATGGAGGCTGGAACTGAGACTTAATGGTCTTTTTAGGGATCCATCGGTCACAGGCTGCATCAAGAACTCCTCTGAATCGACTCCAGGCAAGATAAGGATCATTACACTCAAATATACTATCCCAATCGATGCTAAATAACTCAGAATTCAGGCCCCTAAAATTACCTTTACTATAATTAAAGATCTTTCTTTTAGGCTGCTTAATAGAGAAACAAATTTTTAGAGAAACAAATTTGAATTTTGATCTTTATTACAGATTAAACATATCATATATAACCATAAAAGCCGCGCGTCGGCTGATTGCTTCAACTTGGATTGGTAGTAATTTCAGTTTACAGAAGCTGAAGGACGGCAGCTCAAAAGCCCCAGTGAACCATCGGAAAGATCAAGGACTCGAGTGCCAATAGTGGCTTTTTCGAACCCATTTTCGCCGATTTGCTGTGGCCCAGATGAGCCGCGCCCTGCTGCTTAACGGCACAGGGTGGTTTTTGTTTAAATACTTATTTAAATTTAAGCGATAATTCATTTGGTGGTTTACAGTTTTTGAATCATGTTCATCATTTATTTTTCGTTCAATTATCACGTTTTTACAATTCAGTCATACCATGCATAGTCAACATTGTTGAGGCAACCAGCTTCCGCAGTTCAATAATTGGAGACCGAAAAATATAAATTGATCGAAATTTACAATTCATCGTTATCAAATATAGTCAATAATATTCTTGATTCCATTTAGTACATAATAAGTTGGTTTTATTCTCTTGCAACACTACTGCACAACAAAAACTGCGCCTGTCCACCAGCAACAGCGCAGTCATAGGTGTGCAGCCAAAGCTAGGCCACACACCCATGGCCGCGCCGGTAGGGACTACGGGTGGAAGATGAATAATTGATATTCCAACAGCATCTTGTTCCCTGCATTGTGCTGATTCCGGGAAGCATTCTGTTTACGCTCTCATCATTCTGTAGGATGAGATATCGTTCATTTAAAATTGGGTAATTATAGGCCTGTCAAGGATTGCAGCCTAATTACGAGCTGATCAATTGCAGCTAGTTGTGCCATATAAGGGATAACTGAGGTCACGTGACATTCAGTCCTATCACGTGACCGCTAATCCTATCACGTGACCTTGATTCGTAAAGCCTCGGGCACGTGATCACATTCGTAACGTGTCGTATGCCGACTAGGAGATTTTGTGACGTCACCAGAGCTGAAGCTACTTGATCAGGCCTTATATGGAATAATATCGTGTATCGGGTGTAATTGGACCTAATTAGAGCAGCTGAGCGCTCAATTATAGCAGCATCTGGTACCACCTTCTGAAACCCAGCAGACAGCTGGCCCAGAGAATCGAAATTAGAAGGATTTTTTATTGATGGAAATCGAAGCGGAAACCTTGTAACCCTATGTTTTCGATGACGCCGAACAAGATTAAACAGGTTATAATTGTCCTACTCTCGTGTAAATTGCTCTAAAACGTGATTGAAATTTTAATGATGCTATCAATTGTAATACAGTTTTTACATTAAGCTGAGCGGCGTAACGGCTGGCATTCCTGGGCCGCACTCATCCCAGATTGTCATTCCGCCGCAGCTTCAATTTTTATGAATAGTACAGCCTGGGGTCCCCAGGTAGCGACTGGAACCGCTATATCTGCCTAATCTCAGTTATTGTAAATAACGAAGCCTGTGATCCGCACAATTTTACTCGACTCTTATCAGTTCACTTCTTATCAGCGCGATCGCAGTAAGTTTTACTGTGTGCAACAGTTACATAACTGTAACTGTATAATACACATAACATTAACTCTGTAATGCACTTCAAACTGCAGTATAAAGAGTACGCACTTCGCACAAATGACAAGAAGGTAATAGTAATACGATTTTTGGTATTAATATCTTAATATTAATAACACGGCTTGTTCGATTCAAGCCCGTTCAATGTGGTCAATACCTGATGTGCGGATCACAGGCTTCGTTATTTACAATAACTGAGATTAGGCAGATATAGCGGTTCCAGTCGCTACCTGGGGACCCCAGGCTGTACTATTCATAAAAATTGAAGCTGCGGCGGAATGACAATCTGGGATGAGTGCGGCCCAGGAATGCCAGCCGTTACGCCGCTCAGCTTAATGTAAAAACTGTATTACAATTGATAGCATCATTAAAATTTCAATCACGTTTTAGAGCAATTTACACGAGAGTAGGACAATTATAACCTGTTTAATCTTGTT